TTGGCAGCTTCCCAAAACTCAACGCAAACCTCCGCCCGACGGTATGGCGCGCGCAACTGCTCCCGACCCTCCCCAAAAGTGGGGCCGAAAGCCGGGCAACCCGATGCCGATCGGAGGCTGTCCGGTTCCGCGCATCCTCGCCCGCATGCTACGAAAGAGGCCGCCCGGTTGGAGGCTGCCCGGCTGATTCGGTTTGCTACGTTCTGCACCAGGGTGCACGTAGTGCCGTGCGGATTGGAGGCTGTCCGGTTCCGCGCATCCTAGCCCGCATGCTACGACGGAGGCTGTCCAGTCGGAAGCTGCCCGGGTGGTTCGGTTTGCTACGTTCTGCAGCAGGGTGCACGTAGTGCCGTGCGGATTGGAGGCTGCCCGGTTCCGCGCATCCCCGTCCGCATGCTATGGCGGAGGCTGTCCGGTTGGAAGCTGCCCGGCTGGTTCGGCTTGCTACGTTCTGCACCAGGGTGCACGTAGTGCCGTGCGGATTGGAGGCTGCCCGGTTCCCCGCATCCTGGCCCGCATGCTACGACGGAGGCTGCCCGGTCGGCGGCTGCTCGGCTGGCTCGGCTTGCTACGCTCCGCACCAGGGCGCACGTAGTGCCGTGCGGATTGGGGGCTGTCCGGTTCCGCGCATCCTCGCCAGCATGCTACGACGGAGGCGGTGCGGTTGGAGGCCGCCCGGCTGGTTCGGTTTGCTACGGCCTGCAACAAGCTGCGGGCTTGGTTTGTTTGGACACTGTCCGGGCGCCTCCACATTCGGTAACATACACCGCGATCGCCGGTGCGGAAGATGCGCGGCGCTGCAAGCGCGCAGCGACAGACGCACAAACAAACGCCGGCGCATCAACAACAAAAAAGACAGAGAATATCAGCTATGAGGCCCAATATTGCTGTAACGGCGGCAAATGCCGCATTTGCGCTTTGTTCCGGTATTACACAGCTATTAAAATACTAAACGCACCCAAAAGCGCTGCGCTTTAGGCGTGTGCGTGTTCTGGGTTTTGCGCTTCGGTTTATGCAACACTGCAAATATTGACAGGCCCAGCCTTTTGCTTTGTGGTGACGCATGCGCACGATCTGCGCAAAATTTTTGCACAAGAAGACGAGCGGGCCACCTGCTTCGTTGCTAATACGTGGCACACAAAAAGCCACGCCCGTACGCATGTGATTTCGGAGGGGGTTGATTCTGGGCCAGCAAGATTGGAAAGCAAAACGCGCGCGCAAACATGTGGCCAGCATTTGAACGTAAAAACGCAAGCGCCGAAGCGGACAAACCAACTTTTGGCGCTGATTTCAATTTCATAGTTGAAAACCATATGAGAGCACTTACTCAACTATTTGAAAGTGAAATCAGCGCCAACACCAACATACGGACAGGGCAGGATGTAAGTTTCCAAAGGCCTTTTCCAGACAGATTAATACCCATAATGACCGCAATTGAGGCATTTGCGCTGCGCGCGATGTCTTTACGTAATTAAACACGTGAATTAGGACAGAAGGGTCGCGGTTTTTCTAGAAATCATGGCGCGCGCGGCGGCGGACAGCGACGCCGAAGAGAACGACGCGCGCCCGGCACAGGCCGACGCGGCTGGTTTTGCGGTTTTGCAACTGAATGGGCCCCGCACCCGAAAACACGCAGCGGCGCGAGGCACGGCGAACACTGCCCGGAACACTCGGGGAGCAGCGTAGCCCGGCGCGGCTGGCTTTGCAGTTGCTCGGGCAGGAAGGCGACAAAAAGCGGCCGCCCTGGCGAGCCTCGAAGAAAATACGGCGAGAACGGCCCGAGCGCTCGCCGGCTAGAAGGGTAAGGAACGAACGGCCAAGGCACTGGCGCAAAGATGCCGAACGAGCCGCGAAAAAAACACGGCAGGAACGGACGAAGCACACGGCAGCCGCGTGGCATTTAATCGGGCAAGAGCGGCCAAAGCGTCTGCGCTGCGGCGTCAAAAACTGGCGGCCTCGAGGAGCCTCGAAAAAGCTGCGGCAAGAACGGACCAGGCACACGGCAGGCGCATGGTATTAGGCGGGCCAAGCACCTGCGCAGAGGTGCCAAAAAGTGGCCGCCCCGAAAAAATACGGCAAGCGCGGCCCATCGCGACACAGCGCGGACCGGCGGCGGCCCGGCTCCGCGCTTTCTCGCCCGCATGCCATGGCGCAGGCCGCCAGGCTTTGCGGCGAAAAGCGGCAAGGGCTTCGAACTGCACCCAGACGCCAGAAGGCCGCACGCTTTGCAGCGGGCTGCTGCGCTCGCGAAAAGCTTGAGGGGCTTCGACCTGCACCAGAACGCCGCGAGGCCCCACGCTTTGCACCTGTTGCACCCGCGTCGGCCCGCGCCAGAAGCGTGCGGGGCCGCATGTTTTTGCAGCTGCTGCACCCGCGGAAAGCTGGAGGGGCTTCGACCTGCACCAGGATGCCGGGCCTTGCTGGACCTGCGCCAGGATGCCGCGTCTTGCGGTTTCCCAAGCACATAGGGCCCACACGGGAAAAAACACATACGGGGGGCGGGCAGTGCTTTCGCCGCCTTGCGGGCCCACACATACTACTGCGGCCCTAAGCCCGGTGGCTTTGCAAGTCGCCCCGCAATACCGGGAGGGTGCGACGCCATTGCGCCGCGGCGCAAGAACCTGCGGCACAAGCGGACCACTGGCGCCGCTTTCGCATTGCATGCGAGGGCGGGCAGGCGGCGGCGCAAAAAGTGGCCGTCCTGATCGGCGCCGGGAAAATACAACAAGGGCGGGCCGGGCACGGTGAAGGCGCAAGAACAGGCAACGCGCCGGGGCACAGGGGCAAAGCAGCTGCGCACAACCGTCAGAAAGCGGTCGCCCGGCGCCAGGTGTGGGAAACACGGCAAGAACAGGTCAGGCGCGCCGGGGCCGCGCCCTACCGGCTCTGGGTAGGCGGCTGCGCGCGGGGGCCAAAGCTGGCCAGCCTGGCCCGCTTCGAAAAAAAAAATGAGAGCAGACAATACACGCCCCGCCCACATGGAAGAACCACCGGCGGCGGGCCAGGCAGCTGCGCAGGCGTGCCAAACGGTCGGCGCCCTCGGCCGTAGCGGTTCTTGTTTCGTCGAAGCCCTCGGGCGGTTGGGCTTGTCGGCTGTTTTCCGTGGGGCGTCTTGGATAGTCCAGAACAAGAACACAAGTAGCTGGCTGGCGCACGGAAGGAGCCGTGGCACAGGGTGCATAGCAGGCAACGGCCTTGCAAATGAGCGACGCAGACTACTTCGTCGCACGAGTTCGAGGTTTCAGTTCTTCTGTCGTTATAAAAGGCGGCGCAGTGTCTGTCGATAAAAACCAATTGTGTTAGCAACAACTCTGCCGAAGAAAAATTCTTTCATGCGGCTGGACACCACATCGAGACCAACATGCCGTGCGAGGTACACCAGGTCGACGACGGCAGAGAACCGCAGGACATGCGGAAAACGCTCCACATCACTGAGTCGCAACCAGAAGAAAAGTGTGCGGACTTTATCTACAGTGCCCTTGTAGAACGGGCCGGTCGTCGCCGCGGAGAACGGCAGCGTGCTCTGCTCGACGCCCGCCAAGCATCCGGTATGCAAGCCATTTCCGCTGGACGCTTCGGAATGAATATCGCGTTGAAGGGGAAGTCAAGCAGCTCATGCGTTTCGCGACGTCGCACCATCGTGCCTCTCTCTTCTTCTACGGAGACCCGAATAAGCGAATGCGCAGCTGAAACCAGCTGGCAGCGCCATTCGTGCTTGTGGGCTTACTCACGAATGCGAAGCAGTGCGGCGGAAAGTTTGTTTGCATACCCCTGCAGCCCGGAGGCTGTAGCGCGCCCTGTCAGTATTTGCCCGGAAGTATGGAAACAAAATTGCTTTGCAGCACTTCGCATGACTTGAGTTTTCGAAATTTTTGGGCTCGTGGCGCGCTCATCCGGGAACAGTTCACGCAGGTGTGGCACGCCACATATTCTATTCCTCTTCTGGGTGTGTGCGAACGTGGGTTCTGAGTCAGTGACGAGCAAAGCAATTGTGTTGGCGTCATAGCCGAAGGGCACAAGAATTCGCGCCAGGTAGTACCACTCCGGAGGGTATGGAATTCGGAAGTGGGTTCTGCACGAGGCGTTCTCAGCATCTGCTGTGTATCCATCCGGACCTTGTTTCGGATTCGCAAGGGCAAAAAACATCTACAAGGTAAGTCGGATTGTGTAATGGGGTTTCTACTTTTATATTTGCGCTCACTTTGCTGTCGATGCATGTGCATGGCTGAGCTGGTAAAAGAACTTCACTTCCGTATTGCCGCTATTGGGATGCCGCTGCTGTATGCGTCCTTGAACTTGATGAGGGCGATTTCCGACGGCATATACAACGCCAGGTGCGCGCCTTGGAGCATGCTGCGGTAGTCGCGAAGAGCACGCATCGGCTGCACGAATTCATTTCGCACGAGCCACGGTTTCTCGGCTGTTGGGCTCGAGAACATGGTCACTCGATTATGCAGTAGTAAGTCTTGGTCGTCCGGGTACTACTTGCTTTCGAGTCTTCCCTGCGAACCGCTGCGAGTGGTTGTCAATTCCGGTAGATACCTTACTGAGGCATGCAAGACACTGTACAGAAGACGATTCCAACCCCTCTGCGCGATGCATTTTCGTTGCCAGTTTGCTGTTCAGCTGTCGGCATTCCAATTTGTAATACGTGCTTTTTTGCTAATTTGACAAACGCGTGGTTTCCATTGCAGTGTCCACAACACAGCCTGGGTGTTGGAATAATCCAAACTAAAGTAGCTTGTTTCTGTAGCCACTTTTTTATTTCCACTTGGCAAGGACGCCTATGTGCTACTGAACCGGGGCCAAGTGGCCCGGGCAGGTTTTTGCAGGGGGGCATTTATTTCCGTAGCGCCACCAGGCGACCAAGATTCGCAGAGACATAGCCGGACCACGGTGCGTCGGGCGCTGACGAAGCGGTGGTGTTGTCGGTCGCTTCGCCGAAGAGGGTTTGCCAGTTTGTGCGCTCGAGCGGAGGCTTTGGCTGACGCCTTGTCGGCGGAGGTATTTCGCCCACAAGCAGGTCCGCCGACCGCGTGTCATTTGTAGTGCGGTCTGCGGTGGATGCGTCCGTTTGGCCGATTGCGCTTTCCCCCAGCGTGTTCACGAAGTCAAACTCCAGTAGGTATGAAAAGCGAATGCGCACTAGCAGCGAGCACCCTGAAATGCTTGGTTGACGTAAATATCGCCCAGCATGCCAGGCATGACGCTGTGTGCCCGGATTTGAGTTTCATAGTAGCGGTTCGAGGCGGGCACAGAGTGCGCGAAACCAGTATCCCTGCCGGCGTTGGAAGAAGGGGGAGCGCAGCACTAGGACACGCCGGCGAACATCTTCGTGCATCTCGTTTCGAGGCTGCGTCGCTGCAGGGTTGTATATTGGGCGGTCGGCTGGAAATAGTGCCTCTGATTATAGAAGAAGAAAAGCGGTTTCCCTTTGTTCAATATGCGTTGGCTGTCTTGTGTTTACAAAAATTTCGATCAGCACAAAGCCTTTGCTGATGGTGAGTGCCGCCTGTACAGTAAAAGCAAGACTCGTTTTTTCTTCTTCGTATCAATGGATGCACCACACGACGCTCCAGTTGGCGCAGACGATCGTCCGTTGCCGCTGCCTCCGTTTCGAACACGGCGATGCCCAGCAGCGGGACAAGGGCCGCATTCACTCCAGTCTGGTGGCGGAAGATGGGGTTCTGGTGCTCATGCGCTACCGCCAGCATCGTTCCGGGTCGTCGGTCCAACACACGAAAGAGGAACAACATGTGCTGGTAGAACCGCGGCGCCACAAAATCCAGCATGTTCAAGCCAAACAGCAGCAGCATTGGGGTGTTTGGGGTGCTGAGTGTCGCGCCGACTCCGTTTCGGGAGGTCGGTTCCTGCGCATTGCTACTGCTTCTCGCTTCTACACCGACGACGGACCACGTTACACTGTCCGCAGTGGCGGCGAGCGACGTTTCTGTTGCGGTAAAGGAGGCTATCATGCGGTCCACAGCGTGGACGTCTGCCGGCGTCGCAAGGGCGAGCAGTGCGCACAAGAAGAGGAAGTCGGCACAGAAGAGGAGGTCCAGGTCGTCCGAGGCCTCCGCGCGGAATGCGGCATGTGCCTCGGTCAAGATATCGCTACACAAATTGCTCTTGCGCCGTGACGGTCACGTCAGGAAAGCACACTCGACACCGCATAGCGACGCTTGTAAAGAACGAAAAGCAAGCTGACTTTGCGGGCGAAAGTGCCTCTCACTGTGAGAACGATCGGGGCAGGAGCAATTTGCTGTCGGATACCAGATGTCGCTTAAAGTGTATGATGCGTTGTCCTCAGAGTTTAGTTCGTCCGACTCGAAGTTCTTGGCCCACCAGTTGCTAAACGTCTGCAGCGGGGCGAGCAGGCTGTTTCCTCCGGAGTCGCCGACGCAGGCAGGGTTGTCTGCACTCCGGTAACCTTCCATCTCCCGCTCCAGTCGGCGGGCCGTGGCCCGCGTGCTAGACGGCGATTGCTGCCCTGATTTATTGCCGAATTCGTAGCCAGGAAAGAGGAACTGTTGCTGCAGTGTGTTGCAGAGGTAGTTGTTGCCGGAAATTCGGGCAACGACAGTGGCGTCCCAGTAGAAGGTTGCCGTCAGGGCAATAGTTTGCACCACCGTGAGCAGGAACGGCGAGTGGAGCGCCAGGCCCATGATGCGCAGCGGCCTGTCCTTCCGATACCTGGATAAAGAACCGGTCGGAGCGGCGGCGCTCGGGCGTTCGGTCACAGTGTAGTACGAGCGGAGCTCCACCGAGGGACCCCTTCGGCGCGGATGTCGTTCCGTGGCATATAGCTGTCGAAAACGCGTGGCTGTTTCGCTGTTGAGAATGTCGTGAACCTGCGGGAGGTCTTATGAAGTACGAAATTAAACTCCTCGGCAACAAAGTTTTAGCTGGTCTTCGAATGTGTCTTTCGGGTTGCAGAAAAACTTGGCGATGCAAGAGGTCTTCAGCAGCTGCAAACTTTGTGTTCACTGAAGAGAAAAATGGCATTTGTTGCATAGATGTTTTTCGTGCACGGGAAAGCGGTCACCCAAGTTTCGTTTGCCGTTTGTGGCCCAAGCTTGCTGCAGTGCCCCGCTTTCTGCGACGACTACTCGTTCCCAGCAACCCGCCTCGTCGAAGGGGTGGCATTGCTGTTGTACGTACGCCAGCGCGTCGTGCGCCCAGGACTCCGGGTCTAGGACGAGCAGCAAAGGATTCATCTTGTAGACGCCCTTGCCTGGTGGCCCTTCTTCCCTTGGCAGGCGCTCGTTCACGGCTTCCACACTTGGCAGGGGTTCTTCCACGGACCTCTCCTTTTCCGCAAGAAAGACGTCGCCGTCCTGCAGTCGCAGCACGGACCCGAGACGGCCCTCGGACAGGGCGCAAACCAAACCAAAATAGTCCTGTTGCGGGTCGTACGTGGCCACGTTGCAAATTTCCGCTGCTTTCTTCGTGTGCAGCACTCGCGCCAGGTGGCGAGACTTGTGCCGCACGCTGGTGAAGAGGCGCTGGAAGCCGCCGGGGAGGTTTGAGAGGCTGACGAGGTTTTCTGGTACCAGTACGTCGCCCGCGAGGTAGCGCCACTTTCCTGCGCGAACGTGTGCGGACCGGCTGCTCTGCGAGAAGAACTTCGCAAACGCTCGGCCGGCTTGAACAACTGAGGCAGGAGTTGTGGTTTCCGATTTCCGAAACGCAGCTTCAGTCACCCCGCTCGCGACCTTTGCGAGCCCCAGAGGCGCTTCCGAGGTGTAATCGAATTCACCCCACCGACCGTACAGCCCCGCGACAAAGCGAAAGTTGAGTTCCCGTGTGTGTGGGTGCGCGAGGGACGTCAGCTGCAGCTGTTGCAGGCGATGGTAGATGCGGTCGTCGCTTTATCATCTTCAAAAACGTATATGTTCCATGCGCAGCGCCGGTTAGACGAACATGTCCGTAATTCTGTCCTACGAAAGGTAGAATATTCTACATTTCGATATATGTCAGCGCCTGCATGCAAAATGTAGTCAACAGAACTACCAAGAAGACGGTCATACGAACCCTTCTTGCTGGTACATGGTGGGTACGTTTTTTGCTTCCGATACACCGTACATGCGCTCGAAGGCCTCGTTGCTGAAGGTCGAGAAAAAGCCGGCCACCAGCTCCGCACAGCCGAAGAGGCAGAATTCACGGGGAATTGCGTTGTTGTTTCCGAATTGCCCGATCTCCGCCCGGTGATGCTGCGACCTGGTGTCTGGAGGCTGTGGTGCTCCCGCCACGTCCGGATCGTCGCCGGCTGTAGATGCTATCTGCCCATCGTCCAGCACGGCAGCCGTTCGTTCTGCCAAGGCATGGGCGGCATCGAAGGCGGATTTCAGTTTCGCGACGTGATTCTTACTGGTTTCGCGACGCAGCAGCGTAGCCCATGCTTGCAGCCGGTCCTTTGTCTTGCCTGGCGGTGGTGGCGCCGTGAAGGTCTTTATGGTTTCGTCGACTGTTGCACTGGGGTCAGCTTCCGCGGGGCGCCACTCCATCAATTCGCGCACAAAGTCCCACAAGCTATCCAGGCACATGCGCAGAGGAGGGAGGCGTGGGGTGTTATGGAAAGGAAAACTCGTTGACCAAAGGAAAATGCTCCTGGTGTCCTGACGGCGTAACGCTACTTTTACACAGGCATTGACATTTTTCTTGGCCAAACGAGTTTTCTTTGAATATCCAACGTCCGACAGGTACAGGGCCTGGATGCCTGGATCCCGGTATCAACGCGAAGATTTGCTGTTTCCGTCGTGGCACAATTAAGATTAACAGTTTTGAAGCAAGACACAATAGATGAAAACTCTCTCGTGACCAGACCACATGACAGGCGTTCGGTAATGCAAAGAGCTTCACGCAAGAAGGTTGCTGCGGCCTGGCAAATCGCACGTTGATACGAACTGGGCATGGTCCAGCAGAGCCCGGAACTCACCTTGCTGCGTGATTGTGTCCTGTGTAAAACCGTCCGCGTCCTAGAGCCAAGATGATAGTAATGCTGCAACACAGGTGAAAAACTTCTACGAGTTTTGCATCACAAATTGGAGTCCAAAGAGCTCTTGTAGTTGACATACCTAATATAGCTGATTTACAGACATGCCCTACTATTCTGATTTTGGCATGCCAACCTTCTAAACGGTGCGCCATGAAATGCTTTTCATGCGTGGTTGCATCACATGAAAAAAGAGCATTCATACCAGATTTATGCATAGCGTCTCTGGACGAGGTCCTACGTTTTGCCACAGGATAGACGAACAGCGGGTGGAACTCATCTTGCGTTTCGCAGCTGTAGTGCTCCACCGCGGGCAGGAAAACTTGTTCCACGAATGACGCGGTGACGGCAATGGCGTCCAACGCAGCACCGATGTTTCCTTCGTGGTTGTGTAAGTCGGGCCACTGTATCCCTTGCGCACGGGCGAAGGTCGAAGAGAGCAAAGAAGCAAGAAAGATGCTACGCCAGGGGCGCAGAATCTTTTTGCGCCGAGGACGCGCCATGTTGTTTGCGTTATTGGAAGTACAGGTAGAACCAGTCATTCTAATCCAACGATTTAACAAAGCGACTCACTACAAGGGCACACGAGGCCGGCATGTTCGCGTCAGGTTCCGCAGCAAACGAGTGAGGGGAAAAAGGACACAAAGCTGAATTTCGTGAAAAAAGTACTTGCATTTACGACACAGTGACACAGAACACGGCTCTTCTTCTTGGAATAAGCACTGTGCGCTGGCGGAATTCTTGGTTTTGGCTGATCTCCTGTATAATCTGGTCGCTTGTCGCTTCCGACATAGGTAAAAAAGACAATGATGCGTTACGCTTGTTCGCATGGTGCGATAAATTTGCTTCATTTCACATTCAAAATTTGCTTCACACTTGGCCATCTTCGATCAGAAATCGTTTTCGATCGAACTGCAGCACCCGCGCAGCGTCCTCTGCCGTGATCCACGGGATGCGATCGTCCCATTGCTGGACAAAACGCCGCGCGCCGCGAAGGGCAGTGAGCTCATCGCCGAGGTGTATTTGAACTCGGACACTTTCGTCCGCCAACGGCTGGAGCTCCAACTGCAATCGATTCGCGACGCCGAACATCCGCGCGCCACCCCCTATCAACAACACGTTCGCGAGCGCTTGGCGGGGGAAAACAGCATGGTGCGTCGACTCTGCTTCTGCCATTCTCGCGACCTCGTCCCGGCAACTGCGAAGGAGATCCGCGACGACTTCGGGCAGTGTCGGATTGTAGTCTTCTGGGCCCGAGTATGGGTAAGGAAAATGAGAAGTGTTGCTGGGTTGATGTGCTTTTGGCTTGAAAGTATTTTTGAGAAAGGGACGATCGAAAGAGCACTAAGGGCTGACCGGTCGAGCGGCGGATTTTTTGTTTCTCAGCTCAAGAGATCACAATCGATTGCGCTTTTCAACACAGCATTGAATCTTAGACGCATGCCTAAGCACTCCTGATTTTCTGCAAAGGCTTCTATAGCAAAAGCATTTCATCAGCAACACCGCACGAGTTTTGCTTTCATACGTCCGTTGCCCGCGGCGGGTCGATGTCCTCCTCCGCTGGCTGCTGGCCGTCGGAGCTCCAACACGGCTGAAACAGCATCTCCCCGAGCTGGTAGCCGGCCCATTCCTTCAGCAGGCGCAGGTCCGAGGCCGGGTGGACCTTCCGAATGTCGCGTAGCGTTTCCGGATCTCGGGTGAAATCGTGCTCGCTCTCGTCCCACCGAAACCTGCATACCCCGCTACTATTCCCATCCGTTTCGAAACTGCACCGAGCGATTCGCTGCTTCATCTCGTCGCACTTGTAGAAGGTGAAGCCCGAGTCGCCGGGATTTTCGTCTTCGCCTGTGCACACTGCATTGTGCCGCGTGCACAAGTGCTGCTGCAGTTTCCTGGTCAGAAAGTACCCGCCGAGGTGAAAGTTTCTCGTGCGGGCGGCCAAGATTTGCCAGTGGGACGAGGTGGTGTCCACTTTGCTCGTTGCAGTGGTTGTTTCCGCGGTCTGCTTAGTTGTAGTCCGACGCCCAAGCAGGTGCACTCGCGCAGCGGAGAATCCGAGGTCGATCACGAGACAGGCTTCGGGGTCGGAAGGTTGTGGGCCACGGTCGTGAAGATCTGCGCCGTTTTTCGTCGCTCTAGTACTTGCAGCTTCTTTATTATCCTGTCCAGGAGGGAGGAGCGCGTAGGCAGCCATGAGGGCATCCGGCAGGACTGCTAGTCGAGCAGTGGCCGGGAACGCCGAGAACCACGTCAGCGCGTACTGCTCCAATCGGACGTAGTCGGTGTGGTCGAAGAACAGCTTGTTGGCCTGATTATTTCTAATACCACTGTCGATGCCCCCCGAGGACTCCGCGGCCGACGAAGGTGTTCCGTTAGAAATGCCAGACAGTAGCTTTTTCACGCGCAGCAAGTCGTGGTCGAACGCGTCGTGCAAACCGAGCAAGACAACTGCCGCATCGTCGCCCACGGTACGCATTCGCTGGCCGTTCTCCTCCCCCGTCAAAACTCCCGCACTCGAAGAAAACGTAGACTCGGAAGGCGTCTCTGCAGGCGGGTTCGGTAAAGCACCAACTGTGTTATTTTGCTCTACCCCATGATCTACAAGGGCTTCCGAAGGGGCCGTGGTGGGGTTGGCGGGACTTCTGTCGTACTCAGATATTGCCGCTGCCCACAGCCGTACTTGCGCATCGAGGTCTTCGATTTCGTCCAGCCGCTTGGGAAAGTGCAGCAGAACCGCTTCTTCTTCGGAGGTTGCCGTCTCGGAGGTTTGCTCCAAACAGAGCTCCAACTCCGTCCCGAAAACCGTTTGTTCGCTGTGCTGCAGCTGCCCGATTTGGTTCTGTCCGAGGTGTATGAAATGGAAATAGTTTATCTAGGTCTGGAACGCTGCAACTTGTCATGCTAAAACTGAAGGATCTAAACACGAAATGGAGAGGTTGAACACGACTACTAATCCCAAATAACCGCAACTCGGTGCGGTTTCAGAATGCTTATACTTTCTTTCCAGTAGTCAGTTCGAGATTAAAACGAGTCCAGTGGTCTTCAGCAGCGGTCTATTCGGTGGTTTAAGTTCTAAACGATTCTACCCCAATTCCCAGTACGATAGTCACGATTTCGAAAGTGATTCTAGTGCGATTCGATACCTTGACGATTTGATTGGAGAAAATGCGATAGATATGCAGTGCGATTGTGTAATGCACGATAGAAACCACGATTGATAAATGCTACGGTGCTTGCCCACGGCTGAACACCCTAAGAAAATCATACATAAAGATCTTGAAAAAACATTTGCATCATACAGGATTTAAAACCGACGTAAGAACGAGCTGTCGATGAACGGCAGGAGCGTGCAGAAAGGAAAATTAGCATGACAAATTTAGTAAAACGATAAAAAACAGATCTACATTTCCAAAAAAGAACATCGTACATTTTCAAAAAACAGGATCGGAAAAATAAAATGAGATCTTCACTTCAAGATTTGCTTTTGTCAGCGCCAGCATCGCATTTTGGGATGAGCAGTTCGTGCGACAAACTAGTTTTCATTTACACAAAACTGGATGATCCGATATCTATCTCACCGAAATCTGTCATGCTAAGTCCTGTATTCCAGACCTCATTGGTGGCCATGGCAAATCTGCATGACAAATGTTGCATTCTTCCAGACCCAGCCATATTTGCAATGCATAGCGTCGACATGATCTTCACTACTAGCTTCGTCCTCATCCGTATCATCTGCTGCGTCCGACGGGAAGGCCAGCACGCGCAGGTGCCACGCGCCCGTGTCGAGAACCCAGGTCTGCGGATCCGCCATATTGTTTTTTTATTGAAAACAGAAAGCTACTACATGCTGCAGCTGTTTGGCGACATGAACTGTCTTCTTGCGACCTGTCTTCACACAGATCAAATTGAAACCCGCTACAATCATGTGGAATAATCGGAATAATCGTCACTACACGCACTCAAACAGAAGGCTCACTGCGACAAGAATGGGTCGGTTGCTATAATCAAATGAGCCTACATGATCAAACAAAACTACACGATCAACTATTTTTGTTGCGGTGGCACGTAAAAAGGAATTCAGGATGGTGCTGATTGAAGGCAAGATCTAAATCGTGGAAGATGAGCATCGTTGATGATACCGGCATGGTTAGGCCTCTTTTGTAGAACATCAACTTTTGGAACAGCCTCGAAGGTAGACCTGCTTCTGCGGTCAGTTGGGAGTTTCAGCCGTGTTTTGTCTAACTTCTTCGTTCCACCGCGTGGTAGAAGATGACTTCTTCTTTGAGAAAGTCACTTTGAGATGGGGCCAATAATGACCGTCAATGTCGCTGTTTTCAACAAAACAATGGGTGCGGAAGCTAGGACTGCTGTGTCGCTTTCGAAAATTATTGCTTTCCTCGAAGGGAAGAGAGAAATTCGGAATTTCTTTTCCCCGACGTCGTTCACGTTGTGGTTTTTTGGCGCTTGGTGCGACGTACGGTCTCTTCCAGTGGCACGTCGTATCCTGAGTAAAAACGTACCTACACCAGAGTCAAGATGGGGAATCGGCTAGACAAATCCACAAGTTTTGGCCGTTTTGCATGACAAATTTGGATTCGTAGTGTAGTGCTGTTTGAGCTAGCTCAGCAGCATCACAGATATAGCATACCATGCTGATTGGAGCATGACAAATTGCAAAACACGACTAGAAAATGCTTCTCATGGAGCTCCGCATGAGAAACATTTTCAGCATGCAGATTTGCATTACAACTCTGGTGTGGGTACGTTTTTACTCAGGATACGTCGTCGTCGTTGCTCACGCACGTAGAGAAGATGTCGGCGGTAGGTTTGTTATCAACTGTAAAAATGTCTGGGTCTGGAAGATTGCGAGACTTGTCATGCACGTTTTGCATGAGCCATGATGTCTGTGATGCATCCCCTAGCAATACAGATTTTTTGAGGGCCTCTTGATGCGTATTCCGCATGGCAAATGCCTTCTCAGCGTAGCGAAAATTGCCTTTCCTTTGGTACTCATGCAATACAAATTTCTTTGGAATCCAAATGCAGCGCCACAAGTTGCATTCTTCCAGACCCAGACACTTTTACATTTGATACTTGTTCGCGGCGTCTTTCTCCTCTCCATAGCAGCACGAGTTCATTTGCCACGCTTGAATCTCCCCGTGATTGCTGACGGAAGCGATCAGCCAGTCCATCCAGGGGCACCACGCAATGTCACTGAGATCTGTGGTAGTTTAGATTGCGAGTTTCTTGCTTGGGTTGATGCAAATAATGTTCTTTTGGTCTACCAAGAAGGTGGGTGTGCATCTGTTGTGCCACTTTAGTACACACGGAATTGCATTGTTAAACAGCCTACACCAATTTTCATACCTCCTCGGTGGCCCTTGTGCGTGAACAGCAGCTGTGGTGGATCGTCGTCCTCGTCCCCGTCTTCAAGCTATCAACTGCAAATATGTCTGGGTCTGGAAACTTGTAATGTCGCGCTGGGAGTAGTGAATGCTCTGTGATGCACAGCCAAGCATCAGAAATATGTGTGTTGCGTTTTTCGCATGACAAACTGCGTTTTTGCATGACAGGCAAAAGAGTCTCTTCGTGGACACGCATCACAAACTTTTTGGTCATGCTAGACAAGCGTGACAAGTCTCGCAATCTTCCAGACCCAGACATTTTTGCATTTGATACAAGCTCCTCTGCGAATCGCACATCGTCGTCTGGAAGGGTTTTCTGCGCAATGTCGTACACGGTGACGCAGCCGTCTGTGGTTCCGCAGGAGGCAAAGACCTGAGGATTTGGAAGTTGGTTTTTTTCGCAATACGAGAGATGGTTCATGTGGGTCTACTGGCAATTATGTTGTCCGGGGAAGATGTTACTAGAACAGCAGAAATTTGAAAGCAGAAAAATAACGAGAGATGCACTATCACAACCTTATTTTCCGGAAATTCTTGCAAGTACTTTTTAATACCGTATCGCCTTCGCTAAACTTCTTCCATTTCACCCTTTCGACGCCGCCAGGGTGCGCGTTCGGGGTGTAGAACAGCGGTACCAGTTCGTCCGCCGTGCGGAGCTCCAGTACCAGGAGGGAACCATCTGTGGCGCCGAGAATCGCTTTATTTTCGAACACATCCAGGGCCTGCACGACGGTCTTTTTTTCTTTCGCGGAGGCACTGTCGCTCGCCGCTGGGCTGGCATCTTCCTCCGCGTTAATACCAGAATCTGGTTTTTTGCTGGACGAGCTCTGCGCCGCACTATCGGTCGCAGCTGCGGGTGCCGCCCGGTTGGCTTCCTTATTCGCGGCGGTAGAGGGAGGCGCGGTCTTTCCCGCCTGCCTTGATGAAATCTCAGCGGCGGAGTGTGGGCCGTCGTCAGTGGAACCGCCGTGGGGAAACAGTTCCTTGGCTTGCTGAACGTAGAACTCCCAGAGGTTTGTGTCCAGTATCGGCTGCTGCGAAACGTCCTTCTTCTGGCCGTCCCACTCCACTTTGAAAAGCGGCGCGCTGTCGGTGCAGCCTGATGGTTTTTGCGAGATTGTGAATTTTGCATTACTCGGCTATGGACAGAATCTTCACAGGGCGCTTGTACTACAATGAAGTAGGTTCTTGTCATGATATTCGAGGAAAATCATGTAGTACAAATTTTTATACCGTATGCAACGCTTTTCGAGGTGCCCACCAGGTCGTTTATATCGGCGCCCATACTGGTGACTGCTGTTGGCCCGGCCTCTGGCCCGACAAGCTGGTCCAAATCCCAGCGCGCGACGGACCCGTCATTCGCCCCAGACCAGACCACATTTTCCACCGCGCTGAGACCAAAGGCAACGTCGCTGTGGCAGTTCAGGCTGACGGCTTCCATCTGAGGGGTGTGGGTGAAATCCTTTCATTTTAAGCAAAAAGAAGATCGTAGGAAGGTGACAGCAAATGCGAATGCCGATATCAAAAATCTTTACTTGTCCACAAAAATCATAGCCGCATGAAATCTCATCTGACACATTATACAGCGTTCTTGCTGTACTCCTATAGGGCAAAAAACGGTCTCAATACAGAAAAAAAAATACGAGCTCTGTGCCGTCCGTATTCAGCCTTTGCGCGATAAGTTGGCCCGACGCTTTTCCCGCGACGAGCCAGTTTTCGTGCGCGGCGACGAGGCGGTAGTACTCCACGTGCTCGCGCTCGTGCAGCAGAAGTGCGGTTTCGCTCGACCAGAGGCCCCAGGGGTTCACCTTGTCCGCCGGGAAGCCCACCGAGAAGGTCGTCGGCCGGTAGTGTTCGTTGAACTCTTCCAGCGCGATGGGGCCCTGCGAATGCGCCGTGGGTTGCTCCACGAACATCTGGTCTGCGGCTCCGGGTTGGGGGTAATCGAGGGGAGAAAAAAGTGGGTCGAACGAGGAAAAATTGGCGCTGTCACTGGAGCGATGTGTTTTTAAAGTTGCCTTCAACGTGAAGAACAGATTGAGTACATGCGAACGAGCACGAGGATCAAGTGCCTTCCGAAATAAAGGCATACTATGCTAGAAGGCTCTTCATCAGCAGCAAGACATGGACTGGACACATCCATTATAACAGGAGCCCTTCCACGTTCGACCCAGAATACATATAAATATCCGAAGCATACCCTGCGGGGACGTAGTCCTCTAGAAAGCTCTCGTGTATGCTGATTTTGTGAAGGTCGCAGGGATCGGCGTGCAGCCAGAGTGCCAGGCTCTGGTTGTGCGGCAGTATGTGCTTGGCCTTTTTGGCGCCGTCTGCCTTGGTGGAGGAACCGCTGCTAGCACCCCCTTGTCCCGGCTGCGGCTGCTTCCCGTCCGGCTGAACAAACACAGCGCTGCTGCTGCTACTGCTGCTGTTGCCCGTCAAAAGCGGCCGTGGAGGTTGGGAGGAAGATGCTGCTGTGTTCATTTCGTTTGACATGATCCCATCTTCCGCCGCAGTTTTCTTGTAGGCGGCCCAGCAGACGGACACGGCGGCGGACGGCACTACGGTTTGCACGAGTCGCTCGTACAGTTTGGATGCCTCCATGGTGACGCGGAGGCGCTCGGCAAAGTCCAGGTGCTGGTCCGGCTTCCCGTGGTTCACGCTCTGCCCCAGCAGCATCTTCAGCATCTCCGGGTTGGCGGCCGCCTCCTCGACGGCCTGTGTCATCTTGGTTTCGTAGTCCGCGCCCTCGTCGGTGGGGTTGGCGAGCATGGACGCCCACAAGCTGTTCTGCTGCAAGGCGTGGATCAGCGCGGCGGACTTCTCGGCGTCCAGACCGCCCACGCCGTTCAGCGACTGCTGCTTTGCGTATTCCAGCGGGTCGAACTCACTGCTGTCGTCGCTATCTTCAGCATTTTCACCTTCAATATTTCTGCCACCTATTACAGTTATAGTCGTCGCTACTTGCTCCTTCCCAGGCGGCGGTCCAGCACTGCTCGACGCTGCGCTCGAAGTCGCGGCTCTTGATGACTGCTGGTTGATATTGGAGCTCGCCGTTCCATTGCCTGTTGTTAGTAGCTGCGACACTGCTGGGAGCAGGGTTTCGGCTGGTAGGGCGTTCGCGTCGTCCGCTTTACCAGGCGCCGTGGGGTCCGTCGTTTCCTCCGGTCTGTTCCTGTTTTAGAGGATTTTTGTGGAATAGTTTACAGCCGTGTACAACGAATAGTTTCTTCATCTTGCGGACTACAGTTTCATTTTTTGTTTCTTTTATTACTATATGCACATTAGCTAATGCAAAACTGTAACTGATTCTATACTCCATCTTTTCCCGCTTGTCTTGACGGACCAGAGGTTTTCCTTCCACCGCTCTCTTCGAAAAGTCTCCGCCCTCCGTACTTTCTTTGCTGGACGCTGTGGTAACAGGCCCGGTCTCGTCCACTTCCATTCTAGAGTTCAGATCTTGCCGTTGTTACGCTTGCGAGCGGCCGGTGTGCGACGGTAGAAGAGTCAGCGTCGTGCTGCGGTGACGGGTTTTCTTCAATACTCGGCTTTACTTACCACGGGACGGATTCACGTACATTGTCAAGTAGAGGTTGCTGGAGAGGTGACATGTTTTTGCTATCACGAATCTTTCCTTCAAAAATTTCCGACGGGTGTTGCCTACCTTCCAACTGAATACCTGCTTCTGGATAATACGGTGAAAGGAAATCGCTTGTTCTAGGACAATGGAGTGGAGGGCGTTGTAAACTTTGCTTGTAGGCTCAAATGCTTATGAAAAGCCACAACGTATTTTTCACAAAAGACCGCGTACCCGTTTGCTGCTTTTATTTTGATGGCAGATTTATTTGAAGACAAGAAACGATCCACGTGCAACGCTAAATTGAAAATCGTCTGTTGCCACGAGCAGATCCGGCTGGTTTCGCTGTTTGCAGAAAATTTCAGAATCGAGAAATTTTTTTGCGGTTTGAGCACATTGCTTGACGGCTGTTGGTGCGGTTATATCTGCGACCCACGGAACACGACGACTCCCTAGCGCGTCGGGTTAGTAAAGTGAGAATTCATGATACCACTTTGCGTGGTGGTCTGATGTTTTCCGGATCATAAACTAGTAGCTTCTGAAGAGGAATTTTGTGCACTGGTTTAGGGAACATGCGAGCGAGTAAGACTAGTAATCCTGAGTTGCAGCTTCGCGGAGCTGTGGTGCTATGCTTCAATCGGTATTAAAACCCAGAATTCTTTCCTTCTTCGTCTCCTTCGGAAACTTCAAGGACCTTCCGCCCGCCCTCTGCTGGCGTTGAGCCACAGTGCTAGCGTGGAATAGCCGATGCCGCTTACCCGCGTGACGTTCGTTGCGGTTAGGAGGGAATCGGAAGTTTTTTCGCAAAACACGCGAACCTCATCGCCTGGCTGGAACGTGCCCAGACACCGGGGAATCTCGATCAAACATTTTGCTTTCCGGTCCGTCACATCGTACACGGCTCCGTAGTGGTATAGAGTGTGGGAGAAGTTGCAGGGGGGGTTGTGTGTGATAGTGATTTTTGCCCCGTTGTTTCACTAGGGTTCTTTTTGCGCTCAGTACTTGTAACTGAAATTCCATAGTTCTTTTACATGCATGACAGTTGTAAGGAACGAAGCACAGAGCAAAAGCAGCCTTTTCACAGTCCGCCCCCTCCTGGAGTTTCCACTAGCGTACCTTCCGCTCCCTGATCTGTGCGAAAAGATGCAACTTCTGCCCCACCGGTTCTGCAGCAACATCTCCGAGCAGGACAATTTTCGGCGGCGTGTAGTACGTCGGGGCAGAAGAATGTTCTGCAGCGTTGGCCTCCTTTTTTTCCCTTTCGTCATTTCGTGGAGCGCGGCAACCGTGGTCCGGGGTTTTGTCATGGGGCACAGGCATGAAGCGGGACCGTCGCCATAGTTGCACGCGCAAGGGCGGACGAAGCGTCTGTCTATACAGGTGTCAGTTTAAGTACTCTATTAGGCAGGAGGAGGCTGCGCTGCTTCAGAGTGCAATAAGTGCGTCACATCGTCCAAATTTCGTTTTCCACGATGGCGGCAAGAGAAGCTACAACAGTAGGGGATTGCAGCATCGACAATTAGCAAAGTAGGTATAGCGGAATCAACATCAGTTGCGATCGTTTTTTGGTAGCGCGCTTCTTAGCTGCATACGAACACTGAAAACGAATTCTCAAAACACAAATGATGCACCCATAAGGAAAGGCGCTTGAAATTGCTTGCTGCTTTACTTTTACAAGGAGAGCAGGCTTCTGCCTCTGTCTGCAGTGGCAAACGGAAGAAGCCGAGCCAGGTCGCCGGGAATGGGGCCGCAGGCCGTGCGTGGCGCCAGGTGTAGGCCAAGCCGGGGCACACACCCCAGCGCCCACAATGGGCCGGGTTGCGAGGACTGTAGGCCAGCCGCATGACACTCGCGGGCGCATGATGACCACAATGGGCCTGGCGCCCAGCGCGGCGCATGGCACTCGCGGGCGCCCGGAATACCAGGGCGCCGCGTTCTGATCGGCCAGGAGGCCACCACAGGAGACCACCCGAAACAGGGGCCGGGGCGCGGCGCTTCGCTTCCCTTCGTTCTGGCCCGGCGCCCCTGTCCTTTTGCCGGCTTCGCTGCCCCGGGCGGCTGTCTTCGGCGCGCCGATGGGCCGCCCGCCCAAAATTCCCGCCGTAGCAAGCTGACATGGTCAAGCTGGCCCCGCGGGGCCACAACACTGCCCGGGCAAACGCCGAAACGTCGGCGAGGCCGGTATGGTATCCAACGACACGGGGCGCGCTCGCGTCATCGTAGCCGAGAAACACCCCAGGCCCGGCGCTAACTTCGTGCCCACCTGCTTGCGGAAGAAACAAAAACACCCAAAGACTCTGAAGCAGCGCAGGCACACCCCGCCGCGTGGTTGACACACAAACGCCAAGAGGCCCGGGACTTCTCGCTTCCTCTACGGCGGCGGGGGATATTATTGGGGCCCGCCAGCCAGCAGGTGCGCCCGGCCTGGTTTCCCGCTCTGTCGCCCAGGCTAGCTTGCGCGGGCATTGGCTAGGCTTCCTTTGTCTGCCCCGCCCCTTTTGCCGCCAAAATCCCCAGGCCCGGGGCCGGCCGGCGTAGTCTGCGGGGCCTGCGGCCCACAAGCAGGCCCCCACGCGCCACTCGGCGCGCGCCCAGTGCTCTGCGGCTGCCCTGCTCGTTGTGGCGCGGTATGTAGTCCACGACCATTCGCTTGGTGCGGTGGCCCTTCCGGTCCGCCAGGAAGGCCGGGCCCCAGTGCGGCGGCGGCGTTGCGGTTCCGCGAAAGATAGAACAAGGGCCGCCGGCCTCGGCCCCAAGCCGGCCCGCACTTGGCTGGGGCGCCCGCCCGGGCGCTGTGCGGCAGGTGCCCCGCGCTTGTATACCGCAACGCACGGCATGGCGGCCAGGCTGGTACGCGCGCGGGCCCAGTCAGCGGAAGCAGTTACCGCGCGCCCCGGCCCACAAGCTACGACGCGGCGGCCAAGTTTGGCGCCGCTCGGCTGATCCGCGCGGCGACGCCTCTGCGCCACGGTTGGAATGGTGGCAGGCTCTGCCGAACCGGATGCCCGCTACATGATAGGCCGCCGCAATCGCAATGCGAACGAAGCCGACGAAAAAAGAAGACCAACGACGAAGAGTCAGCAGAGGAACAGAACACCGTGGTGCCGTGACAAGCACGCGCGCGTGGTGGGGATCTCGAGTCCGCAGCAGTAATGCTCGAACCTATTCACGCTGTTTAACAATTGTACGTTCTAGATTAGCAGCCCGAGCGGACACGAGCTGGGCTTTTAGGGATTATTCTAGCTTTGCCAACACATTTACAGTGTGACGCGTTTCTTTTTCCATCAATCGTCAACAACGCAGCTCACTGATGCTGCGTTATCCGCATGGGTAGAAGTGCTCTTGTTGGAGAAGCAGATTCAAGTAGCGTCTCACTTTGTAGTTGCCAGGGAGCTGATTTGGTGACGGTGTTGAAACATTGAAACTAAACATCCTTCGGACAAAACATGCCACAGCCGACTTCTTGGCCCAGGTTGCAGGCAACTGCGAGCAACATCAGAAGACATCCGTCACTACTTCTGGGTGCAGTGGCCTCCTTCTACTCCTCCTCAAACCATTCGCGCTCACACCGGAGACAGCAGTACTTCCTTTTCACCTCTCGTTCCAAAGCCGCGTACTTCCCGAGACTACCGACGGGGTAAGAGTAGTGCACGGTTCCTAAGGGTCCACAGTGCTCGCACACGGCTTGGTTCTTGGTGGCAGGAAAGGGGAATCTGGTGCGGAGAGACGAGCTCGCGGTTCCCAGTGCGGGGCCGGAAGGGGGATCACGTGGTGCGGGTTCGGGTTGGCCCGCTTCGATTGGTCTTTTGCGTTGCGCCAGTTCCTGCTGAATGCGCGCGAGCAGGGAGGTGGTTTTTTCGTCAAGGGAAGTGGTTGTAGGTTCTTTATCTTGTGCTCTGTTATCGCTCTCGCCAAGTTCGGTTTCCGGGGTTTCTTGCTGTGAAGTGGGGGGAAATACGACCGAAAGAAGATGCTGTTGCTCCTCCCTTTCCAGGCCTCGTAAAATCTTTCGTAGCGCCGCAACGCCGTGCCGGTCGTGGCACATTTTCGTGATCTCCTGGAGGACAACGGAGGAACTCAAGTGGGGCAAAGCAGTTCCGGGAGTGTCGGTTGTATGGGGATCAGAGCTTGGGTTCGGCGCTGGGAGGTTTAGTTCTTCCGGCGCAACTTCTGTGCGGAGGCGGAGGAGGATCTCTGTGATACTGCTCCGCACGTCAAACTTCAGACGGGGTTCGAAAGCCTCTGGCAGCACCGGGTCAGCGGCTCGGCGGCTTTGTGCCGACTTGCCATACGCATCTTCGCGAGCCCGCTTTAGCGAGGCCTGTAATTTTGAAGCGGACATAGATCGCGCTCTATGGGGAGGCACAGATAATAGTATAGCGAAATATGGAAGTGCAAGCGACGACTCGCCGTGAGGCTTTCAACTACGGACGGATGAACGGCGTGGATGCTCCTCGACGGAAGAACACACGCGGCGGCCTGCAATGCTGCGCCGGCTTTGGCAGTGTGCCCTGAATTGGCGCGCGGCTACCAAAATGTCTACGGTAGGGCCACACAGTCTGGCACGGGCGCGCGGTGGCCCGTTTGGCGGGGCGGCTGGAAGAAGCTGCGGCGCCTTGCGGACTCTTCGCAGCGAGCCCGGCTGGCGACGTAGCAAACCCGCCTCGCGGGCGGTTATCCTTTATGACGCCCGGCCCGAGCAGGCCAGACGGCTTCCCAAAAAGCCGGGGCAAATCAGAGACAAGCACGGGCCGCGCCGCAGTCAGGCGAGGAGCGGGCGGGGCGGCCGCTGTGGCGGTTTGCTTCAATCACGGACGCCGGGGCCGGCTAAGGCTGCGCGCACGCCCGGCGCACCGAAAAAGCGGCGCCCACAGAGGGGGCCGCGGGGCGGCGCCCGCAGCGCTTTACGGGCTTCGCCACCGCCCACACGGCCGCACTTCATCGCCATAGCCAGGGCGGCCGTCCTTTCAAGGGCTTGCCTGGCGCCTATCACACACGCCGCCGCGCCTTCTTGCGGGGCTCGACTCGCTCAGCCCCCCCTTGCGTCGCACCGCTCAGCGAGTCCATGCCTCGCTTCTTCCATTGGCACGCGCGAGATCTCTAGGGAATTCTTGACAGCTAGCAAAGTGGGCCTCAGGGTAAACGCAGTCGACGCGGAGCCCCTGCCGCGTCTGGCTCCGGCATTTTCAAACCCAGCCGCTCGAGTCCGGCTACCGCCAGCGCTGTCGCCTGCGTCTGGTCGCCTTCGCAGCTTTGAAGCAGCAACCGCGCGGACGACGCCACGACAGCCCCGGGGCCTTGAAGCGGGCCTTGTTGTCGGCCCCGGCTTCTGGGGTGGTCGGGCTGTCTTGCTGAATGCCCTCACCTCTAGCCGCGAGCGCTTGCCGCCTGCGTCTCCGCCCATTGCGTTCGGCGCTGCCCGGGACCGGGAATCCAGTCGCCCGCGGCGCTTCGCAAGCCAGCACCCACGGGGGGCAGCTGCGCCAACCCTGTGGCGATGCTGAACCCGCGCAAGGCGTAAGGGCGTAGAACGTGCGGACCCCCCCCCGCCTTGTGGCCGGGGCCAGGCGCCGCATGCCGGACCGCCTACGCAACACGCCCCGCGGCGCCTCTTGTTTGTAGCGCCGCGGCGCACTGCCATCCTGCAGCGAAGCGGCATCGTCCGGCGCTATTGCGCGGGCGCGCTTCTCGGGGTGGAACAGCGAGGCCAGCTTGTTTCGGGGAATGTTATCTGTTAGTCTGCTCGCGGCCCTGCTGCATTTCTACGCCCAAGCGAGCAATTTACTCAGCGCCGTAGCGTAGTGCTAACCCCCTAGCGCTGTGCCCCTTTCTGCCGGCCAGGAACACCGGGCGAACATAAGGAGGCGCCGCCCGCACCCAGTTCAGCCGGGCCGGGCCGCGACGCGGCGGGGCCGGCCACTAAATGTGACCGCGGGCGCCGGCCTGGGCGCGGCCCCGGTACCCGACCAACCTCGCCCCTGCGCGCGGGTTGGGGCCGCAGCAGACTCCGCCGCATCCGCTGGCCGCTATGTAGGATGGGAAGATCGCAATACGAAGCGGGCAAAGAAAAAACAAAAGCAGCGAGGAACACCTTTGCATCCGCACAAAAACGCACTCGTTCCGGATATCTCGAGTCCACAGCAGTCTTGCTCGAGGCACCTCGTATCCATAATTCTGTTCAACTACAATTGTACATTCCAGATTAGCTGCAGCCCGAGCGCACCACAACAGCTGGGTTTTTAGGGACTATTCCAGCTTTGCGGGCACATTTACAAGGAGGCATTTTTCATCAATCGTCAGGAGCGCAGGTTGCTACTGCTGCTTTATCCGCTTCAGGAAGCAGACTCAAGCGGAGGCTCATGCAACGAGTTTGCCGCTCCTGTTCCAATGCTCCTGTGCATGAAATCGAAACGTCACAACATCAGCACGCGCGCTTTCTTTGGGGTTACTAAAAAAATGCGCGAGGAGTTTATATTACCAGGAGCCAAAATACATTTAGAGACGCTATTTCCTTTAGAAATACCAGAGTCAAACCATCGGGTTATGTGCCTGAAATCGAACTTTTCTTTGAGGAGTGTATGTTGTAAAATCAGAGTTTTTCTTCGAGGAGTATAATTCGTAAGCCTAGTGAAAAAAGTAAGTTTAATATTGATTCGTTCCGAGGAAACTGGCGCTGTAAAATCGAGTTTTTCTTTGAGGAGTATCGTAAAATCGAGTTTTTCTTTGAGGATGTTCTTAACCAGTGCTGGAAACAACGCGGGTTTTGTTGATACAAGAGTAAACATGTTAATTTCGTGTGTTAGAAGGTTTTCTGTGCAACGGCACGGCTTCTACTCTAAAAAACATGGAGTCGACGTCGCTTCAACCGCCGCCCACACACACAGCAACACCAACCTTTCTTCACCACCGGCACCTAGTACTTCGGCTTCGGATCCTCGTGGCCGGCGGGACCGAGGTTGATGGCCTGAACGTTGTGCAGCTTTCGGTAGTTCACCACAAATCGCGTGTCCTGAGTAAAAACCTCCCCACACCAGAGTCAAGATGGGGATTTTGCAACACAAACCTAGAACTTTTGGGGGTCACGCGTCACAAGTTGCAGTCCGTAGTGTAGTGCAGGTTCGCAAGGCCAGCTGCATCAGAAATCCATCTTCTCATCGTGTTTACAGCATCACAAATTCCAAAACACGACTAAAAATGCCTCTCCTGGCGATGCGCATTACAAATATTCCTGTCATTGCAAATCTGCATGACAACTCTGGTGTGGGGACGTTTTTAGTCAGGATATCGTGTGTCCTGCGGTTCGCACTCCTTTGCCGCCTCGAAGTCTTCCGCCGCCTCCTCGTAAAATCGTAGTGCCTTGAAGGATATCCACTGCAAAAATGTCTGGGTCTGAAGAGTGGAACTTGTAATGCTGTCTGCGGATTCTAACAATATCTGTGTTGCATGAGCAGCAAGAAGAGTCCAATTCTTGGCACGCGGAAAGGGCATTTCTCATGCGTGATTAGCATCAAGAAGCCCTCAAAAAATCTGTGGTGCTAGGACCTGCATCACTGACCCCATGGGTCATGCAAAATGTGCATGACAAACCCCGACTCTTCCAGACCCCGACATATTTGCATTTGATAAAGGAGAAACCGCGACGGAAGTATGCCCGGGCGTTGTTCGGCTGCGCTTCCAGCACCTTGGAGAAGTCGCGAAGCGCCTTCTCGTGCTCGCCGATGACCTGGGAAGTAGGCATCAGCTTAGAGTTGCATTTGCCATTTTATCGAATAGTCGAAATAAATCATAGTATGGTTCTACTTCTACTCCGCATGAGGATGACAAGATCTTGTTGTAGCTCTCGTTCCTGTATGACAAATTCCGCCTCAAACAGAAACACATCATCACCTGTTCGCTCTTTGCCCTCTCGTGCACGTAGTGTGGGTAGTCCTCCATCTTGACGCGCTTAATCGCCTCCTTATCCTGTGTAAAAACGTCCCCAACCCAGAGTCAAGAGGGCGATTTTGCGAGCTTTTGCTGTTGCGCATGGCAAATGTGAATGTCTAATGTAGTCATGGTTATAGCGAGTGAAGTTACATCACAAATCTCGCTTCTTATCCTGATTGGAGCATGACAAAGTCCAGGACAGCATGAGAAATGAATGCTCCTCATGTAGTTGGGGTTGCGCATGAGAAACATTTTTGGCATACAGGGTTGCATGTCAAGTCTGGGACCTCGTGGGGACGTTTTCACACAGGATACTCGTCGAACGCCGGCACGGCGAAGAGGTGCTTTCCGAGGTTTGCGAATGACACACCGAGGTGGTAGTAGATGTCGTGCAGTGTCCCACAGAAAAAGACAGGCACTAGGGCACATTTGTAACGCAAAAATAAATAAGCAAAAACATTTGTATTTTTACATATCATAATCAGCACACAGCTATGGGCTCACCCATGACAGATTCATTTCCTATTATCGTTTCTTTTTGCATAATTATATACAACTGTCGTGCCCGGGAGGTGGCCTGTTCTTTTCTGTGGGATATGCAGGTTCTGTGGGTACGCGCCTTGTTCGAGGGAACGGTATGGAAGGAAATTGAAAAACGACGCTTATTTGTCATGCGTAGATCGGAAGAAAATCGGAAAGATCTTGGGAAAAGCGCATGACAAAATTCGCACGTTTTTTCCACCATAACGAAGTCAGATCGTCGATCGCCTGCTGGAAGAAATCTTGCGCGTACCTTGATGTATGTGTAACAGATAATTATTTCACATGAAAATTTCTTGTCATGCAAAGCAGAATACTGACATCAATCTGTGATGCATGATAATATACGACATTCGTAGTGCGCGATGTGTAAATAAATTTCAAAGAGTAAAAACTTGTCATGCAAAGCAGAATACTGAAATCAAGTTGTGATGCATAATGAACAACATTACCTCGCGATCCCGCGTTTGTACAGCAACTGTGGGTCCTTCGGGTCCACCTGGAGCGCTTTTGACAAGTCTTGCTCGGTATGCATTGCAAATATGGATCTGGGTCTGGATATCATGCGAAGCCCTGCATTACAGATTTTGTGGCCATGGCCAACCACTTGGAAACACAATTACATCAACATCTTCCAGCACACCCAGATCGATATTATTCCATTTGATACTCGGCCCGGGCGTAGAGACCCTGCTCGACGAAGCACTGTGCGCGGTTGGCGAAGTATTCTGTGGTGACCAGATTTGTTGGCAGCGCGAAGTCGAGCTCGTTGACCACGGATTTGTCGACCTCGGTGGACACTAACAAGGCTTCCTGTTCCTGCAGCGCAAAGGTCAGATCCGCGATGGCGCGCGACAAATTGCCCAGCGCCCGGTAGCATCAAATGCAAAAATGTTTGGGTCTGGAATGTTGCCAGGTTTGTCATGCATATTTTGTATGGCCCAGGATTGTTTGTGATGTATGCCCTACCATCACAGCTTTTCAGAACCCTTCCTGATGCCTACTCCGCATGACAAACGCCCTCCCCGCGTAGCACAAACTAGACTCCTCTTGCTCGTCATGCAATACAGATTTTTTTAGAGTCCAAAGTTAGCTTCACAGGTTCCAACCTTCCAGACCCAGACATTTTTGCATTTGATAGGTAGGCCAGGCCCCGGTCGTTGTAGACGCAACAGTTTATCCCACAGAAAAAGACCGACAGGTCATATTTGTAATGCAAAAATAAATACACAGGAAAATCTGTCATGGGCGAGGCCATAACATCCTGTTTAGGGCATGCAATACAGATTTTTTTGTCTATTTATTTTTGCATTACAAATATGACCTGTCGGTCTTTTTCTGGGGGATACAGTTCTGGAAACTCGGGCCCTTGCCTCCCAGTTGCAGAGCCACGTATCAAATGCAAATGGGTCTGGGTCTGGAAACTTGTAAGGGTGAATGGGCATGATTGAGTGCGCTTGTAAATGCAGTGAAGCATGACAAATTTTTCAGTCGCATTCTCATGCGCAGCACGCATCACAGCCTGCGACTTTCCATGACAAACATGTGGTGCTTTTGCTGCTTATGCAATAAAGATTTTTATTCAGGAATGCGAGACACGCAATACAGGCTCAACCTTTGTTCCAGACCCAGGCATCTTTGCAATGCATACCACGTTGAAGTCGGCGATTGCCTCGGTCTCTTGGAGCATGCGGAGGTACCTGAGACGTGGTGCGAGGTTTTGATTATTTCTGTGTGTCATAGTCTTGCTGACCACCGATATTGGATTGCATGTTTATGATGTAGTTGCATATGCATACAATGGCAAAAGCAAAACTTGCGAGTTACTTATGCATGAATCGATGAAGTAGCAAAAATAATACACGACGCCCCGGTGGTAGTAGTATCTGCCATTTTCCTCCAGGTCTATTGCCGAAGTGAAATCTGTATGGATTGCAAAAATGTCTGGTTCTGGAAGAATGCAACTTGTGACGCTACTTTTGGAATCTACATAAAATCTGTATTGCATGAACAGCAAAACAGGTGTAATTTGTGCTACGCGGAGAGGGCGTTTCTCATGCGGTATGAGCATCAGAAAGCCCTCGCAAAATCTCTGATGCTAGGTCATGCATCACAGACCTCATGGGTCATGCAAAATCTGCATGACAAACTCCTGCATTCTTCCAGACCCAGACATTTTTACATTTGATAATCTGACAAGGCCAGCTCGTATTTTCCCATGTCTCGGAATACCAGCCCGCGGCGCTCGTACCTGAGTTAGAAATAAAATTGCAAAAAAATTATAAAGTAGCCTATTGCTAAATACATTAGTTTTAGGGGTGCGAAGTAGAACAACACAAGACAAATAAAACCTTCACTCTGCCATGAAAAAAGCAAATATCAAGCACTTGAGAAATAAAATTCTTTGTACAGTGCTTGGTCGTGTGGTATGTCCCCGGAGAAGACCTCCAGTGCCCTTGAGTACTGCCCGTCCACATGGTACATGATACCTAAATGGAACTTGCTCGGGTAGTGCGTGGGGTCCAGGTCGATAGCCTGGAGGTAGGCGTCGATCGCTTGTTGAATGGCGTGCAGCCCCTGGAATGCTAATCCCTGGTGGTGATAGTAAACTGCATTGTCCTCGTCGTGGTCATATCAAATGTAAAAGTGTCTGGGCGTGGAAGAGTGCGCGATTTGTCATGCAGCTTTTCCATGACCCATGAGGTCTGGAATGCAGGACCTAGCATGACAGACTCTGTGCGATCTCTCTCATGCCTATCCTGCATGAGAAACTCCCTCGCGACTTGGTCAAAACTGGACGACTTTTGGTAATCATGCAACACAGATTTTTGCATGCTTCAGAGTTAGCATGACAAGTTGCATTCTTTCAGACCCAGACATTTCTACATTTGATAGGCCAATAGCGGTTTCGTAGTCCTCGATGTGGAGGCGTCAGGGTCGAAATCGACAAAGTTGAAAAAATTTGGGATGCACAGTAAAAGGCAAGTTTCAAAATACCTGTATTGGAAAGCCAGCAAGCACGGCCGACTGTAGGCCTGTTTAGGAGTAGAAATAGAGTTGCTGAAGTAGCATGACAAAACTAGTTTTCTGCGCCCGTCTGCGCCCAAACAGCATGACGAATTGGGTTGCAATGCTGCAAAGATTTGTCGTGCGCCACTAGATTGTTCCAACTCGTATCGATTTTATGCGTTGCAAATGATTTCAGCTTTGTCGATTTCGATCCTGACAGTTCCATACTCCAGCGACTTGTCGTACTTCTTCATGCTGAAATACGCGTTACCTGTGGGGAAAGAAGGTTTATTTGGATATCGCGAGAAAAAACTGTTTCACTGTAAACTTGTAATGCAGAAAATGTATCCGAGAAGTGTTTGTCTTGCTACACATGCAAGAAAATGGGTTTTTAGCTGTGTTTTCCCTTAGGAGTCTCGCATGGCAAATTTTCTCTGTGATGTAGAGCAAATTTGTGACGCAAAACTTGCAAAATCCCTACAGTGAAACACTTTTTCGTACGATATTAGAATGCTTAGTTGTACTCTGTCCAAAACCAGCATCGTGCGTTGCGTATTGCTACAATAAATCTGTGATGCAAAAAATAAACCAGCAAATAATCCTCGAGTGTTCATGCTATTGCAGCTCGTGATCTCAATAAAAGTATTTTTTAATACCTCTGTTGAAAAATATTCCCGCATCCTTGCTGTAGTGACTTATGGCTTCCGTGAAGTCGGTCGCCGCGTCTTCGTAGTTGCTCAGGTGGTAGCAGGCCAGCCCGCGGTTGTTTAAATATTTGCTACTGATCACGCGATCCTCCTCGGCTATTTCCTCGGTTTCGTTGCCCTGGTTCTGCTGCTTCAGCTTCTCCTGGTGCGCGGTTAATGCGGCCGTAAACGCGGCCTTGGCCGCCTCGTAGTCGCCCATCTGCGCGTAGGACAGACCGAGGTGGTTGTGCCCATCCGACCGGGTCGCGTCGATTTCCAAACACCCTTTCAGCGACTCCACCGACTTCTGCAGTTCGTTCACCTTCCGCAGCGCGATGCCGCGGTAAAAGTGGCTGTTGTAGCTCTGCTGGGGGTTCAGCTTCTTTTCCAGCCCGAGCGTGAAGTCGTTGATGCAATTTTCATACTCCTCGAGGTCGTAGTAGACCTGGTGGGGGGTGTGGGTCATATGCGTGTGCGATTAAGTTCCTGCATGACAAAGACAAATCTCAAATTGCGATGACATTAGTTCTTACAACTTCCCCTGGATCATGAAGATGAAGAAAAGAATCGTAAATATTTTAGTACCAGTGCCCGCTCGTAGTAGTACTGTGCGTGGTCACCCTGTCCGATTCTTATTGCCTCGTTGTAATCCTTCAGCGACTCCTGTAGCCTGCCGAGTGATCGGTAACAATACCCCCGGTAGTATCCTGAGTAAAAACGTACCCACACCAGAGTCAGGATGGGGATTTTGCAACACAAACCTAGGAGTTTTGTGAGTCACGCATGACAAGTTGCGCTCTGCAGTGTAGTGCAGGTTAGCAAGTGCACCAGCATCACAGATTCATCTGCTCATCCTGTTTACAGCATCACAAACTCCAAAACACGATTGAAAATGGCTCTCATGCGGATGCGCATGACAAATGTTCCTGTCTTTGCAAATCTGCATTACAACTATGGTGTGGGTACATTTTTACACAGGATAGGTAGCCGATGTGCTTCGCGACGTCTGATTGTTGTTTTTTTAGATTGAGTACCAAATGTAAAAATGTCTGGGTCTGGAAGAGTCCATGTTTGTCATGCGTGTCTGGCATGACTCTGAAATCTGTCGTGCACGTTACCCAAGAGCGCCACTTTTCTGTCATGCAGAAACGCAGTTTGTCATGCAGAATAGGCAACACCTAGAAGCTCAGAGACTTCTCATGCTGAGCCAGCACCTGCGGCGTCCTCATGATATGCCACCCAGCATCACAAGTTTCCAGACTCAGACATTTTTACATTTGGATCGAGATTTCTAGGAAAAAGGTTTTGCATCTTCTTTGTGGCCAAGAGAAAAGTCTATTTCGGTACAAGAAAACTACATCATAGCCTCCTGCATAGAAGAGCCAGAATTTATTGTGCGCATCAAGACAGTACTGATCGAAGCATATAGTAGTACTGTTTCCGCCTCCAGAGTCGAGCCGTATTGCCATGGAAAAATCGAACAGCGCCCTTTGGTATTGGTGCAACGCGAGGAAGCATTTCCCGCGGGAGAAAAAGTGGCTGGACTTACTGGCATTTCCGGCGATAGCGTCGGTGAGCAGGTTGACGCAGACCTGGTAGTCCTGCGGCGGGTATCCTGTGCAAAAACTACGTCCCCACCCCAGACTCAAGATGGGAATAAATCTGCTAGACAAATCAAGCAGCTTGGGTTGATGTTTTTGCGCATGACAAGTTCTTTGGCCTCGTAGTGTATTATTGATCCAGTCGTGTTTTATGGCTAGGTCAGCAGCATCACAGATCCAGGAGATAATTTTGATTGGAGCATCACAAACGCAATAAATGCTTCCTTCTCAACATGGAAGGTTTCCGCATGAGAAACCAACTTTCTCAGCCTTTGCAGATTTGCCTGACAAGCACTCTGGGGTCTGGAGACGTTTTTCCCTGGAATAGCGTCTGGGCCTTCTTCAGCAGGGCCAAGGCCTGCTTCCCGGCCTCGGCGGAAGAGGAGGAGGACGACATGTTCTTGGGGGTGGATCGGGTACTACTTTGTTGGGCGTGCGACAGGTGGGTTGGTACTCTAGGGAAACGTCGTGTGGTTGGAGAGGTCTGACACCAAGCTCAATCTGGTCCGGTCGCCGGACATGGTGGACTCCAAGACGGCATTTTCCTGTACTTTGGATTTCACCTACAGTCTGGCACCTGCCGCAGCCAACAACTTACGTCGTCAAAAATAACTGGTACTAGCTGTGCTACTTGTAGTGGCTTTGGAACTCAATACTTAGCAGGATTGATGTTGACCGCTGCCCGCGGATTCGATTGCTTTTTTCATATCTCGTCCCTGCAGCTTGCCTATTGCTTCTGCAGATCGACTCCGGCGCTTTGTGGTCTGTTAGATGCGAAACACACCTCCTGCCAGAGGACCTCGTTAGCTTTCGTTTCACTCAATAACGAACACTGGGAGCACTGTCATGTGCGCGGTTGCGTGAGTGTTGGCACCACCATGTTGCTCAGATTTACCGGATCTTACCAGGGGCGTTGCAACCAAGTTCAGCCTCGCGCAATTGCTGGAGAAATAGATAATCCCTTTTACGGTCCAAGAAAGAAAGGACAAGACTCTCATCCACAAAACTGCGACGACGTAGAACAGCGAATCTGTGATGCGGGAAAAGAGAAGGTTGCACAGCTTTTTCATTTGCTCCAGCCTCGCATAATCATTTTCATCCTACAGGTCCACATTGCTCGAAAGAATCATACAACGCCTCTTGTTTAGTTTTAGTTTTGCTGCGAGTTATCATACATGCATTTCAACAGGTTCGCACAGAAGTGCTTCCCCTCGAGGGCAGTCCGGGAATGTTTCTCTGAGTTTTCAACTTTTTCAAGTAATGTGTTACAAGGTGGGTAGTGCTACTTAGTGGCCTACTGGAAATTGAACAGGTCCGCACAGATGTGCTTCTCCTCGAGGACTGAATCCGGGAATGTTTCTCTGAGTGTGAATCTTACATCTCAAGTGATATTTTACAAGTTCAAGGGGGAGTGCCTCTAAAACTGTACTTCCAAGGCCCGAGAAGGGCCCGTCCCTGAGGTTTTCATGGCTCGCAAAGTGCAACTGTCGCCAGGAGAATCAACAGAGGTTGTCCTTCTTCGTGGCCGGTTGCCTGCGTGCTGGACGGCGGCGAACTTTATTTTCTACTTCAATGAATAGATGGCGCGACCAGTCGGACGTCGATTTATCAAAGTTCCCGAGGAGGAAAATTAGGAAAGTGACTCCTCTTTTTAAAGTGCAAGTGCAGCTTAACTGCGTGCATTAGGTGCTAGTTGCGGTAGTTCTTCGGGCGGTTAAAGATCATACATACTTTACGAAGTTGCGCTATCTGGTAGTCTGTCTTCGTTTTTATCAGGTGCAGCCTGAAGCCCAGTACTTCCACTTCTTTCAGGACTTCAAGCTCAGTCCATCCTTGAGTCCAGTACTTCAAGCTCCACCCGTGGGCCCAGTACATTAACTTCTTCTCAACTGACTCTCGAATTCATTGTCGTGGTTGCCGAGCAGAGCGACCACTGCAGTGGGCGGCAGCTACTTATTTACAGCTGCTGCGGTTCGGTACGGTTTCTATGGTCGTACATCTGGTGGAGCCGCTGTACCGTCCCGCGGTGCCATCTCTCGCGCTCCCATCCCTCGGTGATTTTGTCCGGCATGCTGAAAGTCGGCCAGTGCGCGCTCGGGCATTCCAAGCCGCTTTCCGACCTCGTCTACCTTCCATCGCGGAGCGTCAGGTAGGATCTGCCTGTGGCGCTCGTTAGGGTTCAATCCGCTTGTGCAGGATGCAAACGGGTGGGGCATCTTGGCTCCTCTCAGAATCTGGCGAACCTCCCCCAGAATGTGGCTCCACACAAGTGCCTTTGTGTACCGCGCCGCGCCGAGTTGCCGCAAGAGGTCAGACAGGGTGCCGTCGCGGTTCTACCCGCCGTCCTGCGCGTTATGCGCGCCAAGATAATCACCACGAACCCGCGGACGGGGTTGCTGTGGCTCCATTGGCGCTGTGGGCTCGTGGGATAGTACATCAACTTCGCGGTGTGGGTTCCAATGGCTCCAATTCTGAACGCGAACCCCCCCTCCCTGTGCCGCTGCCTCTGCGTCATAAGCCTCTGCCTCAGCATTGAGTCCAAAAGCGTCCCAAGTGTCTTTCCCAGGCTTGGTAAGGGCCGTCTCGCCGTGCAGAGCCATTTTCATCCAGTCCCTGACGACGTCGACTCTTTTCTTGCCGCCCCGCTGTTCATCCACAAATGGCAAGGGGGTATCAAAAAGGCGAGACGCACCGAAAGGCGCCTCATCGTCCAAATACTTCTCGATCAAAAGGCCTCTGTCCTCGCCCACGTCGCCAGAGGTTGCTTCTAAGCGCGTTTCGTGCAGTAAGTCCGTCACCAAATACCACTCGGGCATCGTGAAGAAAGAGTGTGTACGAGTCGCCCATTCCCATTCAGCGATAGCACCAAGCACCTTTTCCTGGAGCGCGTCGGAGACAAAGTCGGTGTCGCTAGAGGCGGCTTGCTCGGCCGCGATCTCCGGAAAAATTTGGCCAAAGTCAAGTGGAAGGCCTTGTTGAAGATCGAGGAAAATTTGTTGTAGACGGGGGTCGACGGCTTGAAGTCGAGCCAGGGGGGGGCGACGACTTGAATATGTGCCGTTAGTAGATGATTTGCAAAGATGAATCAGGGTGTGCGTAGACGTGTCGGGGCGGAATACGCCCCAAACATTACTCCCGCCGATAGCAAGTCGTTGGTCCACGGACGTTTCGAAAATGGCTTCGGTGCCGTATGTTTGCGCCGTTTGAAATTCAACCAGCATCCTTTCCCAGATATCTCTGTAATTCTGACCATACCTTAGCTGCCGCACGCTAGGTTTGCCGCCCACAACCCGCAACTTCCGGTCGCTGCGGTAGGGCCACTGCGTAACGATATTTTCCCACTCTTTGTGCGCGGCGTACCGAAACTTGAAGACGACCCGCGTTGCCGCAATCCTGAGCAAATCAGCAACCGAGCCAACAGGATGCGCAGCCGAGGGAGCAGCAGCGGGGCGGCGTGTGCCCGACCCGGCGCGCCGCGAAGGAGAACGCGTGCGACGCGAAGAAGAGGACGGCGCCCGCTCTGCGGAAGTGCTTCCGCGCGCTCCTGCGGGACCATAGCGAGGGCTCGCGGAGACGAGCCCTAGAAGAGCTTGACGAGGATTCTGCTGCAGGAAGATCTGCACAAGGACGGCAAAACCGGCACGCGCCATTATTTTCGGAAACGGGGTGAGAGCAATATCAGTGTGTTCGCTGGAGCCAAAATCTTACTAGCAAGACTAGGAACGGCGAGGTCACAAAGCGACTCTGTGTTAACTTAACTTAATTGGCAATTCAAGGTGTACGGGATTGAATTACGCTAAAGAAAGTCGTACTGAATAAAAAATGTGCTGAGTCTACTGAAAGAAGTTGCTTCACTATCCGTTTCGTTCTTTGTTCTGAGAAAGCAGTTGTACTGTTGTTAGGCAAAAGCGAATAGCAGGATTAGAACAGAGCTGTATGGCTTGGAGCTTTCAAAACTGAATCAGGTCAGAGCTTTTCAAAACTGGAGCTTTTGTAAATACTCAAAAGATGATAGTGATAGTATTCTGTAAATACCCAAAAGAGTAGTTAGTTGGCAAATGGTTGCTCGAAAGCGGCGGTCGTTTGTGTGACGAGGCAAAAGCCAAAATTACCACACTTGCTTTAGATTTCGAACAAAACCAGTCCGCTCGGAGAAAATAAAAAAAGCTCTATACTCCTGTTTTTCTTGCTACGTGATGTGTAGTGGCTTTGCGCGGTAGCACTTCAAGATTGGGGAGGTAAATATCTAGATTAGGAGGTGTTGTTTTGTGGGTAGTAGCGGTTGTTCAGCTTGGACAGCGTCTGTTCATCGCGGATTCAAACATTTTTTCTCGCACCAACAACACTGATATTCGACGACCGACATTGCTGGTTTCTCGACTTCTATAGGAATGCAGCTAGATCCCCTTATTTCCTTCAAATTTCGCATTTGTATTCGTACGCATTTTGATCATTTTGTGCGGACAATTCAACGTACCTTGAAAGACCGACGAGCTATGTCCTGAGTCGGGGCATTATGAATGCAAGTACATTTTTGATTTTCCTCTTGCCTGGGCCGTATCTTCGCTTTGCTCGACGTAAACAGAAAGTAGATAGTTTTCTTGCCGGTCAGACAGACATCTACAACGCGGAGCGCTTCTTGGAGGCGAAGTATGAGCTCTGAATGGAGTCAGTGTCTAGAGTAGGGGTTGATTGAGTAGTACTTATCATGCCGGCCCGCCGATTGTGGGGCGACCCGGCGCGGGGTTTGTGCAGACTGGGCCAATGCGCGCGCCGGTGCCAGTGCTTGGGCTCATCTGATGCAGCACTTTGGAGGGAGGACACCCTGCCGGGCCGGCTCCATTCGCCGTTCCCTGCTTCCTTGTCCCCCTAAGTTCAGCCGCCCGCATCTGGCGCGCGCGGGCGCGACACTGGGAGACGGGCCTGCGCAAATAAAGGGCTGCAAGCGCGTTTCCTGGCAGGCGCCTTTTAAAACCCAATGAGATACGAAATTTTTTTGAATCGGCTGCTCGCAAGCCACACGAACGCTCAAGAAATTCGACTCCGTCCTGGTTAGATTCAGGACTGTATTCCTTCGGTTTTCCCTTGTCTTCGCTTTTTCGCTACTCATTTTTCTTTCTACAACAAGTCGGTATTCTCGAGGTCTCAATTTTTGTCGCATCGGTAGTTCAATCAACTCATCCGTATGGCAGTGCCATATTCAGCCAAACATCACAATATACTGAATCTTTGTTCCTACTACTGGTAAAGTTTGCTCGATATTAAAAATTTGTGTCAGTTTCGCCACCACCGGGTAAATGATGATCAGGAATCTACTCTACATCGCCGTAAAAACTGTATCTCCAGCAGTTGCCTCACTTCCGAATCAGCAAACCCTCAGCTGCCCAAAGGACTCGTTTTTTCCCACAGTTGTACCAAAAATTCCAGCACTTCTAGAACCCCACATCGCGTCATCTCCATCTGAAGACCCAGCGATTTTGCAGGACTGCCAGCAGCATTGGTATCCCAAAATCGCCTTACAAATCGTCCTCGTCGACACCCTCGGTCGTCTTTTTTGCCGCGTCCGCCGCCGGATGCTTCGCGGCGCCGTCGCCGGAACTGCTACTGCTGCTACTGCTGGAGGAGCTGCTGCTCGACTCGGAGTCCTCACTGTCGCTATCACTGTCGGAGTCGGAATTCAGTTCGTACTCGTTGTCGCCGCCGTGGTCGGGGAGGTTGTCGGCGCGGGCGGTAAAATTCAGGTACTGGTTGTCCACCATGGAGGGTGCGGGGGGGTAGAGCCCGACCGGTAACGGGGCGATGTAGTGGGGCATGGCCGTCATCGGGATGTTGCTGGGAATCACGGGTTGCTGGGTGCCGGGAGGGGCGAGCCTGTGAAGACCGGTTTTTTTGTCGATTGGTGGTAGAAATCATACTTAGTTTTTTTTCTGCAGAAAAAGTAAAATACTGTGCGTTTTTTGAAAACTCTATTAATGTGCAAAAAAATACAACAGCAAGTGAAACTACTACACCGGGCATCGAACTACACTGTGCATGATTTTCAGAAAGTATTGACACGGAAAAATTGAATTATACATGCCGATGGTGCGCATGCTGGGTATAGGACTTGGAAGCATGTGGAATCCGAGGAGCTGGAGCATCTGCAGGGTCGTCGTGTTCTGGGTATGAGCGGGGCAGTCCTGTGTATGGTGTTTTTTCTCTTTTGTGCTGGTGTTGTTTTGGTTATAAGCATCAACAGATTTCAAATAAAAACTCACAATGCAGTAGAACACATGCTGCACGATCATATGCAAGTCCGATTCTATCTCAGAGTAATATGGAACTGCTAGTTCACGGCAAGAAGACAGTCTCTACTTGTGTATTAGATACCTTCGATCGGTGATCCCCCGCGCAGTAGCCGCACACCCAGGCTCCTATGCTCGGCATGCGCTTCCCGAGACCCTTTGTCAGGCCCTTTCGTTTTCTTTCCTTGTCTTCGAAATCTGGATCGTCCTTGATGACGTTGCCCGCTTCGTCTTTTGCAAACCCGATTTCGTGGAGAATCAGGTCCCGGGCGTGCTCCTTGACGCGCTGCGACCGGCCGAAGATCTGGAGTGTGAAGGAGAGCAGTTTGGGTCCTTTGTCATGCATTCTAAGGCGACACGTACTGCATTCGTATTTATGCATACTTACTGACTTGCGCTACTAGCATTACAAATTCACTTTCCAGTTCGCGTTAGGATTACAAATTTCCAAAAATACTTCGACGCGGCGTTCGTGCGGGATCTGGCACACGTCGTTGTCGCCACAAATTGTTTATCCTGTGCAAAAGTATCGGAAACTCGTAATAATGATCCCATTCATGCACATGCATTACAAATTTTTTTCTCAAGTTAAATCCGCATTACGAATTTCATTTCTCATGCTGAGGAAATTTGTATTGCAATTCATACTAGTATCGGATACTTTTGCAATGCATATTGCTTCGGACTTCTCGACCCGAACGTCGGCTCCGGAGCGGTCCTATCAAATGCAAAAATGTCTGGGTCTGGACGGATGCGAACTTGTGATGCTGCAGCTGGATTCTACAAAAATCTGTATTGCATGAACAGCAAAAGAGGTCCAGTTTTTTCCATTGCGAGAGGGCATTTCTCATGCGGTATAGGCATCAGAAAGCCCTCACAAAATCTGTGACGCTAGGGCATGCATCACAGACATCAGGGCTCATGCAAAATGTGCATGACAAACCTTGCATCCTTCCAGACCCAGACATTTTTGCATTTCATAGGTCCATAATTTCCCGAATAACCTCGCCCCCGCGGCCTATGACCCGACCCGCTTCTTTGTCCAGAATTAGCATCACGATGGGTTCGTCACGGTAGGGTCTGTTTTTTTTTCTTTCGGTTGTTTTGCTGGTGGTGGGACGAACAAGAAGAAGAATTCTATGATCGCTAGAATACTATAGAATGGCGCAATGTTGTGACAACCTCTCGTCGTCCACCTCCCGGGCGAGCAAATGTACACACGACAAGTTGTGAGGACCAGTCAACAGACTGTGAAGAAGATGCATAAAGAACAAAAAACCTGTAATTTCAATACGCTCGGTCCATTCCGTCTCGCCCAGGGAAGGAGTCGCGCTTCAAAACTTCCCCGGTGTCGCGATTTCGGCACCACTATCCTGAGGAAAAGCGTCCCCATACCAGAGTCAAGATGGAGAATCTGCTAGACAAATCGGCCAACTTTGGCTGTTTCGCATGACAAGTTTGTCCTCGTAGTGTGATCCTGAGTAGCTAGTTCAGCAGCAACACAGATCTAGCATATGATGCTATTTGTAGCATCACAAATCCCAAAACACGGGGAGAAAAAGCTTCTCATGGGACCTTGCATGAGAAACTTTTTTGGCATGCAAATTTGCATGACAACTCTGGGGTGGGGACGTTTTTACTCAGGATAACCACGAGACCTCGTGGAGAATGCTGTTCTGGGCCCGTTCGCAATCCCCGTCGCTGTCACCGACGATTTCCACGACGTTGGCGCCCTTGTCAATCTCGATTTTCGTGTTGGTCTCGTCCTGTTGATTTCGAGAATGTTTGTTCGACGCAAGATTTTATTTTCGCATCACAAACTACATAGTGGCGACGATCGATGTCGTGCCAAATTTATGCATAACAGGAATAAATGTTCATCTATTACAACTATAAAAACATTTTATCCAGGTGGACAAAAAAGAACTCTGTAGCCTATAATAAGGACCTCCATCTCGCGAATGAGCGTCCCTCTCTTTCCCACTATCCTGCCTATTTCCTCGTTTTTAATTTCAAGGAAAAGCCGAATCTTCTGCGGTCGAACAGGCTCCTCCTTCTGTCGTGCCTGTGCTTCTGGCGTGCCGCGCACGTCTTTCAGGACGGTCTGTTGCATTGGTGTTTTTTTTTGACGTGATTCACTTCGGAAATGGAGAAGAAGATTTGGCACCGTGAGCTGCGCACCAAAAACAAATCTAGTCATCTACTAGCAATCTTCGCATGAGAAATCATTTCTGGAACCAAAGTATTGAAAATCTCTTTCCTAGTCACAATACGTTATCCTCCCGGGCGAAGTAGTCGCACCACGGCAGGAAAAGTTCCTCGGCCTTTGCGATTTGGTGCGGCAGTCCGATAATCTGGATGAATCGAAATTGGGACCCGCTTTTTTCCGCGTCCTTTCGGTTTTGCACCATGATGTCCCCGCCGCACTCCATCTCCACCTCCTTCATAATTTTCGCTTTCTGCCCCAGTATCCGGGCGCAGTCGTTGTTCGTGACGAAGAATTTTTTCAGTTCCTGCCCCTCGACAAAATCGTTCTTCATCTGTTGCCCTCCCCGGTGCTTCTGCCCGCCGCGTTTGGTCTTCTTCTTCTGTGCTCGGTTATTGTTGTTGTTGTTTTCCGAACGAGAGACGGGTTGGAGTCGCTGGTCCCGGTTGCTGTTGTTGTTGTTTTCGTCTTGGTTATTGTCCCTTCTGCTGTTCTCCTTACTGTTGGCTCGGCTCCGATTATTTCGGTCGCGGCTGCGTTCCCGGGATCGCTCGTGCTCGCGCCTGTCGTTGTTCCCGCGGCGTCGCCGGGACCTTCTGCGAGACCTGTCATCGCGCCGGCGGGAACGGTCGCGCCGGGACCGGTCGCGGCGACCTGTTTTTTTTTAGTAGAATCTTTCAAACCATGCAACAGAAGCTGCGTTTCCGTTCTGTACACAACCTGTAGTTTTCTTTTTCCCATGACAAAGACCAACTAAAACGCATTTCGTGCATGGCAAATTCTGCGGATAAAGTTCTGCTATGAAAACAAATAAGTACGTGGTCTGCTATCCCTGTCTTCCCGTCTTTCTTCTCTGCGACGCGATCTGCGTCGCTTGAGGACGACCGGAGAATTGCGCCGGCGGTCCATGGGATGAGTGATTTCTAACTAAAACTCAATCACTGAAGGTACATGATATAATTTCTACAAAATTCTACATCTTGCACCACGACCATGAACCGAATTTTCACTATTGTTTTGCAGCCGTGCAGCTCCCGCCATGATCTTTATTTTCCCGTAAACCTGGCTCGTTTACTGTCTGTTTTTTGTGGGTATAGAGAATGGAAATGAAATCGGTTCACTTGCTGTTGCTGCCCAAGCGCCATTTATCTTTGCGCCTGAACTTCTAAAAATACTACATCAGCAACACCAAAGGAAAATTTGTTCGTCTTTTGCGGATCGGAAAGACGAAAAAAAGGGCCTTATTTTCGTGTTCAAATTTTTATTTTTGCCTTGAATTTTTCATCCGGAGGTAAATTATTTGGATTTGATGGCGATTTTTAATACAGAGCGCAGATGTTGTAGTTGTACTGCCTTTAATGAAAAAAGCGGCGCCTACGTAATAATTTTGCGGACTTGTTTGGACCCACTTTGAAGCCGGATTTTGCGATCGGAATGATTTTACAGATTTAATATCGACAAAAACAGGGATCTTCATCTGCAGAGATTACTAGATCCAAAAAGCGCAGAACAAAATCAAAATGGAGTATTAAACGACTCACATTGTTTGAACATTCACCATCAATCAAAACTCTTGAACACGGCATCTGTTTTTCTCGCCTCTGCAACCAATATATTCGTTCCATCAATACGACGTATTGATGTTCCATCAATACGACGTATTGATGGAACGTCAGCATGCGTTTTTTACTATCTGTCGCTTCTTTGCATACAACATCTTGGTCACACGACGTGAGGACTACACGAGCCACCTTCTTCGAGAGTACTGCGCAGCTGCGATCCAGCCTACTTAAATGGCAGCACCGACATAGGTATTCTATCATGACTCCGACTCAGGTATTCTATCATGACTCCGACTCGCTCTCCGAGTTCGGTCGCCTCTTTTTCGCCACCGGCGCGCCCGCAATCTTCAGGCTACTCCCATGTTGCTTGACGGGTGGAAAGAAAACTACCCAGAGCCGGGCGAAAATCTCCTCGAGTCGCTTTCCCGCCTGCCGGAAGGTGTTTTTCTCGTCCCGGTTGAAGCGATCGCAGTTTTCAAACATCATTTTGATGTCCTGTTTAAATTGCAGCTCGTTCTTGCATATCAACTGCAAAAGTGTCTGGGTCTGGAAGATTGCAACTTGCAATGCTGTCTTCGGATTCCAAAAAAGTCTGTATTGCATGACCAGCAACAGGACTCCAGTTTGTGTTACGCGGAGAGGGCATTTCTCATGCGGAATAGGCATTAGGGTTCTAAAAATCTGTGATGCTAGGGCATATATCACAAACAATCAGGCGTCATGCAAAAAATGCATGACAAACCTGGCAATCTTCCAGCCCTAGACATTTTTGCATTTGATATTGTACTGGCCCTGCTGCGACACCATGTGCTCCGCTTCCGTCTGCGCCGTTTTCAGCGCTCGGGGTATCAAAATGGAAAACCCCCCGTCCCCATACCAAAAACGAAATTTCTCATGCTGGATTTGCGCACTACACAAATGCGGACTGTCTTGCTGTAAGGAAGAACTGCAGCCAGACTGTTGGCCTGTTTGGGAGCGTAGTGGCCTAGCCTTGTTTAGCATGGGAAGCGCCTAAGTACTTACGCCAGCCCTGCAGGCCCAACAGCATGACCAATCGCCTCCATGATGCGGCGCAGGCCTAGGCAATTACATATGCATTCTTGCACTAGACAGAAATGATTTGCGACGACAAATCTGCATCACAAATGTTCAGAATAATGCCTTGTCAAGTATACGGGGAGGGGGGAGTTTTCCTCACAATACGGGGGTTGGAATTTTTCAGTTTCGTCCGGATCTCCATCAAGTCGATCGGTTGGTTTGGCCGGATGGTCTTCTGGTACTTCTGAATGAACTTTTCCACCTTCTGCGGCCCTTCGGACGCGTACTGCGACCGGATTTGGTTCAGCACGTTCACGTCAAACTTGCTGTAATCGTGCGGCGCCTCCAGCCGCATGTGCCCCAGCACGTTCATGCACTTCTCGAGCCACGACTTCGCGGCGATGCGCGCCGCCTGTTCTTCCAGCTTCTGCTTGTCCGGTTCTTTGTGTAGATCCGGGTTCATGCCCGGGGTAAACCCGGTCATTTGGGCTTTGTTGTACAGCTCTGGGTTATTCAGCATCCTCGTCGACGACGAGAGCAGCAGCGGGCGCTTGCTCTGCTGATTTCGCAACGCCGCTTTCGCCAGGCAGCTTGGCTCGGGCATGGGTAAACCGTGGTACTGGGCGAGCCGTGCGAAATTCGTCTCGCCGGAGGGAATATGGATTGCAAATATGTCTGGGTCTGGAAGATTCTTACATTCGTCATGCATGTCTGACACTACAGACTCGAGAATCTGTGATGCATGGGCACGAAAAGGCTCTCCTATCTGTCATGTGAAGACGTTGTTTCTCATGCGGAATACGCAACACATAGCAGCTCAAAAATTTGTCATGCTTGGCTGCGTATTGCAGTCCGGCTATCATCCACTTTTAGCATTACAAGTTTCCAGACCCAGACATTTTTGCATGTGATAGGGGAGGAGCCGCGGTTGTTGGAGGTAATACGACCCGTTATTCGCGTCGAACTCCTTCAGTTGGTGCATCATCGGGAGCTTCAACGTATGAATGTGCACATAGCCCCCCTCCCCCCCATTTGTATTGCATAAACGGCAGGACAAGCGCCAGCAAGAATACAGGTTTTGCATGACAAATTTGCACAGGATTGTAGTGCTATTTGAGCTGCCAGTGAACTTCTCATGCAGACAGTGCCTATAGGCCAGGCGCAACTTTGTACTTTGCATGACAAATCAGGGGGACGGGGATTGTGCACTCTCATACAATGCCTGCAGCAGCCACAAGTTTTTCCCGGCGAGTTCTTTCTGGAGGAAATTTTCGAATTGCTTCCGTTCCCGCGGGTCCGCGATGCGGTCTTTCACGTTGTGCAGCATAAAGGCGAACCGGAGGCAAGTTTCGGAGAGTAAGCTCTGCTTATCCGACCAAGTGAAGGGTGTGAGGAGGAATTTTTGCAGGCGGTACTCAGGACTGCTCGTATGGAAGCGTCAGGATTGAAATCCTCAAAGTTGAAATAATTTCTCATGCAGAAATTGCAAGGCATGAAGTGCCTCTCTTGCAGGGATGGCAAATGAGGCTGGTTGTGAGCCTGTTTCGGGGTTGGAATAGAGCTGCTAAAGTAGCATGACAAAAGGCGCCTTCTGTCCCTAAACAACATGACAAACTGGCTTTAGACGGTGCCGAAATTTGTCATGCGCCGCTGGGAAATTGGGCTTCCAGCTGGTATCGATTTTATGCATCACAAATAATTTCAACTTTGACGATTTCAATCCTGACGCTTCCATAGCTCGTTTGGCTGCCGTACAGGGCCGGGAGGGAGGAAATGGTGATTATCGCAAGAAAAAACTGTTTCAGTGTAAACCTGTGATGCAGAAAATGGAACACAGAACTATTTGTCTTGCTACACATGCAAGACATGGGATTTTTAGCTGTGTTTTCCCTTAGGAAGCACGCATGCCAAGTTTTCTCTGTCATGCGTAACAAACTTGTGATGCAGACCTTGCAAAATCATCACAGTGAAACAGTTTTCTTCGTGGGATAGTGGTGGTGGGTGGCGCAGTTGCGTTTGATGCAGTAGTTCTATTTGAGGTAGTTGCATGTTGCTGGTTCGAAAACTTCGACATCAGGTGGACTTTGTTTGCTTGTTTGTTCATCTCGTGTGGAGGTTGGGTCCTATACAGCTGCGATGATCTTCCAATCCCGGAGGAAAGCACATACCTCGCCTTGCTCGTCCTGGTGTATGCCACGGTACCACTAGTCTTTACAGCCAGTGGTTGTTGGCGCAAGAAGTTTGTCCCATGGCTCACGATCGCCTGCTGTAAGCTTGGGTAGCTGAATGTCTGTATCAGGGTTGACTTGTGCGCCGCCATCAGTTCCGTCAAAGTCGCCCCACTTTTCGCCAAGACCTTGCCGACCGCATCGTTCGCGTCGGGCTGATTCATGTCTCCTCCATTCGCCTGCTTCACTTCCTGCTGCTTCTTCCACGTGACAATGTACGGGAACGCGCCGCTCCGCCGCAGCTCCAGCACCGTAACTTTCCGCACAGCTCGGTTGAAAGGGAAGCCCCAGCACTATCAAAAGGAAAAATCCCCCCTGCCTATATAGAAAACGAAATCTGTGATGCTGTATTTGAGTACACAAATCAAATTTGTGTTGCACTAGAGCACTGCACGCAGATCGCAAGCCTAGGTAGGGGCCTTTTGGTGTAGGCGCCTAGCACGGCAGACGGCTGCCTTGTCGGCCCTACAGCATTACAAATCGCCTGCATAACGTTTCGGACAGCCTTCTTGCAAGACAGACGCGATTTGTGGTCACAAATCTGCATCACAAGTTTTCAGATGGATGCGCTTTCAATACGGGGAGGGGACATTTTTCCTCACAATAGGCACGCGCTGTTGAACTGGAGGATCTTTTCCAAGGTACTCGCCCCTTTTCGCTTCAAGTAGTGGATCGCGGCTTGCTGAATCAACTGCCGTTTGTTACTACCGGTCAAACACGAATCGATCCCTTCCAGGTACGCCGGTCGTGTGATTTTCGAGCCTATCAAATGCAAATATGTATGGGTCTGGACGGATCCGAACTTGTGATGCGTGTTTCGGATCCTACAGAGATCTGTCATGCAGAACGTGCAAAAGGTGCCCACTTCTGGCCATGCAGAGAGGGCATTTCTCATGCAGAATACGCATCACCAAGGAGCTGCAGGACCTGTGATGCTAGGCCCTGCATTCCAGACGTGGGGGAGCTTGAAAAAACTGCATGACAAATGTCGGAACCTCCCAGACCTAGACATTTTTGCATTTGATAGAGCCTTTAGTACCACTTGCTCCTCCACCTGAGACCCCCGCTGCAGTCGGGGTGGCAGAAGTTGTGGTTGCAACGATACCAGCACCCGCTCCTGTCGCACCGCCTCCCCCGACAGTCGTGGTGGTCGGAAAGAAAAAATACTCCTGCAGCAGCCACTGTGCAAAGTCGAACTTCGGACATATGCGGCTGAGCGCTTGGAACCCGGGGAGCGCCGCTTTCACCACCTCGGCGTGGACGGTGTGGTTGTTGGCCATCAGGAGGAGTTTACTCAAAAGCTGGGCGAAAATGACCGACTCGGGAACCACACCAGTCGGCTTGGTTTGTATGGAACTGTCAGGATCGAAATCGACAAAGTTGAAATGATTTGTCATGCATAAAATGAATGCCAGTTGGAGCCCAGTTTTCAAGTGGCGCATGACAAATCTTGGTGGTGCCTAAATCCAGTTTGTAGTGCTGTTTGGGTAAGGAAGACGCCTTTTGTCATGCTACTTTAGCAGCTCTATTTCTACCCCTCAACAGGCTTACAATCTGCCTCCCTTCCGTACTCTGCAAGACAGGCACTTTGTGGGTTGCATTTTATGCATCACAAACTATTTCAACTTTGACGATTTCAATCCTGACGCTTCCATAGTTTGTTTATTCACTTTATTCTTGTGGCGGAGGAGTTGCTTCGTCCGCATCGAGTAGAGTTGCAATTGTCGCGGATGCATTTGCCGCAGCTGATACGGCTTCAATTTATTTTTCATCTGGTGTAACAATGCGACGTTACTAGTTGTTTTGCGTTTGTCGCCCACTGCAGCTCGCATTTGGTTCTGCCCAGGTGGAACGAGGGAGTTCGTTTTATCTTTTTTGCTATGCATTGCAAATATGTCTGGGTCTGGAAGATTATAAACTTGTCATGCATGTTTTCCATGGCCCATGGGGTCAGGAATGCGGGACCTCGCATGACAGTCTCTGCAACGTCTCTGTCATGCCTATCCTGCATGAAAAACTCCCTCCCAACTCGGTCGAAAGTGGACAGCTTTTGGCACTCATGCAACACAGATTTTTGTATGATTCGGATTTAGCATGACAAGTCGCAATCTTCCAGACCCAGACATTTTTACCTTTGATACTTCCCCAGAGCCCCGCCAGCCGGCATCATCACTTCTCGTGCCAGCTTATCAAATGCAAAAGTGTCTGGGTCTGGAAGAGTCATGCTGTTTTTGCATGACACCGAAGGTCTGGCATGGAAGCTCTAGCATCACAGATTTCGAGAAGCTTCCGCAATGCCGAATCCGCATGACAAGTCCCCTATTTTGCTGGCAGAAAGTGGGGAGCTTTATTTGCTATATATGCATGCGAGACTGTTCTGTGTTCTGAAATACGCATCACAAGTTGCATTCTTCCAGACCCACACATTTTTGCATTTGATACAGCTGCTGAAACCGGGTCAGCGCCGCGGCAGAACCAAACCTCTGCTGCTGCTCCAGTGTGCCGGCGGGTTGTCGTGCGGCAGCCTTACTGGTACGCTTCGCCTGAATCGTGCGAAATTCGTGGGCGATGTCAGACGCCTTCTTGTAGCACCGCTTCATCACGGAATCCAGTAACTGCAAGGTTGTGACGAACCGCCCGCAGTGGGGCCTTCTGGTCCCCTTCTGTGTCGTCCTTGTGCCTCCAGAAGCTTTCGTGCCCCCGAACCGTCCCTTGAGCAACAGAAGCGCGTTATCCTGAGCAAAAACGTCCCCACCCCACAGTCAAGTTGGCAAATCTGCAACACAAATCTCCAAGTTTTGGCTGGCGAGCATGACAAGTTTGGACTCGTAGCGTGATCCTGTTTTAGCTAGTTCAGTAGCATCACAGATCTAGCATATCACGCTGGCTCTAACATCACAAATTCCACAACACGACTAGAAAATGCCTCTCATGGGGTTCCGCATGAGAAACATTTTGATCATGCGGATTTGCATGACAACTCTGGGGTGGGGACGTTTTTACATAGGATACGCGTCCAATCCGATCGACTTGTTCACGTCGGGGGCCGCCGCCCCGGCAATGGAATTCTTCGTGCCCGTCGTCCGTCGCTGTTCGTCGGTGACCGTGGCCAGGTCGACCAGGGCCTTAATGGCGGCACGGCGGACGGACAGGCTCGGGCCGCGCACATCCTGTTTCGCGATGCTGCGCAGCCAGGGCGTGGCTTTCAAGATCTGGAACTGCTGCACGCACAGGTGCTCCATGCGCAAACTTCCCGAAAACTGCGCCGCCCGCTTCCAGCTTTCCATCGGCAGGTTGTAGATCCGGAGCAGGGACTGCGTCCAGATGGATTTTGGGATTATGAAGCAGGGCGTTTGCCGCTTGTCCATGCCGTTTCTATCGTCAAAAAAGTACGAGCAGCTCTGCTCATATAAGCTGGTGTCGTCGTGCTGCAATTCCTTGCGGAGCTTGATCGCCTCCTTGCTGTTCGTGATTTCGGGGAACTTAAACTTCACCACCGCGATCACCTGCCCGTAGCAGTTGCAAACGTCGAAGCAGCAGACCCCCGTGTCCTATGTAAAAACGTCCCCACCCCATATTCAAGATGGGGACTCGGCTAGACAAATCCACAAGTTTTGACTGTTTTGCATGACACATTTGGACTCGTAATGTAGTGAGTGCTGTTTGGACTAGCTCAGCAGCATCACAGAACTCGTGTATCATGCTGATTGGAGCATGACAACTTCCAAAACACGGCTGGCAAATGCTTCTCATGGGGCTCCGCATGAGAAACATTCTCAGCATGCAGATTTGCATGACAACTCTGGGGTGGGGACGTTTTTACACAGGATACCCCGCCCAGTGCAGCCAGGGCACTTTGTCGTGCGGCTTGCGGACGATTTGGGTCTCGAGCAGCGGCTATCAATTGCAAATATGTTTGTGTCTGGAAGAATGCAGTTTTTTGTCATGCTGTTTTTGCATGACGCAGAATGTCCGTCATGAAAGCCCTAGCATCACAGATTTCGAAAAGCTTCCGTATTGCCTAATCCGCATGACAAATCCCCGATTTTGGTGACAGGAAGTGGGCATCTTTTGCTGCCTCTGCATGAGAGATTTGTGTGTGTTGAGAAATGCGCATCACAAGTTCGCACCCTTCCAGACCCAGACATATTTGTACTTCATAGCGGCAGCCGCACGGACGCTTTCCGGTACAGGAGCTCGTTGCCGGCGGGGAGTGCGGTCCGGTAGGCGGGGGTCTGGCGAATCTGGATGCGCAGCTCCCGTTTGTTTTTGTTGTTGTTGTTGTTCTCCGGGTTGGTGGATGGGTCGGACCGGTGCTGCTGTTGCCCAGGCTGGTTTTGTTGTGCGGCAGGAACACCACTTGTGGTCCCCCCGCCACGGAGGTTACCGTTGTTCCGTAAGGCGTTCAAATCGCCTGAAGCTTTGCCTTGCTTGTCATCCATCCTCATGCCGGCAGGTGGTCCTTTCGTAGAACTACTGTTTATTTCCGGTGACATGTACCAGTGGAGGTCCACTTTTGGGAAATCGACTCCAAAAACCCACATTTGCAAGAACGAGGTGGGGGAGACGAGGTGCTCAGGCTGGGTGTGCCGTTCCAGGAGTCTTTGAATACTCGACGTCGTGCAGCGGGGCAGCTGCGACGGGGAACCAGTACTACCTGAAGTTGTTCCTGGAGAACCGGCAGCAGTTTTTCGTCTATTTTGTTCACCAGCTGCACTGGCCGACCCGCTGCTGTTGGCGGCGCCAGCTTTCGTCTTTCCGGTCGAGTTGCTACTGCCGGTCTGGTTATAGTTCCCGGTGGCTGGCATGATCCCGGCGGATGTTTCGGGGCCTCCTGCTGAGGAAGAGCCAGCAGCATGATCTCCAGGTGCAGTCCCGCCACCGTCTGCCTCGTTCACGAAGAAGTCGTTGTCCAAACACTCCACGACCTCCAGCAGTTCCTGTACTGTAAGTGACTGGTACACCCGAAACATCTCGTGAAAAATCAACGCCGCGTCCCGCCGGCCGTAGAACGGCGGGTCTTTCCAACTCCCCAGCGCGTGCTTTGGCGGCGGCTTCTCGAGGGGCGGCTTGTTTTCCCGGTAGAAAGCGGTCTCCGGGGGGAGCTGGAGAATACTCCGGGTTTTGCTCTGCACGCGCCCGAGCACGCGCTCCTGCATTTTCAAGCGTCCGAGAATTTTCGCCTCAATCAGGTCCGCCAGGTACAGATACAGTCCCGCGGTGATCCAGCCCGCCGGAATTATGTGCTCCAACTGCTTCAGGTACGCGTACGTCACACTATAGGCTCTTCAAAAGTATCGCACCCTGTAGTAATTGCAGTCTATAGCATGACAAATCGAACTTTCTACCTGATATAGCATGACAAACTCCAGTTTTGTTCTTGACAAAATTTGTAATGCAATTTATACTAGTACGATATCGTTTTATTGCAATGCATACACGCACGCGTGCAACAAGTGGCTGCGGTGCTCGATGTCCGGGATGGAGAAGGCGCCGAGGATATCCTATGTAAAAACGTTCCCACCCCCTAGTCAAGATGGGAAATCTGCTAGACAAATCCACAAGGTATGAGTGTTGCGCATGACAAGTTTGGCCTCGTAGTGTAATCCTGTTTGGCTAGCTCACTAGCATCACAAATCCGGCATATCACTCTAATTGGAGCATGACAAATTCCGAAACCCGACTAGAAAACGCTTCTCATGGGGCTCCACATGAGAAACATCTTCAGCATGCAGAATTGCATTACAACTACGGGGTGGGGACGTTTTTACAAATGATAGAGGAAGGACAAATCCAGACAGACGAAGTTCCTTCCATAGATCGTCGGGTACTCGTACGCGTCCGCGTAGTTTGCGTCGGCGTGGACGCCGAGGCCCAAATGCGGGAACGGGAGGAAAACGAAATTCAACTCCTTGTTCGGAAACCGCCACGGCCGGTGCTCGCGAAACTCCGAAAGCAGGTGGAGGGCTTTGGAGAAGTCTGGTAAAGTGACACCGTCGTAATCGAGCAGGAGTTTCGGAAAAACCGCTCGGACGACCAAATTGGGTTGGGAAGCCGGCGGCGGCGGGGGAGCTTTGTTTCTATTGGCACCACGTGCTGCTGATGCTCCAGCAGACTGCGGTTGCGGTTCTTGAGCGGCCCCTGGTTGTTCAGCCTCATGTAGTCCGGACTGCTGTAGTCCAGCCGCACTAGCAGCAGCGGTGGAAAAAACCGAGTCGCTCCGTGTGTTTTTTCGCTTGGTATTTGACGCAGCAAAATTTATATCCTGGTCCTGTTCGCTTACAGTGGAATTCATGGTGTCTTTGCGAGGAACCACATTACAACTACCCGGAACCTCTAGCTGGTGGACCACGGAGTTGCTCCTGCTTGTTTTGGGCAGAAAAATATTAAACTGGTTCAAATCGTCGATATCCTCAGGGGGAGAAATGTCGTGCTCCCGTCCAAATTCGTACACCTGCTCTACTGCGGAGGAGTTTTTGGTTGGTCTACGGTTAGTATTTTGGTGGACAGCGCTGCTCGCGTAGGTGTTCCACGACTTATTTTTGTTCCCGGTGGGTCGCAGCTCCGAAGACGTGTAAATATCCTGGAAATGCAAGTCCTCGCTGACAATCGCGAAAAAATCCTTGTAGACGTCGGAATCTACTAAGACATGTCGGTCGACTTGATACGGCTCTGAGAAGGTGGTGGAAGATGAATTTCCAGTCGTACTACCACCCGGTTGTTGTTGTATTCCTCCGCCCGGCTGCTGCAACATCGAAGTTGTATTGTTGTCCCCGCCGCCGCCACTTGGTCCTCCGAAATTATTGGAAGGCGCATCTAGCAACGGGCTCGATTTGCTGATCACCTGAAAATCCTGCAACAGCGGATTGTTCAATATCGTTCCGCCGGGGCCACTGATGGACAGCGGAGAAAATTCGTCGCTGTCGTCCTCTTCGCCGATTAGTAGAACTTGGGGTGTTACGCCTCCAAGCGGCGTTGGGGAGGATGAGGATGCTCGCGCTCGTATCGTATTTAAAAACGTCCCCACCCCAGAGTTGTAATGCAAATCTGCGTGCTGAGAATGGTTCTCATGCGGAGCCCCATGAGAAGTATCTTCTAGTCGAGTTTTGGGATTTGCCATGCTCCAATGAGCATGATATACTAGATCTGTGATGCTGCTGAAGTACCTCAAACAGCACTACAATACGAGTCCAAATTTGTCATGCAAGACACCCAAAACTTGCGGATTTGTGTAGCCGATTCCGCATCTTGACTATGGGGTGGGGACGTTTTTACATAGGATAGCTCGCTGCTGCTGCTGCGGGGTGATGGTTTGTGACTCCAATCTTTCACCGGACAATAGCACGTTGTAGGAGCAGGGCGTGATAATCTCTAGTTCGGTTTGGTTATCGAACTTAGCTGTTCTGCCATCCAGCCTCGACGAGGAACCCAGGTAGTTGTTCCTACTACCGTCCTGACCAAATTGTCCTCTCGACTTGGTTTTTTGTTTCGTTCTCCGATTCGTCTCGCCGAAAACGGTAAATCCCTGGTCAGCTGCCGCTCCACCAACGACTTTCGGCAAGTGATTTGGCGAGAGGAAGAAGGCGTGGATCGGCAAAGAGGTCGCTGCTTTCGTGTTTCGCACGGCGTAATTCGTGTCTGCCGGGTGGACCTGCATCACGCTACCGCGGTCCTGATACAAGACGTGGAGGATGACCTCCATGCGGTGCGACTCCGGAAACCAAATGTTGTAAATTCTGTCCTTCGAGGGCGCAGGAGAGCTGCCGCTGGGCGTTTTCGGTTCCAGAAAAGGCAAACTTGGCTGCTTTGTCGGCTTTATCAAATGTAAAAGTGTCTGGGTCTGGAAGATTTCTAGATTTGTCATGCATATTTTCCATGAGCCATGATGTCTGTAATACACGCCGTAGTATCACAGATTTTTGGAGGGCTTTGTGATACCTCTACCGCATGAGAAATGCCCTTTCCGCGTAGGACAAACCCGACCCCTCTTGCTGGTCATGCAATACAATTTTTGTTTAGAATCCACAGACGGCATCACAAGTTGTGACCTTCCAGACCCAGACATTTTTGCAGTTCATAGGCTTTGGGCTGCTGTCGTGTTTGGTGTTTCTTGTTCTCTCCCTGCTGCGACTTCGCGCATCATGATTCCGGTCTCTGGAAGTTGCGCGATTTCTCTCCTTCGACGAGTTGTTCCGGTCCGCGCTTCTCCGCCGTGCGTGTTGTTTTTCTCCGTCTTGGTGTCCTCCTCGACCACGGTCCCTACTGCTCCTGCCCCGTTTTGTTTCCCTTTCCTGCGTATGGATTGCAAAAATGTCTGGGTCTGGAAGAATTCATCTTTGTCATGCTCGTCTGGCATGACTCTTAAATCTGTCATGCACGTTACCCAAGAGCTCCGTTTTTCTGTGATGCAGAAGCGCAGTTTGTCATGCAGAATAGGCAACACCTAGGAGCTCAGAAACTTGTCATGCTGAGCCAGCATTTGTAGCCTCATCATGAGACGCCACCCAGCATCACAAGTTTCCAGACCCAGACATTTTTACTTTTGATACTGCGTGGTCAGCAAGTCGATTTTCGTGCTGAGCAGCGCGGACCCGGTTCGTGCCATGCTTGCGGCGTCCGCAATATGTGCTCCGGAATGCAGTTCCTGAAACCAGCAGGAGCTCGTGCTCGACCGCGAGTGCTGCATCTTCGCTTTCGATAAAAGTGGCCTTCGGTGTATCCTTTGGACGGAATGATCTGGTTGTAGTTGCCCAGCACCACCCGGTGGATGTCCACCAAATACCGCGGTGTGCAAAGTGCTGCTGCTGTTACCATTTTTCCCTTGCATTCCTGCGTTGTGGAAAGAACCTGCTCTTCCCGAAGTAGATGTTGCTGATCCCCCGCTTATTTTCGCGAGCTCGCACTGTACCACCTCCGCGACGCCGGGCACCGTGACCCGCAGCGGCGCCATGGTGCCGGCATTAACTTCGATGTGCATTTATTGTGACGAAAAATCCCAACTCCCCGTATTGAAAAATTTGTAAATGCAGATTTGTGACGACAGATCCTGTCTGTCTTGCAAGAAGGCAAAGCCAGAGAGTCCGCCGCATTATGCGGGCGGTTTGTGATGCTGTTGGGCTTACAGCATAGACATCTGTCACGCTAGTCGCCTATAGCAAAACCTCTCGCCTCAGGCTTGGCATATGCCTGCAGTCCTCTCCAGCAAGACAGACCTGATTTGTGTACGCAAATCCAGCATGAGAAACTTCGTTTCGATATGGGGAGGGGGGATTTTTCCCTTTGATAGCATTCGGAGAACGTAGCCGAGGTCGCCCGCGTTCCACGCGTATTTCTTCAGATTGCTGTTTTGCTGCGTCGCATCGATTATCAAGTGTAAAAATGTCTGGGTCTGGAAGGATGCAAGGTTTGTCATGCACATTTCGCATGACTCCTGATGTCTGTGATGCATGCCCAAGCATCAGAGATTTTGTGATGGCTTCCTGATGCCTATACCGTATGAGAAATGCCCTCTCGCCGTCGCAAAAGCTGGGCCTCTTTTGCTGTTCATGCAATACAGATTTTTGTAGAATCCAAATGCAGCATCACAAGTTACATCCTTCCAGACCCAGACATTTTTGCATTTGATATCGATGGCGTCGTGCTCGAGGGTTTGTGGGTTTATGTCCTCGAAGAGGTCGGCTTCCACGACCTGTTGCACCGCACTGGCAGTGGTATCGATGTTCCGACCGATCGGACCGACGTCCTCGTTTCTTCTCGCTGCGACCACGTCCTCCAGCCCCTCGGGCTGGTCGACGAAGTCGAAAACAAACTTTGCGACGGACATATTGTTCGGGGTTTTCCGGTGATCGTCCGAAGTGCGGTCGCTATGGTCTACAGAGGGGCTAGTAACACGAGCAGGTCTCCTGCAGCTGCTGCGCATCCAACTCCGAGGCTGGGCAATTCACGTCGTAGTTGCCCTGCGGCGCGCAACATGATTTGGTTTTGCGCATCGTGGGCAGGGCAACACTTTTTGCCAATTTGAAACTAAATTCTATTATGTTACTTGAGGCTAAAAATATCTCAAATCTGACACTATTACGAAAAAGGCAGCTACAGATAGTGTCTCGTTTGTCACATCACTATACAGCCGCTGAGATAAAGTGGTAGAGAAAGGAACAACTGAAATTGATCTTACGATGGAACATGTAGTACGGTTTTAGTCAGAAGAAGCAGAGCACGACGACGTTTTTTTGGCGTTGCGGCATCAAGTCTGTCTCACCAGACAGGGATCAGGATTAATTTCCGGAATTTCCGGTCCTTGTCAGCATGGTAAAGAGCGTACAGTGTGGAGACTCAGCTGAGCGCGGTTGTCCGCCAGGCACTGATGAACACGGTTTTTCTTTAAGGTTGTAATGCTGTAGAACTACAAAACTCGTGCTGAACTGAGCTCATCACGAGTTGTCAAGAGCTGCTCTTGACGCCCGATCCAAATCATCAGCAGGCGAGCGCTAAATTTCTTCGGAAGAAGATGAGGCATCCTGTTCGATGAATCACAATGGTATAGATTACAGGTTTGCATTTTTAGGTATAAGAAACTAGTGGCGGTGCTACCGCTCCTGGCTGGAGCAGACGACTCGTTTTTGCAAGTCTAGTGTGCTCGCCAAGTATTACCCCGTGTGAAGACATTTTACTTAGGTGAATTCCATTTCAATCAAAATTTCTACAAAGGATAATTTGCGTAGATCGAAACTTTCGGCTTGGAAACTTCTCAAAAAAAGCTAAATCAATTAGCTGTAACTACAAGCTGCAGCTATACGGTGAAAAAAAAAACACGTCTATCTCTCTGTGCATAGTAAGACGACCTCTGCATAAGCCAATTTGGCTTCTGACTCTCAATTGCTGTTCGATAATCTTAGGTGTGATTTTTTTGCTGTGACATGACCTAGGTTGCATAAAATTGTTTTCTTCGAAACTCTACCTGCTTTCGTTTGCTATTACAAAAATTGACTCGACGAGAAAGTAACGCTGATAATTTCTTTCAGTGGCAGAAGACTTCCAGCAACTCTGCCGCGTCCGCCTCGTGCGCCGCATCTGCGTATGCACAGGATGTGGTCAACACTCGCTTTTTACTCTTCGTGACAGAACACTTCTATTGACAAGAGGAAAGCACGTACACTGATTCTTGCAAGTATCAAATCATGCAAAACGTGCATGACAAGTTGGAAATAAAGAAGAAAACGCGATGTTGAGTAGTCGCGAATCCTAAATCACCGACGGCCAACGCTAACCGCAACAAAGCCTTTATCCTGATTGAAAGCGTCCCCACACCAGAGTCAAGACGGGAAATCTGCTAGACAAATCAGCCAGCCTTGGTCGTCTGGCATGACAAGTTTGTCCTCGTAGTGTTATCGTCCTGTTTAGCTAGTTCAGAAGCATCAAAGATCTAGCTTAGCATGCTGATTCTAGCATCACAAATTCAAAAACACAAATGGAAAATGCTTCTCATAGGGCTCCGCATGAGAACCTTTTTTCGCATGCAGAATTGCATGACAACTCTGGGGTGGGGACGGTTTTACTCAGAATAGCCTTTCCCACATTCGCGACTTGTTCCTGTTGTTTTAGCATCAAGAAAGCATAATTCATGATCGATTCAGATGGAAAACATGCATTACAAATTCAAATTGAGATGGAAAACATGCATTACAAATTCAAATTGAACGTTACACAACACGTACTACCTGGTGTGTCGGTAACGCCCGACGCAAGGTCAACACCCTATGCATCCACAGGTACGCTTATGACCCGGGCGGAGGATGAGCGTGTAGGCGTGCTTGTAACGCGTCTTTTTGCAGATCGAGTACTTACACATCAGCTTGTTTTCAACGCAAAGGAGACTGACACAACAAACGCGTGGACCGTGTGAGGAAACAGTAAAAAATATCCGCACTGAAAAACGTTCTTCTTGTTCGGTCGTTCTGGTCGTGCTGTCATCTAATTATGCAAGACACATTGTACAAGTACTGACACTACACGCTACTGACTACATTTCGGATACTCGTGGCGGGATCCCCTTGCCGTGCGACAAACAGTTGTCGATCATGATCGTATGTGGCAGGGAAAACAAACATTTTAGTAGCGGTCGGCTTGGATGAAGGATGCATTTTTTTCTCGTTTTAGCATTCTAGATTGGTTAATAGATACATACTTTTTCACACGTCGGTCCAGCATTCTAGCTTCGATGGTGGCTGCAAGTAAATCTATGACGAGGTCGGGGGCTCAGAATGTTTGTTTCTTCGTATTTGCGCGTCGTGCTCGAAAAAGATTTCTAGCCTTAGGAAGTGTGTTATGCAACGCAAATCGTGATAAGTGTAGTAGAGTGTTGTTCGACGAAGACCTGCTAAGAAAATTAGCGCAAGAATCCGAAGAACTTCAGGCGTGCAGGTAAAGTTGAAAGGAAATAGGGATAAACTACAAAATCGCCTACGAAAAATCTGCAGCTTGTTCCATATGGCAAATTTCAACTCAGTTCAACTTCAAGCGATTTGCCCTAGCATATTCTTGTCCACTGGGTGCTTGTTATAGGTTTCCTGGCAAATTTCCATATCGCAACGTATGGAGAAGAGGTGTTTGTCTTGCCGGTATTTCTGCATGACAAAGTGCAACTACATTTTTTCCATGCAGTAGAAATAACGGCAAGACACCATGGGTAGCGGCTGCATAGCATGGTTCACGTGCTCGGGCCAGTACTCTGGTACGGGAATGTGGGGTTGAAAAAAACTACTCGGCTTTTTCTTTCTCAGCTCCTAATAGATTGACAACAAAACCGATTTTCTTATCGTGATGCACGACTGCATGACAGAAGAGAATTATTCCGGATGGTGACTTGCTAAATCATATGTACGAGCTGAAAGGAGACCGATTGCTTTTTCAATGCCATTATCAAGTGCAAAAATGTCGGGGGCTGGAAGAATGCAAGTTTGTCATGCTTGTCTCACATGAATCTTGAATTTGTCGTGCACATTATCCAAGAGCCCCATTTTTCTGTCATGCAGAAACGCAGTTTGTCATGCAGAATAGGCAACACCTAGAAGCTCCTCAGAAACTTGTCATGCTGAGCCAGCACTTGTGGCCTCCTCATGATACGCCACCCAGTATCACAAGTTTCCAGACCCAGACACTTTTGCATTTGATACCCATATTAGTGCTCGTCTTCACCGTGCACGAGAACCTGAGAATTGGCACTGAAATTACGTCCACGCATTACAGAATCCTCATGCAAAATCCGCATCACAAACACAAGGGGAGAAAACAACAAATTTCAATTTCTTTCAACAACTATCTACAAAAAGCAGTATAATACCAGGAGCGTGCCGGGGTATTTTGGGTGCAGCGCGGAACCGATGATCCGGTACTTGTGGCAGAAAGAGGTGTCTTGCCGAAACGCCGTGTAGAGTGTGTATGGACTGGAAAAACTGCTCCAATCTCCTCTCAAAGGGCTGTCACATAGATCTTGACATTTAGGAGTTGCATGACAAAGTTCGAGTTCTTAGCCGCGGGCAAATTCTAATTTGCGACTTATGATGAACAATATATGTCTGGCACAACCATTTTTTTCACTCTTCCCATACACTGTGCACCGCACGCATGCTCGCGACGTCTTCTTTCTTGTAGTTGTGACCTGTATGTAGTTGATAATTCCATCATTTTGCTTTCGTGCGTGATCGAATTTAGAAATTCTGGAGCCTCATCTGCCATGGCATGGAGGAACATGAATGACAAAGCAACACATGATCGGTTGGAACAAAATGTGAAGACAAACAATAACAACCTGTGGCATCAATAAATCTCATACCTGTCGGCAGGCTATAGGTTATTCTTGGGTACTTGCTCGCGCGGCCTCCTGCTTGATATGCAAGAAAAAATTTGTGTAAGTGTAACTTCCTTGGAAAAAACAGCATCACAAGTTTGCTCTGCATGACAGAGAAAACCTGTCATGCGTACCTAGTACGTGAAAACACGTGCGAAAACAGCGTCTAATGCATGTCCAGGATGACAGTTGTAATCGTCTTGCATCGTCTGCAACACAAAGTCGCACTTACACAGTTTTTTTCTTGGATACTGGAAATGGTACCTTCAGTGCGATCATCGGCTCCTGCTCACCCCTTTTTGTCCTCTCGTGCTGCTCTTTTTGCCCGAGTGTGAATGGGGAAAACGACTTTGGCTAGCTTGGCGCTGATCTCAAAACACATGTTTTTTCGATAATGATTGCTCGTGCTGCAAAACAAGAACTACATACAACCGTTTTATATCAAGGACTAGAACTTTCTTGCAAGGGGACTGCTGAAACCTAGTCAAAATGCCTCCCCATCCCATACTTCGTAAATGCATCTCATCCACCCCTTCCTCCTCCGCTTGTCGTAGCGCCTCCAGTGCGGCTTTTTCCTGTTCCTGGGGGCAGAACTATCCGGAGCAAAAACGGAGCCCACACCTTGGACTCAAGGTTGGAACTTTGCAACACAAATCCAGCGGCTGCGGGAGTCACGCATGACAAGCTTCTCTCTGTTGTACTGTAGTGCAGGTGAGCGAGGGCAGCCGCGTCACAAATCCATCTGCTCATCCTGTTAACAGCAGTGCAAATGCGAAAACTACACGACTACAAACGCCCCTCATGGGCGGGATGCGCATTACATACTTTCCTGGAATATGCAACTCTGCATGACAACTATCGGGTGGGGGCTTTTTTCCTCAGGATAAGAACTCGTCGGTGTCATAGTGGTGCCAGGACTCGAAAAAGAAGTCGGGTGGCAGCATCACGGCCTGCGTTATCGTGTTGCCCGGCGGGATATCAATTGCAAAAATGTCTGGGTCTGGAAACTTGTAATGCTGCGTTGGGAATAGTGAATGCTCTGTAATGCACCGGCAAGCATGAGAAATATCTGCGCTTTTTTGTGTTGCGTTTTTCGCATGACAACCTGCGTTTTTGCATGACAGGCAAAAGGATCCCTTCTTGAACACGCATTACAAACTTGTTGGTCATGCCAGACAAGCATGACAAATCTCGCAATCTTCCAGACCCAGACATTTTTGCATTTGATACGGAGGGTTCTGGTGCGGTGGGCCGCCTCGCGAGTCGTCTGCAGGCTCGTTACTGCTGCTGGACTGCAGGGTATAACAGGCGGGGAAAGAGTTCTTAGGCAGGAGGAAGTTCTTGCATTTTGGCATAGAAAGATTTGTCTACAGAACATATTTATCGGCATGCACAGACGCGGCCAAACTTGAACAACTTCCGCCTACCACCTTCCAGTTTCACCAACCTAAAACCCGCCCCCGCCATCGATGTCCGGCTCGACCATCATCTTGTCTTAGCTTCAAGCCTCGCTGAAGAGACGAACTGTGGAGCAACTTTTAGCGCTCGGAGATTGCGGTGTTTCTTATACGAAATAGAACCTCTCGCAGGACGCTCAAAACCGCCCGTGGAAGGTGCAGGAAGGAGCACACAAATGTTTTTGTATATCGCCCAGCTGCACGAGCACCGGGGGCGGAACATGGTTTATTCAGCCTTTTAGAACAGAAAAACGGAGACCGGTCTCGAGAAGCCGGGTGCACAACGGCGCGCAAAACGCGAGAAGCACGCGCGTGCCTGCAGCAAGTTGGGCGGCGGCGGAAGTCAAGGTGACGACACCAGCGCGCCCACACCGCGAGCACGCGGGCGGCGTCTGTGCCCACAGCCTACTGCTGTCGCGCTGCCTGCTTTGACGCTGCGGCGCCTGCCGGCCAGATGGACAGACGCATGCGCAGGTCGGCGGGCAACAGAAAACCACGGGGGCCCCCGTGGCGGCGCGCTTTGATAGCGCACGGGGGGAAAGGTTCGCCAAGCGGCGCGCCCCGGAGGCAAGAGCTGGGCCCCGACGACAGGCACCCGCGCAGGCGCAGGCGCCTCAATGGCGCCGGGCGCCTGCGCGCCCCCCGCAAAAGGTTGACGGAGACGCAAAGCCCCCAAAGGGGCGGAAGGGTCCCGGAAATATACCGCCCGACGCTCGCGAAGTCAAACAGCACACGCCGCAGCGCTTCGGCCCCGTTCTCTGGGAGAACTTTGCGGGCCCCAATGTGCTCCAGGCCCACCGCGGGGCAAATGATGCACCGCCTCCGAAGCAATTCCTCTGTTAGTGTGCGCCCGAGCCACGTGGCCAGCCCCACAGGGTCAGCCAAGTCGGCAAGCTGTGCGGCGCTGCCAGCCACCCAGACCCCCGAAGCACTTCGGCCGTCGCTGGGGGCCTCTTGGGATTGCGCCGCGGAGAGGGACCGCCGCCCTCACCTTCGTTGCGGCTTTTCCCACTTTGTGAAGAAAACATCACAGCAAACTTCTTTCTTCGCGAACAGAAGCCCTTCCTCCTCTCTTCACGCGCGCAAACAAAAAACTGTCGGGAATGATATTTCTTTTAGTGCTGCGCACTTCTGTACTTTTTGGGGCAATCCCGCCCCCTTTTGCGGCGCCAGCGTTTCCCATTGGCCCGGCTCCGGCCGCAGGCCCGGGGTCATTCCCCGATGTACGTGCACAGGCCGAGCAAGGGGCCAAACACGCGGCGGGAGGTTCCTCGGGCCAATACTGCATCGGCCGCCACGGCGTCCAGGACTAGACCGCTCGCGGCCATGACGGACGGGGCAGCTAGCTAAAGAAGCGAGGCAGCGCCGCCAGCGGCGCAAAAAACATCCGGGCGCACCAGATCAGGACGCCGCCGGCGTGGTCGCCAAATACCCCCCGCGGCAAGTCCCTCCGGGACACCCGGCACAGCGCCCGGCCAGCTGCTGCATTGGCCGCGCCCTTTTCTTCAAACTCCTTCAGCGCGGATAAGAAAAGTAAGCGCGAAGCCGGCCGCCGTCGGCCCACTCTGCGGCGGCTTTGGTATCGGCGTGGGGCCCCTCGCCTTGCTGCTGCCGAACTCATTGCGGTGGCCGGCCACACCTTCGGAGGCCGGGGCCGGCCCATCGCGGCCAATGGTCCGCGCGGTCTGGGCCCATGGGGTCGCGCGCCCTCGAGAACGCCTACCGTGTGGGATGCCACTGATGACGGACTCCCCAGCTCCAGACTCGCGCCCACTTCGCAGCGGCGTCTTGGTCTCTCGACTTGGTTTTGGTATCATGCGCCGGCCGGCCTGCAGCGTCAGGGCGGGGTGACGGCATTCCACGCAGACGGGCCCGGCATAGGTCGTCGCAAAGCTCGCCCAGCCCCTCACGCAGTCCGCTGCATCGCATGGCGATAAACTTCAAGGGGCGGCAGTGCCCTTCCCTGTGCGCACCCGGCTCGCCCTCCTGTCGCTTTCCTTCTCGAGTCGGAAAATGAGCATTGCTTACAGCTGGTTTTGTTCGCACTCTTCACCCACTCGTCAAAGAACACAAGCAGCAGAAGATGAAAACAAAAGCTTAGCATCGAAACGCAGAGTGTCCAGATCAGGTAGAAGTTCTGTTATTCCAATCGCTCGAATACGGTGTGAAGAAACTAGGCACTTCTGTAGTTTGAAACTGGTTCATTTGAAACAAAGGTCGGAATTGCAACTTCAGATTATTCGTTCCTTCCGTGTCAGGTGCAGTTTGGCGTGAAATGAAACGCTTAACAAAGCCGTGAAAACCAAGGAAACTTTTTTCAAAAGTATAAACAAAATCGCAAAATGAAATATTCGCAAAGCAGTGTCGAAGAAACTATTCTAACCCCTCCTAGGGCAGAATCACCCGTCTCAACTCCTCATCGAGCCAAGCCCTGCTGTACATGTCCTTTACCTCCACAACCTCCTCCTCTCCGTTTTTATCAAGCTGTAGTGCCAAGACGTTTTTCCGCTGAAAAGGTTTATTTTATGGTCTAGTCCGCTTTTGTTGTTGAGACGAGGAGGAGCTCGCTTGCTGCAGACGTGTCTTTGTCGCTTGATCAGGATATTTTTCCGCGGGTGCTTTAGTGATGTTAGTTGTGTTTTTTCTGGTTCCTGCTGTCCCCACCAGAGCTGGACTTCCCCTCCCTGCAACCGGCTTCGACACCTCCGTTGTTGCGTTTCCCAAGTAGCGGGTTAACCGGCTAAAAAACTTTTTCGTTTTATTATTCCCCTCGTCTGCAGCTCTAGTTGTACTGCGTCGGCTACTTCCTCCACCAACTACCACCCTACCTAGGTTCTTCGCAGCAACAGGGTGTTTTTCTGCCTCGCCGCTTTCCGCTCTCGGAAGCGGAATACTCCTCCTTCGTCCTTGCGGTAGAAATCCGTATTGCGCGAAAAACTGGAAATCGTCCTTCCGTTCGTAGCCGTAATTGATCGTGATCTGCTCGCCGGGCGTGATTTTCGCTTTCGAAACCAGGCAACTGTAGGCGGTCTTCAACAGCCAGGTGCGCATTGGAGAGGGTTCTTGTTTGGGTTTCGTTGCTTTGTCTCCTCCGATGGCGGTCGTTGTGTTGACAAGTGGAACAAGAGGTGCAGGAACTGTTGGTACCGTGCTAACAAGGGATTTGGGCTCTGTTTCTCGTCATATCGATTGGACTACGAACTTTCGCCGCACTCGTTTTACCCCCGTGTCCTTCCCCATACTCCACTTTTCGCGCCACAATTCGACCAGGCACGTAGACGGCGTTGTTTGCTGCTTTCGACGACGTAAGAGGGAGTGCTGTGCCATTCGTGGACTGCCTTGATGCAGCTCCACTGCCCGAGGTACCTCCGTTCTTCGCGGTACTAGTTGAAAAATGTCCGTGGTGCACAAAATCGAGCAGCGGTTCTAATCCGAGCAAGTCTCCCCGAAATTCCCGTGTGTGCGAGAGCAGCAGCGCGTGCAGCAGGTGCTTTGGGAGGGGACGTGGAGATTCAGTTTCGGACACACTCTATCAAATGCAAAAATGTGTGGGTCTGCAACTTGTCATGCTAAAACTGAATCATGTAAAAATCTGTGCTGCATGATTACCAGAAGCTGTCCCCTTTTGACCTAATCGAGAGGCAGTTTCTCATGCAGGATAGGCATGGTAGGGATCTGGCACAATCTGTCATGCTAGGTCCTGCATTCCAGACGACATGGATCAGGGAAAATATGCATGACAAATCTAGAAATCTTCCAGACCCAGACATTTTTGCATTTGATACACTATCTGTGGCAGCAACAGTCGTAGGCTGTTGTTCACCACCAGGTCCACGCCTGGTAGTCGCCGACTCTAAAAAATTTCCTGCGGTAGTTGTATACTCGTCGTCGCTCCGGTTTGTGGTGGTACGAACGTCGTTTATCGCTGTCGCCCCTAGTTGTACCACGTATTTCCTGTAGCATTCATTCAACCGCACCCACTTCGGTAACCATAAGCGCCGCGCGGCGTGCTGCTGGGGGTTGTGTATTTTGCAATTCTGCTTTGCTGCTGTTGATCCTGCCGTGGAAATAGTCTCGGAGCTGGTGGAGAGAGCTGAAGAAGAATTCAGTTTGTTGAACTGTTCCGCCGTTTCTGCTTGCGCCAATTTGGTTTTTCCGCATTCCTCCTCCCTGCTTTGCACAATCGTCGCCGGATGGTGTTGAAACGCTTCTCGCGGCGGCAAGAATTCCAAATATGGTGCGTACCAGCTGTCTTCCCCCAGAGTCAATTCCTCCGCTAGCCATAATTTTCCCAGCACCGAGTCGGGGCAGGACTGATAGAAGTGAGTCTTTGGATTTATAACTTGTAGAAAAACGACCAAAACGGAACTTGAATATGCATGACAGGAACATCAAACTTGAGAAGCCTATGTTGTAAAGAACGTGAAGCAAGATGAAAACTATACCTCTGGAAACCGCTTCCCCAGCTGCTTAAACCTTTCCGGCAGATTCACCACTCCACCCACTGAGCACGCCGTTGGTGTGCAAACTAACTCCTCGGCGTTTGCCGAAAACGCTTTTCGGGCCCCGAGACCGCGCACTTTTTTCTTGGAAAATGAGGTACTACCCGGGGTCTGGAACGTGCCGAGGAAAATGTTCCCCAAGCCGGTGACCTTGCAGTGATCTCTCAACCAGGACTCGAACCTCCTGCGCTTCGCTGTGATTAGGATGTTGGTTTGTAGTGCTGCGGGAGATGAAGGTTTGTCTTTTGCGACCGTGCTGCTGGTGACAAGTGTGGTCTTTGCTAAACGAAGAGTGGGGTCTGGTTTTAGTTTTGTTCTGCGTAGTTCTCGACGGGCCCTCGCGCATTGGTCGGGGCGGGAAATTATCCTTCTCACGTAGTTGCAGTGGCAGGGAGGCTTCTGGTGCTGTTCTTTTTTCTGGCGATGCATTTTGTACTAGCATAGGAGGAGGAGGTCGAGGTGCTGTTCTTTCATCCACGCCGACGATTGGGCGTCGGTTGGCGAAGTCTGTCGCCTGGTCGCTTGCGGAAACCAATAGGTGCGCAAGCGGGAGAGAAACAAAAAGTAGCTGTTGGATGATCCGTGATTGCGGGCGGGGGAGGAGCAGGAGAACCATCTTTATCAGGAGCCGACGGCCAGCTTGAAGCGGCTGGCCGAAAAAGGGGCTGAGCGTAGGTTTTTTTCGCTCGGGAAATGGAATTGTCTCTCTCGAGAGCCGGCCTGCCGAGACAGCAGGCGACCACGCAAGGCTCGCTCGTGAAATTAGGGGCGAACACTTTCACTGCGGGTTAGCTTCGAAGAAGTGAGGGCAACAGCTCCTTCCAGTCCATGCTGGCGGACCGCACACATTCTTTACGCCAAAGGCCAATAACATTTTCAACTCGCACTCGCACAAACCTGCTGCGCAACGAGGGGGGGAACCCGCCCTCCCCATGCGCGCCGCCTGCTCGCCTCTTTCGAGCGCGCGCTGGGAGTATACTTACACACACCAAGCGCCGGCGTCCGCTACAACGGGCACGGGAGCCCGCGGTGACGCCGCCAGCAGGCTTGCTCCGGCTGCTTGCAGGATGGGCGCCACCCCCCGGGGGCACGGGGGGAAGCGGCCGGCAGAGGGCGCGCGCGCGCACAATTAGGCCAGCGGGTGCACACTATACACGACGCAGGGCGGAAGCGCCCGGGCCGGGGCGCCCCGCGTCGGCCGGGCAAGCCCGCCGGGCCGCCGAAGAAGGCGGCCAAAGATTGAGCACCGCCGGCGCCGCCTCGTAGCTCCTCGACTGTAGCGCCCATTTCCTCCGATTCGTCCAAGTCGCCGCCGCCGGGCTCGGAAATCCAAAGCGGCGGGCTGACCCGGTCCACGTTGTCGCGCGGAGTTTGGCGGCGCCCGCCTGGCCGCCTGGGCGGCAACACGCGCGGCAGCGCCGCGGACGCATTTCGCGCTACCTTTCGGCGCCCGGCGGAGTATATCCGCTAGGAGCAAGAGGCGCACCACCATGCTGATGCTCATGCGCTGCCGTTGCAGTGATTTGCCTGGTATGTGCAGGCGCGTCGCCGGTTTTGTTGAAGTCCTGGCCGGAGATTCAAAGCCTTCCGTCCAGCAGAACCAACGGGACCTCGAGCCCGCTGCCCATGGCGGGGAGAAGGACATCACGGGGCACGTCTCCGACACCCATCGACGCCCCGCACAATGGGCATCACCGTCGCCGTGCGTGCCCAGGCGCGCGGCGCTTCCTTGCCCCGGCGGGGGGCTCGGCAGCGCACTGGCCACGGCCTCCGACCTCTTTCTCACATCCGGCAGCCCCAAGACATTGCCCCCCTGGCGCAGGGGCCCACAACGGGTCTCCATCCGCCCACGCCGCCGAACACCGGCAGCGCCGAAATGGGGGCGGCCCCGCCGTCCGCCCGCCCACGCGCAACCAACTTCCTGCCGCGCTGCGGGCTTGGAGTAGAATGCGCCAGGACCGGACAAACCAGCCACGCACGGCGGCCAAGAAGATGCCGGCGGCCGCGTATGTTGGCGAAGGCGGGGCGCGGGGCGCTCCGCCCGCGGCGTCCGCGAGTCTTGGCGCGTCACCAGTCGGCTCAGCCAGAAAAGAAGCGCCGCTGCTGGGCACAGCGCACAAGAAGGGCCCGCGGCTGTCTATTCGCTTCCCCCAGCTCACACAGTTGCGCTTGTATTGGGAACCACAGCAAATGCCACTCAGCTATCCAGAATGAAGATGAACACAGAAAGCGTTAGATTGGCGCTTTTGAAGAATATCGCGACCACACGTAAGCAGAAAGAAAAAAGTCCTGCCGTCTGTAAAATCATCGAGCTCTGGCGACGACGCTCGGCTTCTTAAGTAGCAGCATTGCTGCGTGTCTTTTCCAAATCAGGTTTTTTCTCTACCGTGTGTTTCATCTCATCTTCTGTAGAATTACTAGACTCACTTCCACCACGCGTGGTTGCTGTACTGTTCTTACTCACAACATCATCAACAGATCCATTTATTGTTGCATGCTTTATTTCACCTCCATCTCCAACACCAGACCCCACACCGCTGCTCCCCACACCACTGTTCCCGACACCACTGCTCCCCGGAACGGTACAGGTGGAGAACTCCTTTGCCAGCGTCGCTGCATTGCACCCAATCGCAGGTTCGCACCGTAAACTCGCAGGTAGGGCGTGTTTCGCCTCACTACCATGCGCACTCCCCACTTCACTCTTCCAGTTTGCCCACGCACTTTTCCTGACCGCGACGAAGTAGTAACTGACCGCGGAAGTTCCCTCCAACCGGCCAAAGTGGTCCATCCGCCAGCAACACGCTTCGTAATCGTACCTGTCAAAAAACTCCTTTTTCATGTCTGCAATCGACTGCGACCACCGCATGCCGTCGAAGGAATTTAGAACCAGCAAGACCGTCGCCGGCGGCTGGTTCTGTTTCTCGTCGGTCACAGCGGAGAGAAACCGTTTTCTCACCGTGAGCGGTGCTTCGGAGAGGGAATAGAACCCCACGACGAGGGTGTTGGAGGGTAGGAGCTGCTTCTTCACCGTGTTGTGGAACAGCTGCCTGTCCTTTTGGAAAACCGTGCTGGGAAGAAGTAAGATCTCGCTTGACAGTTGCTCCTTATTTGTTGGCGCCAGAGCAGGCATAGTTGCACTACTCGTAGTAGAAGTTGTTGTACCAGCTGCTGGAGTAGTTGTGATCTTCCTACCAGTACTAGTAGTAGTACCAGTTGTCTTCACCAACTTTGCCGGCAAGCCGGAAAACCGCAAGAAGTATTTCTGCAAATTCAGCATCGGGGGCGTGTCGTAAATCAGAAATCTCGGGTTCTGTTTTTTCCCGAATTGCTTCGCTTCTTCAAAAACCAGCGCTACCAATTCTCCCGTTCCTCCCCCGAACTCGATAATTTGCTCGAACCAGGGCGGGAGGAGGTGGTGGGAAATCGCATGCGAGAGCTGCGCGGAGTGACTGCTGTCGTTCACCTTGTAGGCCCCTGGTTTGTGCAGGAGTAGGTGTTTCAACACGCTCAAATGCTGTATTTGGTCAATCCGCGCAAACCGGATCTTGCGGTGCCGTAGCTTGTCGGAAGGATCCTCGAAGACATAGCTGCTGTCCAGGGCGTAGTCGACGTGCGCAGCGTGTTCTGCGCTCGGTGTGACGAAGAAATTGTAGGTCGAGTCCCAGTATGGATTGCAACTATGTCTGGGTCTGGAAGAGCCTAACTTGTGATGCTGCATTTGGATGCGAAAAAAATGTGTATTGTATGAGCAGCAACAGGAGTCAAATTTGGCTACGCGGAGAGTGCATTTGTCATGCAGGATGCGCATCGATAGGCGCTCAAAAAATCTGTGATGCTATAGCATACATCAGAGACCTCATGGACCATGGAAAACGTGCATGACAAACTTCTCCTCTTCCAGACGCAGACATTTTTGCATTTGATACCCAGAACTTCCCGGTGCGCGTCGCGTGGGCCTCGTGCCCGCCGACAGTGTGGCCGACTTCTATGGCGTTCTCAACCGTTACGCTCTCAACTGCTACACGAATTTGTGATGCAAGAATAGCAAAAGTCAAAGATGGGGAGGCTGCACATTTAGTATTACAAATTTCGCGCAGATTTAGGTGCTGTTTAGCCCTTCGCAGATTTGTCACGCGACGCAGCTTGATCGTGTGGATGATGATGGTGGTTTTGCATGACAAATTCATGTAACATGTAACGTTTGAGAGTGCCATAACTTCCTTCGGACTCGCCACCGGGTCGTCCCGTAGCCGTTGGTACGCGATACTCGTGCTCCACATCACGGGCCAGACGAAGATCGGAGGCCGGACAAAGGCCAACCTGGAGTAGCACCGCATGTAGCTCGGCTGGTAAAGCTGCAGCTCGAGCAAATCTCGGTTTTGCCCCGACCATTCCGGGGAGGCGGCGAGGGTGGTGGCGTAGAAGGTGGCATACGTGGCGAGGGAGGCGTATCAAATGCAAATATGTCTGGGTCTGGAGAAGATTGGGAAATTTGTCATGCAGCTTGTACATGACCCGCGATGTCTGTGATGCATGCTCTAGCGTCAACACAGCTTTTGCGAAGGCCTGCTCATGCCCATCCTGCATGAGAAATGCTCTCCTGTCCGGGAGGTGGCAAAAATCTGAGCGCTTTATTTGCTGCTCATACAATACAGGTTTTCGCGTGATTAAAAGTTTGCATCACAAGTTCCATTCTTTCCAGAGCCAGACACGTATTTGCTATGCATAAGGCACCGTAGGTGGTGGTTGTTTTCACTTCTTCTAAGTTGAGATGCTGCCCTTGCTCATTTTTCCTCGCTGCGCTCGCGGCGATCCAGAGTGTGCGGTTCGCCGCCACGCGAAACTCCTCGGCGTCCTTCTGGATTTGCTTCGCGAGGAAAAAGTGCCGACACCGGTGCTCCTTATACTGCGATTTGGCGAAGTGCGATCGCCAGAGAAACAGCGCGCTTTGGTGGAGCTGCTCGATGTAATCGACGTTTGCTTTCTTGTGAAAGAACACCTCATCTGGTCCCCTTGGTCTTGCGAGATTGTAATTATCGCTGGGTTCATCTCGTTCTTTATCAAGCACCGCCTCAAAGATAGCGAGGATGAGGCAAGCGTCTAGGGTTTGTTTCCTGAGTTGTTTCACCTTGTCGTTTCCTACCGTGTCGAGTAATTGGGTGAGCTATCAAATGTAAAAGTGTCTGGGTCTGGAAGATTCCGAGATTTGTCATGCAGTTTTTCCAAGCTCCGCCAAGTCTGGAATGCAGGGCCTAGCATCACAGGTTCTGCAGCCCGTTGGTGATGCCCATTATGCATGAGAGATGCCCTCTCAGCATGGCGAAAAATGGGGACCTTTTGCAAGTCATGCAACACAGATTTCTGTATGATCCGCAACACGCATCACAAGTTCGCACTCTTCCAGACCCAGACATTTTTGCATTTCATATGAGCAACGACGGCTGATCTAGCTGGAGGACTTGAGACAACTGGGTTTGGAGCTCGGTGACGGCGGCTGTTGTTGGTGCGTCTGTTTTATCAAATGTAAAAGTGTCTGGGTCTGGAAGAATGCAACTTGTCATGCTAAATCTGAAGCATGTAAAAATCTGTGTTGCATGATTACCAAAAGTCGTCCAGTTTTGACCACGTCGGGAGGGGATTTCTCATGCAGGATAGGCATGAGAGAGATCGCACAGAATCTGTCATGCTAGGTCCTGCATGCCAGACCTCATGGATCATGGAAAATCTGCATGACAAGTCGCGCATTCTTCCAGACCCAGACATTTTTACACTTGATATGTTTCAACATCGCTGGTGGTGGCGCCGTTTATTTTCCTGTTAGTACTGTAGTGTAGGTACAAGCGGAGAAGAAGCTCCTCATCAATAACCGCCTTTGATGTTCCACCACCGTCCTCTTCCGCGGTAGTAACATTGAGCTCCAATTTGGCGAGACTCCGGACCCCGTCTTCTATCTCCCCGATTTTCTGTTCCGCATCTGCTTTTCTTTTCCCCGTGCTACTCGTCGTCGTCCACTGCAATCTCGCCTCGTCCCGCCCCTCGCTGTAAAAGGGCGGAGCAGCCGCCGCACCACACACTGCGTCGATGGAACTGGACGCGTGTTGCGCCTTCGTTTGCTCATTGTGGTATGGATTGCAAACATGTCTGGGTCTGGAAGATTGCGAGTTTTGTCATGCTTGTCCGGCATGACCAAAAAGTTTGTCACGCGTGTCCAAGAAGAGACCCTCTTGCCTGTCATGCAAAAACGCAGTTTGCCACGCGAAAAGCGCAACACAAAGAAGCGCAGATATTTCTCATGCTTGGCTGTGCATGACAGAGCACTCACGATTCCCAACGCAGCATTACAACTTTCCAAACCCAGACATATTTGCAATCCATATGTGGTAGTAGGTCACGATTTGGGTCTGGATGTGCGGAATGACGGACGGGTCGGAGGCCTGGTCGGGATGAATCACCGGCGGAGAGGGGCCGCCTGGTTTGATTATGTGGAACTGCTGATGCTCGCCGGACACGAACTGGGCGTTTGCAGTCGGGGCGAGGTACAAATGGACAGCTAGAGAGGTCACTAGGAACAAAGACACGCAAAAATTGAACCGTCCTTGGGACGACGGAAGGAACGAAGGCGACATTTTCGTACGGTAGAACTGTTCCTAAAATTACAATACAGGCTTACTAAGAAAGTAAGTGAGCGACCACCAAGCGAAGTTGATTGCGCGACGCAGTGCAGCACGAAAGAGCATCCTCTCGCGGAGTAGATCCATTCAAAGCGCTTGCAGCAACACGAACACGGAACTATTATCCTGGTTGAGGAAGATATGCTGCGTCGCCAAGTAGTGTTGCTTCACCCCAAGAAAACGCGGCTCCCGGAAGCTTCTTTTCAAATTTCATCGACAACAGCAGCTCAATCAGATTTTTGTACATGAAATCGCGTTTTCTTCATTCGCAGCAGAAAGCCAGTCGTTATAATTGAGATTAACAAAAAACTAAAAACTCGAGAAGTGTGCATTATCGGTACGTGTATATTGATTCCTCAGATCCATCCTGCTACGGTGCATTCTTCTATGCATACTGATACGTTCTTCGAGGAAATAAGTACACACGATTGCTGTCGCCTTCAGCGGGAAGGTAGCAGTACCTCTACCAGACTTAGCTCATTTGGTACAAAACTGTAGAGCTAGTGCTGGTCCTGCGTAGTAGGTGCTCCCCGCCTCTCTGACAGAGAGTTTTTCTGTGCAAAAGTAAGGTTTAAATAACAGGCTCTAAAGTTGGAGGCTCTCTAGTCCTCCTATAGCGTTTTCTCGGTTAGAAACTTAGAAACAGTGTTGTGTTCTCTGAAATTATCGTGGAAACTTAGAAACAGTGTGGTCATGCAATACCAGCATTTAGTGCAGCTTAATTTCTCGCGTGATCATCTCTGAAATTATAATCTATCGAAGTGTTTTCTCGAAGCTAAATTAGAAGTGTGTTGAACGTGTGTTAGGTATTTCGAAGCTAAATTTTTACTAGAAGTGTTTGATAAAAAAGTGGTTGAGTATTCGGTTGAAACGTATTAATTGCGAGATGGCTTTCTCAGCTAAAATACAAATTTGATGCGCGGATTTTCTGGAGTCGGTATTCCTTCCCCTACGACCACACCGCACTCACTTGTTGCGCCGCAACAGCGAGAACCGCGATTTCTTCTTGACCGGCGGGGGATTTGGGGGATCCTCTGTGGGCCGGATCGGGAGCCGTTGTCCCATCTGGCTATATCGGGTCCAGAGCGTTGGTAAGACCCGCACTTCGTTCAGGTCGCTCGTGTCTACCACGCCGCGTCTCACCTGCAGCGTGCCGCTCTCGTCCACGTCATTGTTTGTTGACTGCAGCTTCTGCTCCGCGGAGTTGACCTTATGGATTGTTGGAATCGGTACATTTCATGCACATTATGAAACAGAATTGCGTCGTAATAGGAACCATATCAACATCAATTGCTGCATGGTATGCATTACAAGTTCATCGAAAGCATTTCTCTGTACCTCGAGACTAATGACCAGAAAATCTTCGGGATGCGACCCTGGTATCACCGCGTATCGGCAGAATAACGTCCGTCCAAACGATCCCGCGTCCGGGTAGAAGTGCTCTATCGGTCGCTTCTGGATGTTGCCGTTCATGTTGATGGAGAGAACGCCATTAATCGTGGTTCCGGCTGGGCAGTGGAGAAACAGCGAGCAAAAACCCTTCACCGCCTGTGGATTCTCATCGGGGTCGAGGTACCTTGTATTGGGTTTCAGTGCATCTTCCGGGAAGAAACGTGCCATGTAAATTGACATGCACGATTCTTTGCATGACAAAATACTCTTTCACCACCCACACCAACAAGCATATACTTACCCACTGGGGAAGAACTGGAATCTGAGTTTGTCGATTCCCGCGACAGCGAAATAGGGACTCAGCATCGCGCTTCCCGCAGGAAACTGCTCCTGGAGTTGCGTTGCGTTCTCCACCTTCCATTCCACTTTTTTCAGCATCCTACTGCGGATCACCTCGACTTGCTGCTTGACCTGGATGTAAGTAGAACCGCGGATTTCGGTTTGATATTTTTCATTGGGGTTCTACGTCGTCATTGCGAGAGGCATTAGGACCGCTCATCCCGTATGAGAAATCAACGAAAAAAAATCAGACAGGGATAACTTGATTGAGATTCACATCGAAGTTTGTTCGTTTGACAAACCTCTTTGAATAGAGGTGTCAGAACTCAAGGTTGGTCATCATAACGATCTAAGAGCACCGAAGCGAAACGCTGTTGTTTCGCATGATAACTTGTTTCACCACAACTCAGACAGGGATAACTTGGTTTAGATTCACATCGAGGCTTGATCGACGTTCGAACGAAACCTCTTTGAATAGAGGTGTCAGAATACTCAAGGTTGGTCATCACGGAGAAGGAGGGTTTCTCCCAGGGTGTAAAAAACTAAACCTAAATCATACGTATGTCTCAGTTTTTCGGTCGTCAAAGACTTGTCAATCTTGGAAAAGATTAAGCCTTAAACGGAGTGTAATCATGTATTTGAAAGGTGGAAAAATCCACACTTTTGCCACACAGGGCGTGCGGGTGTGACGGGTGCCACCACACGCACGAGGCGGTGGCGGGGCGGAAAGAGTGTTGATAGTGCGGAAGTCATACGTATGTCTCAGTGTTTTGGTCGTCACAGACTTTTGAATCTTGGAAAAGATTAAGCCTTGAAAAGGGTAATAATCATGTTGGTGGACATCACCACAACCGTGCTGGGGCTGTAGTACCAGTTCCTCTGTGTAGCAGAACTATAACAGCTAAAATCACAGATCAGTGTCGCCTAGCTAAGCAACTGCGGATTCAGCACGAAAAAGAGCCGAAGCAGTTAAGAAACTAGGCAAGAGATTCATTTTTGGAGCGGCCTGACACTTAGCGCGAAACTGGGAAAATTCGCTTCAGTGAGATAACCGCTCCGGTTCTTTTTCAAAAGGATCTAATGGAATTTCCATGGTGCAGATTTTAGAGGTTTTCGATTTCCTCCTGGTCAAGGAACGGATCTTGAGAGTTTTGGTTGACGAAGGTCCAACGGTTTGACTACATATGAACAAGCGGTCTTAATGAAAAGTAGAACAGATGGACAAGAACAACATCACCAATTTACCTGGTCCAACAGCCTGTGATTCACGTGTCGACTAAAATACAGGTTTCCAGAGCAGCTGATTCCGTCCTGGGCGTTCACCGCGACATAGGGTGCGATCTCGTGTCTCTGGACCACCTTTGACTCGCTGACCTCGAGCGTGATCAGCATTTTGAAGTCGTCGGCTGGCTGCTTGACTGGCACGTCTATGTCGCCGAAAAAACCGCCGACCGGCTGTCGGGAGGGGTAGGTTCCTGATAGGATTTTTGTGGTGGTGCAGAAAATGCCCTTCTCATCTGGTTCACATGTGTGATTTTCAAACACATTAATATCATCCCAATACCTTCAAATGTCTTGACCATGTCGTTCAAGTACAGCCTGAACCACACATGTGTCCCCTTCGGCGCCCACAAATAGATGTGCGCCTCCCCGATGTGTACATCGCTGGTTGCGGCTTTGCTGGGTGCCTGTTTAAATTTCACCGCCAACTCGATTTGCAGATTCCTCACCCCCGCTGCGGAGAAGGGCGGTGAGAAAAACGACTGCCTGGGCGTCCCCTGCACGGTGGTATATGAAATGCAAAAATGTCTGGGTCTGGAAGGATGCGACCTTGTGACGCACACTTGGATCACACAAAAATCTGTCGTGCTTAAACAGCAAAGGGAGCTCCTTTTCCTGTCGCCGAAAGAAGGTGTTTGTCATGCGGGTTAAGCATTGGGAAAAACACCCGTTTCCCAATGCTTAACCCGCATGACAAACACCTTCTTTCGAACCGCCTCAAAAACCTGTGATGCTAGGCCTTGCATGGCACACCTTCCGTGTCAAGCAGGCACAGCATCACAAACCTCAGCGATCTTCCAGACCCAGACATTTTTACAAGACATATGGTAGAGGCGAGTGCTATTCTTCTGCTCGCGAGCAAGAGTCGTTTTGCGTCCGTGATTTCCCACTCCACTCTTCTGGCCGCGACGTTTTCACACGCGAATAAATCCTGCTCGAGCTGCCGCTGGTACATGATCAGACCTGAAATAAGTATGATGGTGGTTCGTCATGTGGCCCATTTGTTTTTCACCTCCATGCGCCTAAACTTAACCCAATGTTCCAACACCATGCAGTGTTTGACTTCCATTCTCCCGCAACATAAAATTCAACAAAAAGACCAATCCATACCGTCCAATCGCGTGTTCACTATGTCGTGGTTTTTTCTCATCTCCGCGAGGGCGTCTTCCAAAATCTGGTTGACCTCTTCTAACCGTTTCGCCGTGTCTTCCCCCTGCTTGTTAGCTTGTGCCAGTGCGGCGTCGACGTGCTCTCTGAAGTCGTTGAGGGAGTCCTGGGTTTCTTGCCGCAGCTCTGCCATCATGTTCTTCAGCTCTTGCACCTGGAAAATTCAATTTCTCTACTACTTCTACAGTCGTGGTAATATAGTTCTTTACGCATATACAATTGTCATCTGTCATGCGGTTGAAGAGGCGACATCAAATCTTCAAATCTCCATACGTATGAATACATTTCTCGCCAAATCGTGTCTTGTTGTTGCTAATTCCCGATTTGTGTCGTCTATCCTGTCGCCGAGTCTGTCGTCGCCTTCTTTTATCTTTATCCCTATCGCTTTCTCCGTTGAGTTAAATTTTGCCTCGATGGTTTTCATCATTTTCTGTTGCTTCGCATCGACGGACGTCATCACGTCGGGTATGGAATAGAAATCAGGTTTGATGTTTCTTTTCGGAGTTTTTTGTCATGCTGACCGATGTCATTGACATTGCGTGATGAAGTTTGTCATGCTGAGCGAGAAGTCATGCAACCTTCAGACTGTACAAAATAAGTCTGTAATGTTGAAAAGAACAAACCATTCTGTGTTCCATAACTGACATCAAGCTTGTTGCCTTCTCCGTGATCATACCACCCATCTTCTTGTCGACCTGTCGGATCATTTTGGGTTGTCATGCGGGTACTTCTGTATTAACGATGCGTTTCTACTATGCGGACAATGCAAGACAATCTCCTTTTCTGCTACGTTCATACGCACGACAAGCAGCAACTCTGTACCAGCTTCAACGCCTTGTCTTGCACGGAGTTCATCTCCTGCCGAAGCAGGTCCATGGCTATCGTAAGGAAAAATCCCCCCTCCCCACATCAAAAAGGCACGCCGCAGAAAATTTGTGATGCTGATCTGTGGCCTCAAATCGCGTCTGTGTTGCAAGAAAGCAACGGCATATGCTCCACCCCATTATCACGCAGGCGGTTTGTAATGCTGTTGGGCCTACAGCATAGACGTTCCTCATGCTAACTGCCTAGGCCAAAACCCCTCTATATTGGCTTGATATTGGCCTGCAGTCCTGTACTGCAAGACAAATTTGATTTGTGTACGCAAATCCAGCATCACAGATTTCCTTCTCGATCTGGGGAGGGCGGATTTTTCCTTTTGATAATGGCGTTGGTCAGGTCATTCTCGTCCACCGGCCGCGCCATCTTGTGTGCGCCGACGTAGTCCTCGTGCTAGAAGCGTAAACCCGAAGAAAAGTCAGAATCCACGAGGAACCGCTCTGTCAGGAGAGCGAACTACCGGCCTTGAGGTTGGTCGCGCGACCTTCGTCTTTTCAGGGTAATAAAGAACTCGTCCACTGGGTACTGATTACTGCTTCCTCTCGGAGGCGGAGGCGCTGGAAAAAATCTTCTTGAAAGCTCGTTGGTGCTTCTACGGAGTTGGTCCTTCGGGGGAAGTTGGGAAAGCGTTTGGAACAAGCGCAGGGTTGTGTCGTCGTGCACGGACGAGTAAGTAAGTAGTCGCGCACGTGCTCGCACAGCAAGACCTCGCCGTTCGTCTTTCTCCGTTCACTCAACCCTTGTAGTGCTCCGTGGGCTGCAACACGGGTTTGCTGTCGCTACGAGAAAGCCTGCCGCCAGAAACCCACTGGTGGAATAGTAAAAGCACAGCTACAGTCCTTGTTTCATCTGCACGCTGGGGAGGAGTAGACCCTGGTTGGTTGTTCCGTGGTTGGACCTTCGTTTTGCAGAGTTCGTGTCTCCACCACTTGATGGGCAGTTGCAACCGGCAGTCCGCGAGACAGTCAAACCACGAGATGCTCGCAGCGACCCACCAGACAGCAGCGAGGCTCGTCTGCTCAGCTGCACTACTTTTCGCAGCTTGATGTCCTCTCTGCCACGCTGCAGAGATTGTTTCCTATGTCAAAAAAATCTACGACGTTAGAGGCAAAGTTGTGAGAACAAAGATTTCAGCATTGAAATGAAGAAGGTTTCGGTTTTGGTTTGATCCCACGGAACGACGACGAGATTTGGTACAAACGGAAAGAAGTGGCGTTCTTGAAAGAATGTGTGTTATCTCTCAACGCATCAAAACGGCCCGAAAAGGTTGAAGCTAGATGTACTATCTTGAACTCGCTTCATCACTCAACGGTTTTGTTGTACTCGATGCGAAGACGGTCTTTTTTCATCGACAAGATTCTCCGACAGCCCGTCGAGGCTCATTGTGCGCATTCGAGGTGGAAAAGATGCATTTGGATTATGTTCTGTACTGCCATCTTTGACGAGTTGGTTCTACGAGTGTCGAGAGCGCGATTCTGCCGGGTAGTTCGACGTAGTACTCCGACGTATGATTATTTCCTGCTAGAAGATTTTTGAAAATGGTCAGCATGATTTTATTCTCCTTTTTCACAATTCTCCGTTTCTAAAAGTCCTCCACTTCCAGCACCTTCTGAGCCACATAGTGCCTCCTCTCCGGCACGACCTTTTCCAGAAAAAAGTCCGCGGCGGTGCGCGCGACCGCGAGAAGTGCAATAGCCGAGGACACCTGCAGCACGATCATGCTGAAACTCCGTTTCGCTCCGTCCCCAACGGCCTGCAAAGCGACCCGGACGCCGAAAAACCGGACGAGATCGCGCTTTTCAACGTTAGCGTCGCTGTAGTACACGGAGCGCGCGTAGTTGTACCTGTAGGTACGTTATTTTTGAATAATTAAACTCCTCTTTCATCTCATGCAGATGCCGCATCACAAACGAAGCTTAGGCAGACCGCAATGTTGTGTTTTCTGCATGACAAACGCCAACCACTCTACTAGTTCTGCATGACAAAAACCCCAGTACCCAGTTTTGCTGTCCACGTGGACGGACTCCAATTTACTGGAGCACGTGTCATCGTCCATTTCGCAGTCAAAGAGATCGTATGGAGAACGAAGAAATTTGTGTTTCTGCAGTGCAAATACGTTTTTGTCCAGTCCTCCTCAAACAGTTTTTGCATGACAAACTTGGTACAAACTTGGACCGCACTTATGCTGTATAAGTTTCACATAATTGAATACATGCAACACAAATAATTGAATACATGCAACCTTCCCTTCCCATACCAGCGTCACCAGTATCACCACACCGTGGCTCTGCACCTTTTTCGTGTCCACGTTGGCCATTCGGAGCAGATCCCGGAGCTTGTACACGTTTGCTTTTTTTTTCGGATACACAATCGCCTCCTTTTCTTCCATCGTTGAGACGTCCATCTGAAACTTGTGAAAGTGCACGGACGTCTGGAACCGCAGCTCGTAGCCCGACGGGTCAATCAGCAGCTCCTGGGTCGTGGCGCAGCTCGGGTTCGCGACCGGGTCGCACTCCGCCGGGCACCACTGCCGCCGCATGCAGAAACCGCCGGTGCATTGGTCACCTAGTGGTGTGGGTTTGAAGGAGGATTTGAGTATTTTTGTCACGTGCTGTCTAGTACTAACACGCATGACAGACAGCTTTGTTATTGCTGACTTTGCTGCATCAAGCATATGTGGTAGTAGTATACCTTTCTGCAGCTCCGGGTTCTCAATCTCGCAATCTGCCGGGGAAGTGCAGGGGTGCGACGGACTGGCGCAGAAGTCCGCGTCGGAATTGGTGTTTTTGTTCTCCTGTCCCTTCGTGTACAGCACCCTGGTCGGCAAAAACGCCGCGTTCACTTCCCCTTCCGAGCTCGCCCCCGGCCCGGTATAAAATGCAGAAATGTCTGGGTCTGGAGAAGTGTAGACTTGTCATGCAGATTTTCCATGACCCATGAGGTCTGGAATGCTGGACTTAGCATGACAGACGCTGCGAGGTCTCTGCCATGCCTATCCTGCATGAGAAACTCCCTTCCAACTTGGTCAAAAGTGCACAGCTTTTGGCACTCATGCAACACAGATTTTTGCATGCTTCAGATTTACCATGACAAGTTGCAATCTTCCAGACCCAGACATTTTTGCAATTCATACCCGGACAAGTCGAACAAGTCCAAGGGTGGGAGTGCGGCCTGCTTCGCCGCCTCCTCCAAGTTACTGTAGCCGCTGGCCCGGGAGACGACCCAGCCCATAGATTTTTCGTTTTCCTGGTACTTCTTCTCGATCATGAAAACGTAGATCAACACGTAGAAGAGGATGAGGTTCAACACCGTGTAGTAAACCAGCCCCAGCCGCCGGTCGAGGACACGGACTTCCTTCGCGTATGAAATGCAAATATGTCCTGGTCCTTTGGAAGGACACAAACTTGCCATGCAGAATTTCCAGGCCGAAGGAGCTCTGTAATGCAGGGCCTAGCATGACAGATTTTGCGAGGTCTCTATCATGCATATCCTGCGTGAGAAACTCCCTCTCGTGTTGGTTAAAAAAGTGCAACTTTCGGTGATGACGCAAGACAGATTTTCGCACGATCCAGACTTAGCATGACAAGTTGGATGAACTCTTCCACATCCAGACATATTTGCAATGCTTATCGCGGTGTCGTACGCGAAAAAATCATCCGCGTCGGGCAGGCGGTCCCAAATTTTCTGCATGGTTTTTGATGGTCGTGGGGCTTCTCGTGGAAGGTCGGGAGGTTGTCCTTACTGCAGAATCGGCCCGGCCTCTTCAGGCGTGTCTCCAAATTCCCGTGCACACCAGGCAGTGCGTGTGCTCGAAGTACTGCAGAAGCTCCTCTTGTATACAGAACTACTCTGGCGTGCTTGAAGAGAGAATGCGATTCTGCCAGATAATATCTGGCAAAGGAAGCTTCTTGCTCCGACGCGGCAGCCGCATGGTGTGTAACAGCTGCTTTTCCACCCACGACAGGCGGCTACATCTTGATAGACAGTTTTATTTCACGCATAGGGCAAATTTCATCTTATTCTGTTACTTGAAAGTGAACAGCTGAGACGCAGGAACGGAACGCAACCAGGTTGAGATGTTCTCTCATTTGCCATCCATGTTGCTCAAAGTTGCATTTTCGGCTCTCATTCGCGTGGCCATCAAGATCTTGTCAGAACTTTAGGCCGCTAGAACACACTGACGAAAACGAATCGCGCTACACGACTATTTGTTCTGGTGAACCCAGAATAAGTACGCAGAAGACACTTTTAAACTTTCGAAACTAACGTTCTTGAAACGTCAGCACTTATCTAGATCAGCATCTCCTTCAGGCGCGTCTCCAAGCACATCTTCACATTCACCATCCACTGTCACGTTTCTTTTCACGACAAACTCTGACTTTGCACACCCTGTTTATTCCCTGGCAAGTCCAAAAAATTATCAATCGCCGCGACCGGGGCGGCGAAAAACTTCTCCCCCCCGAAAGCTTTCTCCACCGAGACCGCGATCCTATTGTGCTTCGCCAGCAGTTTCTCTGCCGTTTCGTGGTACTTTTGGTTAATCAAGGGTATCTCCGGATCCGGGTCGTTTTCGAACTCTTTTAGTTGCAAGTCGTCGAAGATTTTCGTGCCCGGATTCGTGTCGATCTTCCCGACCATCTGCCACGGAGAGTCCACATCGCAATTGTACAAGTGGGAACTTTTCGTGCAGATTCCGAGCTTGGCGGTCGTTTTCAAAACTTGGTTCTTTGGGTCTTCAACTGTTTTTTCCGTGTAGCACAGCACCTTGTTCGGCGGGGTCTTTCCCAACCCGGGATTGTTGCACTCGTCCTGCAAATCGTGATTGCGATTCCAGACCAGCATGCAGTTGTTGCCGCCCCAGCGAATTTCCGGGGAGCTGGTGTGCACTAGGGTGTCGTTGCTCGGGAGGAGGAAGTTGGACGGGGGTACGACGTTGGGGGAACCTGCGGTTGCAGGCTGAGATGGGTACGACGGGGCCGGAAGGCTGGTCGTGGAAGCAGGGACGAGACCTGCGGAGGTTGAGGCGCTGCTGCCACCCGTCGTCGCTGGTAATTGCGGAGTACTCAATGTTCCAACAGCTGGAGCAGCCACGCTGGCCAGATGCTGTGCTGCGAAGCCGGGCATTATAATTGTGCGATTTGGTCAGAATCTATTCATGTGCATTGCAGCATGTCATAGTTTCGCGACGTGCTCTTTTCCGATAAGATTGATATTTTCTCGTCCTCAAAAGCACGAAGCAAAGTTTGCGATCGTCGTCAGAAACTACATGCGGTGTATCGCTCCGAGACGTGTTGAAGGCCTTCCTCTGAGCAGCCACTTTCCGCTCTTTCTCTCTCACCTTTCAAACGCCCGCGGGACGGTGCGGACCTAACAATTTCTTCGATGCAATAGCTCTATCGTTCGCAAGAAGCGCACATCAACCGCGGGTTTGACAGCAAGAGCTCGTGGCCCGTTTCGGTCGAAATTACTTCTCCGCACTGCCGCTGTCGCTGTCGGTGCTTCGGCTGTCGCTGTCGGTGCTTCGGCTGCAGCGGGTGCTGGCGTCGGTATGTGGTCTTCGCTGGCGACGTGTGGTGGTCCCGGCTGCTCGCATATGCCCAGAGCGTCTTCACCCCTGTGGAGAGTTTGGTTTTTTGATCTCTTCACACTGTTGCCCACCTAGATTTTGCATTCCAACAGAGGTTCACGTTGAAAAGCTGTATATTTTCGCACCCCTCCTGCTTCGTCACGCACAGCACGTCGCGGACTTCTCCGGTAGCATCAGGCGCCGCCCCGTCATCGGGTGTTGGGTTTTCATTTCCAGAGGCACGACACGTACTGACGTCTGTGATTCGCGCACAATCCCTGCCACCGAACAGCAACTTGTCTCCATCAATCTTGACGATGTTCCTGTTTCAGCAGGAAAAATGTTCACTACCAGATCATTTGTCAACTCAGCTGGATTCATCTTAACTACATTTCCGAGAACCATTTTAGCCGCACATAAATATTGAACTGGGAGTCGTTTTGTTTCTTGAAGAAGCGTCTTTCCTTTGTGTATCCTGGCTTCAGGTTTGTATGCACTTGTCGATTGCAAAAATGCGTCGCAAACCCCTTTCCTGTGAACGCCTTTCATGCTGATAGTGGCGGATCCTCCGGGGGAGTAGGTTTTGCCGGTTTACCTGTGATTTGTGAAAATTCGAAGCGTGAGTGATGAGGCCTACTGAAATGCACCCGAGGCAAACGCATGCAACAGCGACACGGGGCAGCACCAATGGAATACTCCATGCCACGCGTCGTTACCGACTTCAACCAATTTTGTAGTTCTGGGGTTTTGCTACAGTGCGCATAAAAGTGCAACTAACTTGAATGGGAAATTTCCAATTAATTCCGATTGGTTGTGAAGAAGATTGATGCTGATACATTGGCTGTGTTGCTATTGTCATCAAAAACAATCAAAGAACATATCTATGATTTTCGTTTGATACTCGATCGTAAGAAGGGAAACCCCCATCTGAAGCTAGTTGCGTCCACTGCTGCGGTACCACCACTTGTTTGCGTTCCATGCGACGCCACTGTATTCCTCGATCTCCCCGCACCTGTTTTTTTTTTAGAGTTTCGGTTCGGTTCTCAACAGCGCCGAAGGCCTTGGATGTTTCCACATACAAAACGAGCTCATGCACGGACCACAACACAAAACCACCTGTACCTGCTGTCACTCTCTTGTCCGCGCCGGTCACTGCCGACAACCCTTGCCCGCTGTCGGTATTAGCAAAACTTGAGACCCGACTTGAACTCGAACTTGACGGCGTCGCAAGCTGCCGCTTTGTACTAGTCCTTGCTGGAATCGGGTAATCGGGTCCTGGTCGGCGAAACGGTAGCGACTCAGCATAATTAGCAACACCCCGTTCCGGTGCGTGTAGAAATGGCGAATTCATCGCAGAACTTGGTGCATTTTCTCCATTCCATTCGACGAAACTGGTTGTCTTCGGACCTGTTGCGTTTTTCTCCATGCAGAAGCGAGATGTTTTTGCATGATGAAATTGAAAAGCATCTTTGTCATGCATGCCTGAAGCACGAGCTCGAGCACCCGCAAATTTACTTGTCGAAACCGCCCCGTCGACCAGGTCGCGACGTATTCATTAAGATGCTGCGATAACCCGGGCATTTTTGAAAAAAAATCGTACCTTGGGTACTGAAGGTAATGTACTCTAACTGTGCCCTTTATGGCTCTCTCATGCACGAGCTCCAGTGCGGCTAAGTGCTATAGAGTGGAAGCAGGGACGAGACCTGCGGAGGTTGAGGGGTTGGTGCCACGAGGACCCACCGTCGCTGGTATTTGCGTAGCACCCAATGTGGTTCCAACAGTTGGAGCAGCCACGCTGGCCAGATGCTGTGCCGCAAAGGTGGGCATGGTTGCTTGTTGTGCAGTTTCTTGGTGGTCACAACCTATTGAAGTATTTGCATCTGTTGAACCTACTTACCTTCGCGACTGTCTGTTTTTCAATAAGAGTGACACTGTAGTTCTTTCTCGAAAACAAACAGAGTTTGTGATCGTAAGCGGAAGCTTCACGCGTTATCAAATCGCTCCGAGAGGACACGGTGAAACGCCTTCCAGCTCTGAACAGCCACTTTTCATTCTCTCATCTTTCAACCGCACTCCGGACGGTACGTACATAGCAGTTCAATTGCTGCAAAATCAGCATCACCATCATTGGTAAAAATTGCGCAAGTAATGAGACCCCGATCGTAACTAAGTAATGACATTATTGGGTTGTGCAACAAGACCGCAATCGGAATTGCTTATTTTGTATGCTAAGATGCTCGCGCCTGTCCGGAAGCGTTGTAGTGGTATTTTGCATTCACTCACAGAAATTTATCACACAGAAAAAGAGAGTGTGTCGCATTCGTATATGCAAAAATGAACAAGTACGCCAGCAAGCGAACTGTCTTGCATGCACGAAGCTGCATGCTTTGGGCTCTTCCGTGACAGGTTTCCCTGCTTTCTTATTCTCGCATTACGAATATGAAGCGCCAGCGTTCTTCTGTAGGGTACAGTTCATCTCATGCAACGTCTTGAAACTCTGACGTTCTAGAAGCAGTTCAAGGCTTTTACTTTTTATTTCTCCTTTTGGATTCATTAGAAAGTAGTTCAGAAAGCTGCTCACTTTTCTGCTTCGTGCACTGGAACTGCTTGGCTTTTCCTTTCCGTGCACCGAGAAATCACGGGGCCGTGGCTGGTTGTATACCGAGTTGGGCCCCGACTGCTGAGAACGTTTTGGCGATAGCTTCTTGATCAGGGGCTGACATTGTGTTGATGATCCCCAGACTTTTTTCATCGACCTGCACACTCTCCCTGTCAATGTCCGCTTGGGGCATGCACGCTCACCTGTGGCCCTGTGTATCGACTAAACAAACACCCAAAGACCTCCGCAGATGCTTCTTGCTGTTTCACGCTGTCTGGACGTTGTCTTGTCGGGAGAAGTCTTTTCATGAGAAGCGCTAATATCCTGGTGTCTGCGATGCATGCTAGCACGGTTGCACCACCTTGCGTTATGCATGGCGAATGGCGCCGTCTACTCTTGTCATCATACAGTGCCCGAGAAAACAAAGTTGCTGCAAGCGGTCGCGGCTTTCTGACCTCGATGCGTTTACGAGGTCTGCAATTTCTTAGCGTCAGAGCTGCTGGCCTGGGTTAATTTCTGCTTCTTTCCCTGTTCCGCTCGTCTTGGTACGACTCAAGGCTTCTCCCCGCTGGCATCTTGCGCATGAGTTGAGTTTTCGTTCTCTTTTTTGTTGGTGTATTTCTAGTTTTATGCCTGTTTATTTCTAAGTAGTATGGTTGTTATAATTTTTTCACTGTATAAATAAAACCGCTTTGATGCGTTGTGGTTTGTCGTAGCCGACTCAATCTACCAAATTGTTTTTAGTGCGGCGTAAAATGTGGTTGAATTCTACGTCGCTCATTCAGTAAAATGTCACCCAGCTCTACACGGTGATGTCGTCGTGGTAAGATTAAAAACTCGAAGACCCCCCACCCCCCCCGATTTATTGGTGAGGTGAGAACTTGAAAGAGACCTCGAGCCAGTAGAAAAGCTCTACAAAGCGCGAGCTCTTTTGTGGCCGCAGTTCGATCCGATTCCGATGCCATTATGCACGCACGCCCCTAGTCGCGACGATGCAACGAAATGCCATCGGAGCGACTGCTTTCGAGGTCATCAGATTGAACCACAAATGAACGACATATCTAGAAAAAGTAGGGCAAGGATTCTATCCGTTTTCCTGTCCCACGCCCCTAGGCATGCCGACGCGGTATCCACCTCGTCCGATCGGTGTGGCTACGACAGCGACGCGGAGGTTGGAAAACCTTATACTTATTGAAAACTAAAATCCCAAGAGGAAGTTTGAAAGAAGCACTGTAGCATTAGTAGTTTGGAAAACCTTTATAGTAATAGCACTAAGTAGAAGTAGTGGGTCATACAAGTACACGAATGCTAGCGCACAGAATTAGACACGTGATAAATAAACTTGATTTGGTGCCATGAGATGCAATTTATGCATGACAAACAGCACAAAATGGCAGACAGCCATCCTCTTTTCCTTTCGCGCGCGCGAAAATGGATTTGAAGAGCGCCTTCTGTGGTATGGTGACGAATAGCTTCCAGCTTGTCCGTACGTGCCGAGGATACTGATCCGAATCTGTCAGCTGTACGCCTAGAACTCCTCTGCTGGTCAGTAAAAAAAAATAGTGATATCTTAGTTTGGCAAACTGCAGGACAAACTTGTCCTTGCGTTTCAAGTAAAGAAAAGCAAACTCATTGTAAATTCATGGAGCAGTTTACGAAGCAACACCTTCATGCGTGTTGTTCCAAAACAAAATCAAAACGCAGGCAATAACTTCCGTTGACGTAAAATTCTCAAGATGCAATTGCAGACACATATTGGTCAGCAAAACCCCAAGAATCGTTAAGGGGCGGGTGATAATTTGTACTATTGCAAGTTCGTTCCCCACAGGAATGGAGTAAATCTGAATTTCTATTTGTTTGTAATCGTGCGTCAAGGCGGGAACGCGTTTACTCTCCTTTTTACTAATTTCGCGCTACTTCAATAAGAAGTCCTCTTTACAATTTGCGAAAGAACGTTGAAAAACTGGACCTGCGACTGCTCCGCATGTTGCTCTTTATGTAGGAATTGTGACGAAAATAAAACGGGCCAGCTTTATGAAGAAAGTGTAATGCGCATCGCGGGTCAAAGTATGTATTTTCCAATAGGCGTGGGACTGTAGGCGTTAAAAATGCAGTGTGGGTTGGTCGGTCGGCTTCGTATTTATTTCCCAAACAGAACAAACATTACCCACCCTGTGCCAGCGTTCTTCGGGGTTCGCCACTTGTGAAATGAATCAAGTTTGAAGAAGAAAGAAGAGCCTCTCGTGAAATCGCCTTTGAATTCCCGACGTCTCTGAAGAAGAAGAAGGGAGATCCAGCGTGGGCCTACTGTGCCTTGATTGTTCCGATGGAACAAAGTGGGACCGAAGATAGAAGAGATCGAATGTGGAAACTCGCCTGACGCCGACGAAAACGACGACCGCAAAACGCGATGGATCCGACGATGGTGGTGTGAGAACAAGATGTCTGCGCCCGCCAAAATGTGGACTCTTCCGTGTGTTTTTATAGTTTTTTCGCTCGTCAAGTACAGTTTTCAAGTAACAGCTTCGCTGTGGCTATTGTCGGTTTTTCATTGGTGAAAGTGTGAATGAGCATCCGCTTTTTTCTTCAAAACGCTCGCTGTTGTGTGTTCAGCGGAAAGAAAATTGTGATACGGCCCGCATAAAAGTTCGTCGGTGCTCTCAGTTCGCTTTTCTTTTGTGTCGCACGACCCAAATACGGAACATCGAGCGGTCTCTTAGCTTTCTAAAGTTACGAGGAGCTGTCGCTGCGAAAACGCCCGACTCTCATACGAAAACGCACTTCATAAAGCTATAAACGCTACGATCGACGCTAGTCGTCTAAAAAAGACCCAAAACATGGAAGCAATGGCCTCAAATAGCACGATCGACGCTAGCCGTCTAAAAAAGTCCAAAACTCAAGAGTGATGGTCTAAAATAGCGCGCTAACATCCCAGAGAAGTGATGTGGTAGATTTTTCGCCGACAAATAAGCCCGAATTTCAGCACGGAGACGCAGCTCTTAGACTAAATTCCGCTAGCTGACTTTTACTTACGAAAACAAATACTATCAGAGCCGCTTTTTAATGTTTTTTACTTTTTTATCAGCACGGGCCGCACTGTGCTGCTTTTATGTTTATTTGGCTACGACCCTATATATTTTTTTGTGTTTTTTGTTATCTTATTTTTTTGCTGAGCACGGGCCGCTTTGTGCTCTTTCTCCTTGTTTTTATGTTTTTTGCTTTACGACCGCTTTTATCTTTTTCTGAAAAACACGTTTTTGAGTTACGACCGCTTTTATCTTTTTCCCTTTTCGAGAGCCTTCAGTTTGTTTTAGCTTATTTTTTCCTGGAGTTTAAGGTTCTCAGCAGAAGTCAGTTTTTCTAAGACGGGTGCCAAAGCAGCTCCGCCAGGTTGTGTTTTTATTGAAATAGCGCTAGACACATGAGAAGAAAGAATTTCTTTCAACCGGTTCCATGTGACCACTCGCAACAAACAAACAATGTTTTTTGCTAGCCCTACATATTTTTTTGTGTTTTTTGATTTTCTCTTTATTTTTTTGTATCTTGTGGCTTTTTCTTACATAAGAATAGGGCGAGGTCTGTACAATGTATTTTTTAAAAATAAAATCGGTGCATGGCAGGTGTAAAATTTGTCTTTTCCGAAATTTCAACGTGTTCATCGCTCCCGAGGACCTCGCAGCTCAACTGCAGCTACACCTCCTGCGCGTCAAGCTCTCTCTCCCGCATCCCTATGCGTGGGAAAGGACTCTCCCGGAAGAGGGCCTCGTAGGCTGTGTATTCGTGATCAGATACCGCTACTGGCGCAACCAGAGCGACGCCTTCCTCTACTGGCGACCGCAAGGTACTAAAAGATCGCAAACTGAGCCGGTCCATTTTCCGGAGCATCCATTTCTGCGCCCGCGCGAGGTCCTCGTCGGCGTCGAAAAGAAATACATGTTTCCAGAACGACCTGGCCGCCGAGGTGGAGGTGGTGGCCGACGAAGCAGAGCTGGCGAGTGGTGTTTGACGAATTCTGCCTCTTTCGTCCAGTGGAAGAAAGGCCAAACTGAGTGCCAGCAGAGCCACTTCTAGCTCCGGATGCAGGAGAATTCCAATTCCGAACTCTTCCCCCGCAGACTGCGGCTTTTTTCGATCCCTCAACGTCTCAGCATGTAGTTCTTGTTCTACTTCGAGACCCGCTGGTGCACGAGAAGGGTGGAGTCCTAGAAGCTGCCTTCTGACGTCCAGAAGCAGGCGAGCGGAGTAGTCGGCAGAAGGTGCTGGTCGTCGCGCAACGGCCCCGGCCCCGCCCGTCGGGTGGTTTAGCCCCTCCCGCATTAGACGCGTGCTAGTAGTTTCAACATCCTGCTCGCCGTGGTTTCCCTCTACTTGTTCGTCCGCTTCAAACGCGGCAGTTCGTCCAGGCTCAACGACACGAGAGCCTGGAGGCAAAAGCAGAAAGCCTAATGATCCCGCCATGTTCTTCATCTTGGCAGCGTGATCCCGATCAGCATGATCATGAGTATTCCCAGGAGGAGCAGGCTCATCTCGTGCAGTGCTGGAGGTGGTGGTGGTCCTAGGAACACCATCAACAAGAACTTCTGTCCAGCGGGTCGCCCCACTCCGTTCGCGCTGCGGAAAGGCGCGGCTCCAATCTGTGACCAATTGCCGAAACCGCACGGTAGCAAGAGTTCCATGCTTTTCGCTGTGACTAGCCGCTGCAGAGGACGAGATGTCGGAGGCTGCACCATCGTCGTCGAGGCCATCTTCTGTGTAAAAATCACCTCGCCCAAATCCTGTGTAAAAACATCCCCACCCCAGAGATGTCTGCAAGCACAAAAGCGTTTGTAATGCGCATCCTGATGATGAGAGGCATTTCCAATGGTGTTTTGGAACTTGTAATGCTGTAAACAGGATGAGTAGATGGATTTGCTATGCGGCTTTCCTTGCTAAACTGCACTACACTACAGCCTGCACTTTGTCACGCGTGGTAGTAGTTCCCAAAACTTCAAGGTTTGTGTCGCAAAATCTTCCCCAACTTGATTCTGGGGTCCTCGTGGGGACGTTTTTACAAATGATAGCCCAAGACCTTGCCGTGCTGTCTGCAGCCGAGACGCGGCGGCGGCCCCCTCGTGCGCAGCAGCTTCACCGGGGGCATGTAGTCCTCCTACTTCTTATCGAAAGCAAAAATCCCCCCTCTTTATATCAAAACGGAACTTCTGCTGCTGGATTTGTGTACACAAATCAGCTTTGTACTAGTACTGCAGAGAGGCATTGCGGCCAGGTTCCCAGGCTAGGTGAGAGCTGATGGGTCTAGTTGTTCAGCATGGAAAACGGCCCCCCTTCAGGCCGGACAGCATGACAAATCACTTTCTGAATAGGGCGGAAGCTGCTACTTGCCCTTGTCTTCTTGCAAGACAAAGGCGGTTTATTCTGACCTCAAAGGAGCAACGCAAATCTTCGGAAACAAAGCTTTTCAAAAATATGGGATTTTTTCTTACGATACTTCCCGCATTACTTCCTCTTCTCCAAGTTCACGTTGTGCAGCTGCATATGCTGCTCCTCTAGCTTCCAACTCTTTTTTTATGCGGGCGTCCGACTTTGCTACAATCCCTTTGATATCTATGTCTTCCTCTTCGCGCAAACGATCCGCCTCGTCGTGAGGATCCCTGCTAGAAGTGCTACCCCTGCTGTCCTCGTCATCGTCGTCTCCGGTCAGATCACATCGGTACTTGTCGAGCACTCGGTCGAGGTAGATCAGCCCGTACATGATTTTTTTCTCGTCGAGGAATCCAGAAGCATTTTCATCTCCCAGGTATGCCTGAAGCAGCCCCCCGAGATTCTCCTCAACCTTTCTCGCAGCCTTCACGCGCTCTCCTGGCGAAAGGTTCTCCGTCCAGGATAGTTCGGACCACTCACTCTGGACGTAAGACTCCACTCGGAGTTATCAAATGTAAAAATGCCTGGGTCTGGAAGGGTTGGAACTACTGTTGTGATGCAAACTCTGGATTTGTGTTGCATGAGCACCAGGAGCTGTCCATTTCTTGGCACGCAAGTAGGAAGTTTCTCATGCGGGACTACAGGCATCATGAGGCGTGCGCAAAACCTGTGATGCTTTTGCCTGCATCAGACGCCATTTGCGTGATCCGAAATATGCATGACAAATCTCGCAATCTTCCAGACCCAGACATTTTTACAATCCATAGGAGTTGGGCGAAGGTGTTCAGCACTTTTCCGGCGAGGTGGTGAAGAACTTGAGGCACTTATCCTGAGGAAAAACGTCCCCACACCAGAGTCAAGATGGGAAATTTGCAACACAAATCTCCAAGTCTTGGGGGTTATGCATGACAAGTTTCGCCTCGTAGTGTAGTTTCTGTGTTTAGCTACTTCAGCGGCATCACAGATCTAGCATATAATCATGATGATTGGAGCATGACAAATTCCGAAACACGAGGACTAGAAATAAATGCCTCTCATGGGCGGGCTCCGCATGTTGAGAAATATTTTCAGCATGCAACTCTGGGGAGGTGGGGGCGTTTTTACAACAGGATAGCACTTCTGTGCTTCGCTTTCGCGGCTGGGGAGACCGAGACCTCCGCGACCTCCCTGGCGGCCCTGGTAAGCGTCTAGAAGCTGTGCCGGAACAAGTACTAGTAGGCGAAGAGCCGACCAGACCGGGGACCGCGGCGCGGTTTTTTACCTCTTCTCGCTCTAGCCTTGCCAACCTCTGCGTGAAGTGGCTCACGCTGAGCGGCTGCTCGGCTGCGGCGCCGAACAAGAAGGTGGCAACTTGATAATGCGGCCCTGGTCCACCTGGACCCGCGCGACCTGGGACCAGCTCTCCAGCACGGCCGACGTCGGAAAAGCGCAGCCGGAATGCCGGATCTTTAGCCGCGCACGCGTGGACAATATCAGGTGGCGCAACGTATAGTCCGTAGCTTCCTGCAGCGCGTAGCGCTGCCTGTGAATACCTCCGACGGAAATCTGCCGCCCACACCTGGACTTGTGAAACCGTCGCCCAGCATGGGAGCCCGCTCCCCGAAGGAGCGGAGCGGCCTGTATCAAATGCAAAAATGTCTGGGTCTGGAAAATAAACTTGTGATGCTGGGTGTCGTGGTCCTTATCATGAGGAAGCCACAAGTGCTGGCCCAGCATGACAAGTTTCTGAGCTTGTTCTAGGTGTTGCCTATTCTGCATGACAGACTGCATTTCTCTATGACAGAAAGATCAAAATGGGGCTCTTGGGTAAGTAAGTAACGCGCAGGACAGATTGAAGAGTCATGCTAGATATCAAGCATGACAACATCAAACATGCATCCTTCCAGACCCAGACATATTTGCACTTGATAGCCTGTCCTGTTCAACAATTTTTGGTATTTCCAGACAACGCTTCTGGTGGCTGAGCCGGTCCATCTCTGCGGACCGCGGATGCCTCGCGTCAGCTTGTTATCGGGGTTGAAAACGAGCGTCGTGTCTGCGAATGCAAGAGCGCCGAGGAGGTCAGCCTTCACGCGGTCTGCAAGGACTTCTGCGTCGTCTAGGATGTTGCGTTGTTCTTGTTCTTGTTTTTGGGTCCCGCGGTGCATCGAGACTCTCCACTCGGCCGTGAAGAACAGCGCGGCCACCGCCCGGAGAAATGCGCGCAGCTTCCGCGCCGAACCGACCACGGCCTCAAGCGTTACAGGGTTGGTCGCCTCAACACTGAGTGCGGCCCACGCGTCCCCCACGACAACGCTCACAACCTCACGAAGCATTGCATTTGCCAAGGCCGCTTTAGAATTGCGAAGGCTTGTTCGCCTTCGACTTCTACTACCCGGGCGCCCGTGCGGCCGCACCTGCACTTGCCGGACGGAGCGCGTGATGTTGCTCCTGCTGATGTGTTCGTCTCGCTCGTACTCGTCGGTGCGGCGGCGGGTGGTCGTCGCCAGAGCGACCGCCTGAACCTGACCGGCTTGTTGATTTGTGTGCTGGCGGGCGCGTTCTTGACAGTGTAGCAGCCGCGTGCACGACGGTTCAAAAGGCATTTCGGGGATGCTACTGACGTCGAGGTACGTCTCCTCTGGGGACAGCAAAGCGGCCCGCCGTAGCGAACTTGAACTACCTGTCTCAAACTAGAAACTTGTGATGCAGATATGTGGCCACAAATCAGCTTTGTCATGCTAAAAGGGAAAAGATGCGGACTGTGGTGGGTTACTAGCGTTGGAAAGCCTTGCATCTTCAGCATGACAGGGGGCAGCTGGAAGTGGGAAACAGCATGACAAATTGTCTGCAAACGAGGCGGCCACAGCTGCGTTTCTTGGCCTTCTAGCATTATTTGTGTACGCAAATACAGTATCACAAATTTCGTTTTCGATATGGAGAGGGGGGATTACCGGCGGCACAACCGTAATCACCTGCAGAAGATGGCAAGCCGCGTATCGTAAGAAAAAATCCCCCTCCCCATATTTGAAAGTCCCGTGTCCGAAAATTTGCCTCGCTGACTTGAGGCCACACATCGCGTTTATCTTGCAGAAAGACAAGGGCAGAAGCCTTCCGCCCCATTAAGAGAGCGACTTTCCATGCTGTTCGGCCCAAAGGGGAGCCGTTTGTCATGCTGAAAAACTAGACCCATGCGCCCCTGCCTAGCCGGGGGATCTGGCTGCAGTGCCTCTCTACAATAAGTACAAACACAAAGCTGATTTGTGTAGTACACAAAAAATCCAGCATCAGAAATCCCGTTTTGATATGGGGAGGGTCAGGGATTTTTCCTTTCGATACCGCGAGGGCCGCGGCTGCTCTCGTCTCCCGACGCCTCTCCACTCGTAGAGTCGTCTTCTATAATCACCCCCGACCACGACGTTCCCCATATCTTCGCGGACAGGAGGACACTCGGCAGCTTTTCTCGGACGAGAACACCCATTCGCAACACCAGTGTCTCAGCTGCGAGTTGGTCGTCGATAGAGGTTAGGTCCTGGTCCTGGTGAGCGCCAGCATTTGCATACGACGTCCGGTCCTGGTCCGCGAAGGTGCCGACTTCCCTAAACAAGGGACGGTTGTTATCCTGAGTAAAAACGTACCCACACCAGAGTTGTCATGCAGATTTGCCATGACAGGAACATTTGTGATGCGCAACCCCATGACAGGCATTTTCAAGCGTGTTTGGGAACTTGTAATGCTGTAAACAGGATCAGCAGATCGATTTGTGATGCGGCTTTCCTTGCTAACTTGCACTACCTTACGGACTGAAACTTGTTATGCGTGACTCCCAAAACTCCTAGGTTTGTGTTGCAAAAATCCCATCTTGACTCTGGTGTGGGTACGTTCTTAATCAGGATAGTTGTTGAGATCGTCCACGAGCTGAGGCGGCAGCGACTGCGATAGAAATGCCAAGGTAGCTGCTCTTGGTAGTATCAAAAGGAAAATTTTTCCCGCTCCCCCCTACCCGTACTATCAAAACGAAGTTTCATCTCCTGCTGACGCAGCAGTTGTATTAAATATAACGTTGTCGCAAAATTTTTTGCCTTGCTGGAGAGTAGTAAAGGCCTATACTAAGCCTGAGGAGTAGAGAGGTCGTTTTGGGCTAGGCGCTGAGCATGGCAAACGTCTAGTCTGTTGGGCCAATAATTGCAGCATCAGGAAATTGCGATATGGGGAGGGGGGATTTAATTATTTTCCTTACGATAGAAGATTGTGTAGTGGGGGTCGAGGGTGTTGACGTCACGGGCCTGGAGCTGGTCCCCAGTTGTTGTACAAAAGGGAAAGATGTCAAAGTAGTAGTAGACGAGGACGACGATGCTGAAGACTTGGTCGTGAAGCGGACCAGATACTCCCGTAGCACGCTCCCCGCAGCAAAAGCCGCAGCGTTACAATCGAAGGCTTCGCCTGGTTCCACACCGCCATGATCATCCCAAGGGAAAGCCGACGCCGAAGCATAAACGGTGGAAGCGGCTACCGCCATAGGACTTACAAAGTATAGATAGAAAGGCACACACATGATTACTTATATACAATATCAAGAACCTTGTAGATACGTACGGAGTAAGCAAATTGGTCGAGGCCGCCTCGATCTGATATAGAACGCGTAGCAGCTCTTTGAGTTTGACAGGAAATGCGCTTTACAAATTGAAGAGGTTTGCCGTCCCGTTGTGCGTTGAATTGGATATGCTCCCCCAGCGAGCAGGGTACGTAAGTTAGGTGTACCACTAAAATTGATTGCAACTATCGTAGATGCGACTCTGCGATAGGTACTTAAGTTAGGTATACCACTAAAATTGATTGCAACTATCATAGATGAGATTCTGTGACTTGAATCCTGGCGGGCCTTGGGCGAAAATGGCTACGTTGAAAAGGTTCCAACATGCAATGCAAATATCAAAAACATTTCGAATCAGCATGCTAAGGACCACATGAACTTGCATCACAGATCATGCGTCGTGATCTCCTTACAACCGGTGCGAATAGCAAGGTCGATCTATACGCGCTACGCATTTACATCGATGTTGAGAGTGTGGCGGTCTTTGAAATGGATGCATTTATTTTCGGAACCCAGCAGCAGAAAAGCTTTACGGAGAGCGAATTCATTTGTGATCTCAATTGTCAGTGAATCGAACCAAGAACGAAAAGATTTTCTCGACCATCCGAGTCGCATTTTGGAACAACGAAGTAAATATGTGCTGAGATGAAAGCTCCTGCATAGGACAGGAGTTTTGATTTTCATCAAACATCTTGTATGTTGAAGTGAGATACAAGTTAAAGATACCCCAATGACGGTTCCCACAACCACAAATTCATCTCAGAGTAGCAATCTTCCCTACGAAAAAATTCGACTTGAAGTTACCTTGACGTTGAAGTTCCATGCCGAAGTCAACACCAGGCGGTCCGCTGTAGTATTTTCCCAGCATGACAAGTTACTACACCTGCGTTTTAGACTTGCGAGCCATGACTTCCTATGTTTTTTTGAACGGTTATTGACCTGCAACCGCATGTATACAGGGACATATGTACCTTCGCAACTACGTACCTCGAGGCCGTTATTGCCTGGAGGAGTCTAAAACTGGTGGCCAATAATATCGAGATTGGATAATCTAAGTCTTATCGATGGAAAACGGTATTCAATCAGAGTTATTAATATCGAAGCGCAGGACGGAGGATAATTACTTGGCAGTGAGTATATTGTTTAGTGCGATCATTGAGAGGAAAAAACATGTCGGAAAAAAGAAGTGAAACTGGATTCTATCGCGGTAAAAAAAACGATCCAGTGCATCAAGGCACGATCGTCCTAGTTTTCTTCCACGGAGGCAAAAGTATAAATTTGTGCTCTTTTCATAATTCCTAAACAAATGCGTTCCTACCATTTAGTACATTCACATAATCGAGAGATTCTACTCCTGCACACGAGTCGAGGCCAAAAAGTTCCTGTTCCATACCAGCATAGGCCGCAAGCAGCAGGACGTGGAGGATGCCGATTGCAGTCACAATACTCAACTCAGAAAATACGTAAGTAATTACTAAATAAACAAACCACGAAACCGACGATAATCTATATCCGCTGAAAAACCGTGGCGTTCGAGAACGTAAATTGAATATCGCACGGAAAAAGTGTTACACTGTAAGGGTTTTGCAAGTTTTGCATCACAAGTTTGTTCTACAGCACCGAGAAAATTTGCCATGCGAGATTCCTAATGAAAAACACAGGTGAAAATCCATTGTCTTGCATATGTACCAAGACAGATACTTCTCAGATCCATTTTCTGCATTACAAGTTTACAGTGAAGCAGTTTTTTCTTGCGATATTGAAATGAGCCATCCGTATCGGGGATGACAAAGGGGATCTTGCGGGTTTCGACAAGCTTAAATTCGTTATCCTTCTCCATAAACTCCTGCAACGCCTGCTCGGTGAACAACTTCTCCATCTGGGGCGTGAATTTCCCGCCGACCCACTTCTCGATCTCCGTATGCTCGGGCTTCGGAGTATGACGGGGGCGGGAGGGAGGATTTTGTTCGGAGACGTCATAAATTGTCTTATTGTGATGCGTTTTGCCACGAAGTTTTGGAAAACAGAATGCGTATCACGGATCACTGCGTCATAACAAAGTCGCAAGCCGATGGTTTTATGCATGACAAAGTCAAGAAAGGAATTGTCGGACAATTTCTTTCTTTACTCTAATGTACCGGACAGTCCGGTACAAAATCCTATTCCTCTGCTTGCATAACAGGTGTACGGTGAGCAGTGAATGATGAGTCCTTTGTCAGGATTCACCAACTTCTTGCACGCTTGCAAATACTGCATTGGATCGTGTAATCGGTCAATCAAGTTGCAGCCGGAGACTAGATCGTAGGTGCCGAGGCTGTTTTTTTACGTGTATTGGAGTTCCCGCAACAGAAAGACGACCCAACATGCAATTCTTGCATGACAAAGACAAAAAGCCTACCGAAAACTTACAGCAAAAAAAAAATCCAATACGGGTTCTTGCAGATCTCCGCCAACAGATGCGCGTCGCCCTGGTAGGATGCCAATCTTTCTTCCGGAATACCGAGCCTCGCCTGCTCCTGCTTCAGCATGTCCACAAACCCTTCCGCGTAATCGAACGCTTCCACCTTCGCAAACCCGTTGGTGCCACTGTTTCCACCACCCCTTGTTCCGGCAAGCAGTTCAAAGGCCGACCTCCCCGGCCCGCAACCCGCGTCCATCGCGAGATTCAATTTCGAACCGTATTTCTCGCACATTTCCAAGCAAAAGGAAGACGTCGCCGCGGGGAAGTTAGGGACGCGGAGGGGGAGGACTTTTCCAAAGTGAAACTCGTAGTAGCTGGCGAGAATGCTGTCGTCCTGGTAGTACACGGTCGTTTGCTGGTTGTGATTCACTTGTTGACCAACAGCAGCAGCCACCTATCGTTGGGAAAAACTACGTCCCCACCCCAGATTTATTGTCATGCATATTTGGGACTTTGTCCTGCCGCAGGACAAAGTCCCAAATATGCATGACTCCTATGTTTTTTAGCGCAGGACTCCTGCGCTAATCAGGATAAGGAGCTAGATTTGTGATGTGACCTCAGAACTAGCCACCCACGACTATCTACACAAGAGACCCAAACTTGTCATGCCCGACAGCCAAATCCTGTGGGTTTGCGTACTGCAAAATCCCCAGCTTGAGGACTCTCTGGGTGGGGACGTTTTTCCTCCGGATACCATCCCGGATTTTTCCCGGTACAAATCGGAAACCGCCGAGCCCTGGCGGGAGAGGAATAACTCGTCATTTGCATTGTCAAAGTCGGGAACCAAACTGTCGAAGTTGTCCTCTGTCGTGGGGGAGTAGTTCTTTTTGATCGTTTCCGCGAATTCTTGTTTCGCCCAGACAGAGAGGTTATGCATTGCAAACATGTCTGGTGTTTTGTCTGGAAACAAGACCTTGGTACAGCACAGGGAAGAGAACGACTTGAACTTTATGAAGAAAGAAAATAAAAGAGAACTACGTGTTTGCACTATTTAGAGAGAGATTAAGCATGCTAATATGTCCACCGGTGGAACTAACTATTACTACTTATAATATCACTTGCGCAACGTACAAATTGGGTGCTATGAACTTCTGCCCACGGGGTCCCGCAAGCTCTACCGAGGTGCTACGCTGGCCAAAGCGCTAGGCACCTGGGAGCCTGTGGGTGCTCGCGCAGTAGTGCCATGGCCGTGCGAATAGCACACCGTGGGTGCATGCTCACTACTATTCGCTGACACTACTACCGTTCATGACCCTTCCCCCAAATGCGCATTAAAAACTAGATTAACAACTATTATAGCATTCGGGTAAGAATCATCATGAGCTATAGGTAAATAAAGTAAAGTACTACTAGATCATCGATTTATCGGGAAGCATTTATGACATGGAGCATGAGAGGAACTATGTACTGAAATTTGAACTGACCTTGCAAACATGTCTGGGTCTGGAAGTTTGTCATGCACATTTTGTATCACCGGCGATGTCTGTGATGCATGCCCTAGCGTCACAGATATTGTGACGGCTTTCTGATGCCCATACTGCATGAGAAATACTCCCTCCGCGTGGCAAAAAACGCACCCCTTTTGCTATTCCTGCAACACAGATTTTTTTTGGAATCCAAATGCAGCATTACAACTTACACCCTTCCAGAACCAGACATATTTGCATTTGATAAAGGTAACTGCGGAAAAACTGGTGTTTGTGGATCGTTTGCTTCTCCAAGTGCGCCACCCCCTTCGCCCGCATTCGTCTCCAATGGGACTTTATGCATTGCAAATATGTCTGGGTCTTGAAACTTGTGATGCAAGGAAAGGAATAGCGAGCACGCTGTAATGCGCTGCCAAGCATGACAAGTTTTTTCGTGGTTCTGAATTGCGTCCTCCGCATGAGAAACTGCGTTTTTGCATGACAAGGAAGAGGAGCTCTATGCGGCTACGCAACACAGATTCCAGTGTCATGCCAGAGTAGCATGACAAGTCTCGCGATCTCCCAGACCCAGACATTTTTGCATTTGATAGATTTCGTCCTTTCCGGCTCCCGGTCGCCATTGGAGGTGAAAAAACCGAGGGCCTCCGCGCGGACGCTGTCCAGCAAATCCGACTTTTCGAACCCGGGGAGCTGCTCGACTTTGTGCAGTATCAAATGCAAATATGTCTGGGTCTGGAGGGTTGGAACTTGTAATGCTTGCTTTCGATACCTAGGAAATCTGTATTGCGTAACCAGCAAAAGTCGCGGCCTCTTTTGTACATACAAAAACGCAGTTTCTCATGCGGATTTCCTATGAGAAAGCGTTCTAGAAAGTTGTCATGCTGGGTTGCATTCGGGACTGTTTCTATCATCCACGTTTTAGCATCACAAGTTTCCAGACCCAGACATATTTGCATTTGATATGCAGCGTCGCGAGCAGTAGAACTCCGTGGCAGCGGGAGGCGAGGGCGGCTATCAAAGTGAAAAAAGCTCCACCTCATATTCAAAAGACAATTTGTGTTGCTGGATTTGTGTACACAAATGAGCTTTGTATTGCAGCAACAGGTTGCCGGCAGATTCTGAGCCCATGTGACTACTCACCCGGCTAGCAGATGAGCATGGGAAACAAGTCTGCCATAGGCGAAAACGGATGACAGACTCGCTTTCCAATGCGCCACATGGGTGCCGTTTGCCTTGTACGCAAGACAAAGCTGATTTGTGGTCACAAATCAGCATCACAAATTTTCTTTTCAAGATGGGGAGGGGGGATTTTTCCTTACGATAACAGCTAGCTCTTCTTCGCAGTTCGTGTAGCGGAAATCGGCAAGTAAAATGTCGAAGGTCTGGTTCGTCGGG